TCGATCGTAATAGTAAAGTTAATATGAATGCGAAAAACAATATTAGCATTTTTTATGGAGATGTATTTTGAGTGGTTATATACATACGTAGCTACCATTACTCCCCACGGTGATATGGAATATGTACAGAATTTACTTTGCACCTTGGTTTGACGTTAGCTAGCTGCATGAACTTCAAAATAATTATAATCAACTTTACCCCCATATCAAATCAAATTAGGTATAAGCCATAATATTCACCCATCGTCAACCCAGTCAGCTCGGTAAACAATCACACTAATATGGACGCTATTTTATAACATGGTTAAAGAGCTGCAGAGCAAGATTAATGGGTGGTTGGCCGTGCACAATTAATGAAATCAGAGTAAGGTAGTAGTGCAGCATATATAGTTTTATCAGTTGTTAGGTATTTCTGCAGTTCTTCTGCTGTACATATGCGGTTGAAAATGCTATTCAAGACTTTTTTGCAGGGTAGAGATTTTGCAAATAGAAACTCACTCACCCACCAAGTAAAAGTCGCTAGTCCATACAAATATGTATGTATGTATGCGAATGCTAATTAATAATAATTACCGGTTATCACCAACAAAGGTGTATGCTATACCAAGTGATGATGAATATTCCAATCTATTTTCTTGCATAGGAAAATAAATAAAATGTAAATTTTATTATAACTCACTCACTCACTCAGCCATCAAATGCATACATAAATGCGAAAGTTTTCCAAAGCTGATTTAGCCAACAAAATAGAGCAGACGGACGAGAGATGAGATTGTTTTACAAGGGGCAAAGTAACTGCCCAATTTGGTATCTATATCTACTTTGGATTAGTGTGTCGACTAGTTGTGTGGCATGTTGTCAATAATGGCAAACATGCAAATCTTGCATTGTAACTGAGATATCTGTACACCTACAACTTTGTGTTGCAGAAATTATTGCGAGTATGCAGATTATTGGCGTTGAGAAATTTGAGACTATCCATTCTGTGAGAAGACATAATCTTATTTTCGATACGAGATTATGGAAGGATTTAAGCTTGGTGGTGTTATTGCTTTAATTACGCTTGTTTATAACTAACTAACGACCACTATTACACACACGTGCAGTATATGTAGCACTACACATACATACGTATATGTACGCATAAACGGAGTGACTGCACAATTAAATCATTATTAAAACACGCTGCTACGTAAGAAGAATATGGTTATGCGGCTGTGGTCAAATTAGAAGAGATACGAGAATTAAAAGTCAATAAACTTTTGCATGCGTTTCTATCTTAGCATCAGTTATCGTATCGCTGCGTTATTATTGCCGAAACTTGTTGCGAGTTGGCAAAGGCGGAATAAAAAATGGGATAATGTGTGTGATCACTCATAGAAATTTTATGGACATTTAAGTATCTTTCAAGATTACGAAAAGATGGAAAAGGAATGTGATGATTGACTTGTGGGTGAATTAATGGTAGACACATATTTAGGTGAGGACATAAATAATATGATGGAGGTGGAAATCTCCTGACTTTTTTGACTCCTCAGTTGTTATTGTTAGCTCTATTTATGGAGAAAGATGTCATGTGTTGACACATTATTAGACGACGACGCATATTTGTGAGTACCGCAACCAAAAGTTGAGTGTAATACTTGCAAGTATTACCCTGTCTCAGAAACTTGTCAAAACAATACGGGTGGTGAAAGTCGCTCAATAATATATAACCTCTCCCTCTGACGTAAATAGGCTTGTGTAGCAAGAAATGAATTGATGGCACCGTTCTTCCCTTGAAGTTGACTTTTACTTCTTCTCGCTAACTCGTTATGATGCCACCTCTTGTAAAGAATATGGGCTGACATGAACAAAAAAACCAACCATCATGTTTATACATACCATGTCCATCGGGGAAAGATAATACAAAGTGAAAGTGAGAAAAAGAAGAAGAGAGAAAGTCTTCTGCTGGCTGACGAAATAACGACCAGAATTGGTTTCTCGGCATTCTCTACGTACATACTATCCCCGTACTTAGGCTTTGCACCTCATTTGCATAAATCTCAATAGCCCATTTTCGGCGATACGAGCTTTCCATGTTGAATAAACTCTATGGCTCTCGCGAATGCGTTAAAATATGCAAATGAGGTGCAAGGGCTGAGTGCGAGGATAGTATGTACGTCAGCCCGTGATGTTTTTCCAAACGGGGATCACATATCGGCAAGCCATACGTGTATGTATGTACTATTTGTATATGCAAAACTTCAATCGAGTGTGAAAGATGATCTCCTTCACCTTGTCGAAATTAGTTGTGCAGAGGTCTCGGATGTTATGTATGTTTGTTTGGTGGTGGCGACTGGTATGGTGACGTGACATGGTGGCGTTGACAGTTGTTGAGACGACGACCGGGGGCCAAGCCAAACCACATGAAGTATAATCACTAGCTAGTCTAGGTTTTCAATTTCAAAGCATTTCCAATTTGTTCTCCAGTCCCAGAGAGGAAATATGTGGGCCAGGGCATAAATCTGTTGGCAGTAGTGCATGTACGTACTTATTTATCCAATTAGGTACATACACTTAAGCTTTATCAAATTATATTGGACACGACGAAGACACGATAACCTACCTTTAAAATTGACAGGGATTTAAACCTGGTTATAAAAAAAGTAAATCAGCCAGGGACAAAAATAGGTTTTAAAATTACATGCCCCGTTGAGTGAGTGACTTTGCATGTAATCAGTTTAGTGTAATAATTTTTCCACCATTATTCACTCCGGTTAGTGCTTAGTTTGGTGGTGGTGGTGATTGCATATTATTATATTGGCGTCGAATTTAGCGAGGCGAGAAGAGAACGTCATTTTGCAGACCTAATCTCATCTCATATATTACTTTCCCCACTAACCCAGCTTTCTAGCTGGGTCTGGTTGTAGCTCAGAGACTAGAGCGACGACTACTTTCTCCAATCTCAAAATCTGTCTCTTTCAGATTTTATTACCCTGTTCTTTTGGTTTTGGTGGACCCACTTTCTCTTCGTCTTCCTTGCCTTCTTCTTGGTACGGAAAATATGTCAGATTCAACCCATCGTACGTACAGTCTCAAGCTGCACTCCTTATGTATCCGTATGTACTACTCATCCTTTTTTGGCCTTCCTGCTTATCTGGCATTGCCAAGATGGATATGCTCCACCATAATTCCTTGCTGCCATATAGAAACGGAGAAAGTAATAAATCAAAATTAGGTTTACTGCTCCTCTACGACTTGGATTTAAAGGGTCCGCAAATAACATCATCCAGCCATCACTAGTTTCCAAACGTGACTGGTACTTTTATTGTGATAGGTTTACATACATACAGATGTAGGTTTGTGTCATAATGAGCGCAGTAAAATTAGAACGGATCAACATGTTACGAAATACTTTAGATTAAATGTATGCTTCCCCCTCTGACCTGAAAACTATTCTGACTCGGTTACTGTAAAAGACATACGTTGACCACCGTACAGTACAGCTATCAAAATCAGTTGCACACATAATATTATTATGCATCCATCACAATTACCCCTGCTACACCACCAGCACATCAAATATGCCACAAAACGGAATTTGTTATTTTCGTGGTCTAGTCGCTAGTCCCTCACTTTAAAACTTCAAAAGTCATAGCGTTTATTACGTATCTAGTTTCATACAATGTTTCATTTTATATAAGACTTTTACGTTGACCGTAAAAGTTTAGTCAGAGTGTAGTACGCGTAACAAAATTAAGGTAAGCACACTCACATACATATTGCAAATGGTGTATGTACGTACGGTCAACGATGGCGTGTACGTGTATGATAATAAATAATGCAAAATGTAACAATAACACCACACACTGGCTGAATGAGAGAAAGGCGAAATAATGTTTTAATAATAACGGAATCACTGGCTCATGAAACAAAACTGCATGCAGGTCCGATGTGATATGGAGCAGCAGCAGACCATAAGACCTTTCCTGACCCTGAGCATTGGTGAAGGTGGTGTTTACAACAGCTCTTCCACTCTCATCTCATAAAGCTCTTTATATGATGATCTAACACAAAAATTGCAACCTTTTGTCTTTCCGAGGGGATAATGACGAAGGAAGGTGAAGCGAGAATCAATACCAGATTTGACTCTGGTCTGGTCATAAATCATGGCTAATGTCCGAAATAGAAATAAGATTTAAAGTAAATCCATTATTATTATTTATTGTTGCATGGATGGATGAACTTTAAAAATCAGAGTTATTTTATTATGATGGGTAAGCAGCAACACGTTACTTATTTATTATCATGCAATGCAACGGCATTTATCGTATTGCATGATGATTCTATAGATTTTGTGCGTGGTGTGGTGTCTGTGGTCGATTATATGGTTGTTTTGTTCTGGTGGGTGCCATTGCCATTAAAAAATAAAGGAGTTAGTTAGCTAAAACTTGCCAGGTTTTGTTGACTTTACTCACACACTCAAGTAAGTGCAACAAAAGCTTATAAAATATATATGCAGTGAAAAAGTGAGACAAATGGATGGTGATAAAAATGATAAAATGATGTAGTGTCTTATTACGTGGGATATCACTTGATAGTGAATGGTGTGGGTATGTATCTAGTTGCGATTATATTGGCATATCTCACACAATAAAAGACACAACAACAAAGGGAATATACAACAACTTTTGGCTAATATCCGCTACGTTGCGAGAGGAACTGATGGATGGCTACAAAAGCATTCATAATGCACATCGTCTCAAAATACCATACTTTGCAAAGTATACTCGTACTCTAGCTGGCAAAACGTGAAATTCGCCAAGTTCAAGCGGTGACGTCATTGGCAAGCAAAAAGTGGCGTATCTCTCTATACACGATGATATCATACTGATTTGATAACATGAGAATTATTGGTCGCAACAGTCGAATATAATTTATCTGCCTTGTTCCACACACACAATCATAATGAAAAAATGACTGATAAGGCTTTTTATTTTTTTCTTATTCGCAGCCACTCTCTGACACAACTCACTCACTTCAAACGCCTTTCATTTCATAAACTACTCAACTTTAGTTACCGTGCGGCTGGCTGGACATAAAAAAGTAGAAGCACAATAATAGTCACTCTGATCGATTTGTCATCCTCTCAACGTCAATTCAACGCCTTGTCAACAGGTATGTAATTTGGGTGAAACTTTCATATATTGATTTTTCACCACCATAAAAAAGTATGTTTATATTTGCATATATATCTTATCCGAATTTCATTACATCATGGCAAAAAAAATCCTGACAATACGTAATCCAATTCATGCATCCATAATCCATCCATACCTATAAAAAAAGTATTAAAAAATGTAGTTCACCTTCTTCTTTACTATTAATTTAAAAATCCTGTTGGAGAGTCCCTCTTAAAAACGACAGACAATGCCTGAGGGTGTTTATTCCCATCGGACGGAAATGAGATATCCTTTCTTTCTTTATCCTTTCGAAAACAGGCTGCTTTTTAATTTCATCATCATCTTCATTTCTCTCTCCTCGTTCGCATAATAAACATGCAAGGTGCATGCATAACAATAATAATAAAAAGACTTCGTTTTACGGCACTGCAGGTTTGGTAGTGAAATTTGGACGAGTTGGTTGTGCATTGGGAAAGCCATCACCATTCGACATTGGATTTTGGTTGGGAGTGGGTCGCTCTTCAAAACTCCTCGTAAATTTTCGCTCTCACTACTGCTGCGCTGCTGCCATCGAGAATTTGAACGCCAAAAACATTCTGTGCTTTGAAGTGGACTGGATCATAGGGAATTGCAAAGATAAGCGCGTTGCGGTGTGGTGGAATAAATAAGAAAAATACGAAAAAAGTGAGAGGGTGGCGGTGTGCACGAGGACAAACTATTCAAAAGTGGGAGCTTCTGTTGGGTGTGGTGGTGATAAGACGTAAACAATTATTGTGGGAACAACAGGAGAATTACGTAGAAGTGATTTATTGGTAGTCGTTGAAGTGGGTGTGGTTGTGGAATTTGTGATACTTTTTTGAAAACGGTGAAAAAATGTCGGACTCAGAGCTCAATGTGGACAACCTTATTTCTCGCCTGTTGGAAGTGCGAGGGACTAGGCCGGGAAAAACGGTCCAAATGACGGAAGGAGAGGTAAGTTGATAATTAAAATAATAATAAACTTTTGCGGTTATCGAAATATTGACTTGTCGTGTGGGTGAGTTGATTGACGTGTATTGTTAATCGATAAATTTGAGTGGTGAATAGTGAGAAAGGGGCAGATTATTAAGTACGCATGGAAGTAATGGTAAATAATCAATGTCTACTTATTTATTTAGGTTCGGAACTTGTGCATCAAGTCGAGAGAAATATTTCTTCAACAGCCCATTCTGCTTGAATTGGAGGCTCCACTAAAAATTTGTGGCGATATTCACGGCCAGGTATTTAAGTTTTAGCAATTAATCATAAAAACCAGCAAAAAATCTAATTTGATTTATTTGTTGCAGTACAATGATCTTTTACGGTTATTTGAATACGGAGGGTTTCCACCGGAGGCAAACTATTTGTTTCTTGGAGATTATGTTGATCGAGGGAAGCAGAGTTTAGAAACTATTTGTCTTCTTTTAGGTAAAAAAATGCACTGTTTATTGAAATGATATCGTCATTTATCCATTTTCTAACGCATTTGTTCTCGTTTTAGCGTACAAAATAAAGTACCCTGAAAATTTCTTTTTGCTTCGTGGGAATCACGAGTGTGCGTCTATCAATCGTATTTATGGGTTTTACGATGAATGTAAGTCATGCATAATACACATATGTAATAATTTTATAAATAGATATTATTGACAACAAAAAATAATGACATGGGCTATTTATTATTAATAATAATTGGGCGCATTGATGTGATTTATTCAGGTAAACGAAGATTCAATATCAAATTATGGAAGACATTTACGGACTGTTTCAACTGTCTTCCTATCGCTGCCATTGTAAATTTACCCGATTTATCAAAATTTAATAAAAAGTGATATTGAGTGATAGATTCCGATTCTATTTTTTTACAGATTGATGAGAAGATATTCTGCTGTCATGGTGGATTGAGCCCCGATCTCCAAAACATGGAACAGATTCGTCGTATTATGCGCCCAACTGACGTCCCTGATACTGGATTACTGTAAGTAAAGTATAATATAGTACGGATTGCCTGATATTGATTTCGACATCACGTTATGACCATAAAATAAACTAAAATTATTGTCATTGGATTAGTATGTATTGCATAAGATATTATATATTCGAGTAAGCATTATTAATAGATTTGCTTGTTTGTCTTTCTTTACGACAGATGTGATCTCTTGTGGTCAGACCCTGATAAGGATGTGACGGGTTGGGGAGAGAATGACCGGGGTGTGTCATTTACATTTGGTGCAGACGTTGTAACAAAGTTTTTGAATCGACATGATCTCGACTTGATTTGTCGGGCCCATCAAGTTGTTGAAGACGGGTACGAATTCTTCGCGAAACGTCAATTGGTTACCCTGTTTTCTGCACCAAATTACTGTGGCGAGTTCGACAACGCGGGTGGAATGATGTCCGTTGACGAAACGTTAATGTGCTCATTTCAAATCCTAAAACCTTCAGAGAAGAAAGCCAAATACCAATATGCACCCGTGAGCAGTAACCCCCCAGCAGCTGGGAATCGCCCAAGCACTCCACAGCGACCGGGTCAACCTGTCGTTGCGAAGAAGAAATGACCTCGTCGAATATTCCTTATGATTACCGCTCTACTAACGTAAGATAAAATAAAATCTTTAACTAAGATTAGCTAAATTATACTAGCTAGATACAAAAGTAATCTCAATTTCTAAGTCACGTTAATATTTTCACAGGTCACATAAAAGAAGCCAAGAAAGAGCGGAAAAGAAGTTACAACAAGTCCTTTTGCCACCATCATCTCCCGTAAATTCACACCCACAGCAACAGTTGCAGCTTCCTGAACCACAAATGCATAATACAGAAGAGTCTGCATAGCATCTAGCAGCAGCTTTAATTTATACAGAAAAGAAGAAGAATTCGTGTTGTTTGTTGAGGACGAGCGTTTGTGTACAAAGCGATCGATCGATTCTCATCCTGTCCTGTCCGCGTAATTAATGTCATCCCAACCTTTACCTTAAGTGTAGCATTAAAAAAACTTTATCACAAACTATTGTAGGTAACCAGACTTGATTACTTAATGATTCGTGCTCTTACTGGTATTTCAATTCTATATGCGATGAGGATGCAAAGATACGTACCTATTTGTAATGATATTCTCTAACCAAACCATCCATGTAGGAAAAGCGTGTTTTTCTAACGAATTTAGCATTTAGGGAAAATAAGTCCACCCAGTTTCATGATAGACTTATTTTTAGCATGTGTTGAAGCATTTAAAATACTAGTGTGTACTGCTATACTCTGCTAATACTACTAAGAGCCTTTTAAAATTATGATGGTTATACATAGTTTGTGTGCCACTTATTAGACATTACTTACTACTGGAACGGATGCAAATTTTTGAACTTACCTTTTATAAATCGTTTAACTCACTAAACTAATTTACACAATTATTATATTAAAATTAACTTAATGGCTATCATTTTCACTAGCATTTAGCAGTATACTACAATTACCTACACGTTTTTCAACATCTATATTTAAAAAATGTTCTATATGATTGCATTTGTTCAGGAAGTGCTGTCGACATTCAAAATTGGAAGTAATTTAATTTAATAATTTCAATGTGCATTATTATGCTGCACATTTAATGATAACGGCCGTGCTATACCCACATGCAATTGGTCACGTCAACATCATGCTAATTTGTCCCAAAGTGAAAAGAACATGTTTTCCACAAGTGTAGCTTAAAAGACAGATTTTAGCTACTTTAAGTAATGAATTCTCAGCAAGTAAAGTGACGACTTTTGGCTTATTATTTCGGAATCATTATCGACTGCTACTCTAGTTTAAGATATGTAAGCCTAGAATAAGGGCGAGTTGTCCAATTACACATTATTACTTTTGAAAAGTTGACAATTTAAGTAAATTGTACAGAAGTATAACGTATTTATTATTACCGTATAATAAAAATTAGATAATACAAACTACAATACATTAAGTATACCTATAAGCAAGTTCTACTATACCTCATACTCTGTATATTTCTGACAGTGACACAGATCAATAGTCGTCCATTAAATTTCCTATGTATGTAATTCATCATCGCAGCAGCATATTTTATGCAAATATGTCTGAGAAATAGTACTAGAGGATTTTTATGATTTTTGTAAGTCAGTTATATGTATATAAATTGTATGCATGTTTCCCAACGACATTTCTAGATGTGCTAATTAAGGTAACCCTCTGTTTCCAAAATACTGTAGCCATAAGTATTAATTAATTTTACGTATGCATAATATATGTATGTATTTAACTATTTTACTTATCATATGTATTATGAATTGGTTTCGCTTCTTCCAAATTTTGGAGAAGAAAAGAAACAGTAAAGAAAAAAAGAACTACGTAATAAAGAATACAAAATAAATTGACGAGAGAATTTGTATACGGTTTTCATATGACTTGACGGAAACTGCTTACTACTAGGATTAAAGGTGATTTTAAATTGCCATATATTACATATCAAAGTCCAGCAAAGGTTTTTTTAATGCGAATTGGCCAAAGTATAAATTAGCATCATCATCAACTAACCGCATGCAAATGTGTAAATGCCAATTTGCGCAATGTGATGTGGTGATTTTTGCACGTTCCCAACCCTATCCAAATTTCTCAACCCCTTTAATTCGTTCGCATCATCACCATCAAAGTGGAAATGTGACTTAAAAATTAACTATTGTTGAATTGAATTGGAAACAAAGTTACAAAATTTGTTTCTAGACCATTCGTTTTTAAGAATATGGTGAAATTTCTGGACGAATTGGATAATTTTGACTCCAATCTAAAAATCTGAGGATTTAATTATTAAATGTGGTTGTAGAGTAATATTGTTTATCGGTCGGTAGTATTTAGGATTAGTGGAAACTTGAAACTTGAACGTGAAATCTACGTGTGAAAGTGGAAGTGGTGGAAGTCAAATGATGTATGTAGCCAGCTGAACAGAAAAAGAGTTGTTTGTTACATCATTTATTTTGTATTTACAACAAGGACACGTAAAAATAGAAGATAACGAAGCCTTAAAAAAGAGCAGTAGTTGTTTTTTAGAAAGCAATGTGAATGTAATTGTTGTTCACATTTATATCAAATTAGGCATGATGATCAAAAGGTCAAAGAGACGACTGTAAACAATTGATTTAATTCCCTCCGGTAAGTTTCTTAATAAATTGATTATAATTAAAGTATGAACTACTTTTCAGCATAATTGGCAGCCCTGGTTTAGTTATTATTTAATTAATTCAACTAGATCTATTAATATAAAAGTTCAGTTATCGATTTTTTATGAAATTGGAGCACTAAATTTGTTTATGCACCTCGAATACTTCATACTTTCGCAAATAATTAAATGACAAACGGTGAAGTTATAGCTTTATGATGTACGAAGTCCTTCATCGTAAAAATTAGCACAGTTTATACAGCATAAAATGACTTGTCTGTTATATTAGATCTGAACATTAGAATAGAACCATTAGGACGCATCGAGACAATAGAAGTGTACAATTGGTATTGCAAATTTAAAAGGTTACTAAAAATGCTTGTCTAGTTCTTATTGTCAATTCATAATTTACGACTGAAAGCTTGTGCATTACATGCAATACGATACATGCTTACACAGACTTGCACTTACTCCAGCATATGCAAAGTATCAAGTGCAAATGCAAATGTACGGTTTTATGAGTCGTAGTTTTATTGGATTCAATAAGTGGCGAAGTATTATTGGCACAATTTTGTGAATTCCATTTCTTGTATTCACTTTTCACCTTTTACATACTTACACATATCTGTGCACACACATTTCATTTGATGACTGATTGATTTTTGCATATATGAAACAGGAGAAAGCGGTTCCTTATTTTGTTATTATTATGTGACAGCAATTCTAATCCCTTTTCTGGTTTGTAGTTTAGTCGCAAATACCGCAATCGAATCGAAAAATCGATCCAGCCTATATATTAAATATTCATTTGAGGGTAGTTTAGTTGTATTGTGAACCGGGCCACCTTTCTCCATTGTGGTATCAGTAGTTACTTTCGCATTCAAGTGGATATTACACACACATATCTTTATGAGTGATCATCAATCTATCATGTTATTTACAGTGGAACGTGTCACGTATTCATAATTATTAATGTAATCCTTCTTTGTCCTTTAAATCTAGATCCTCCTTAAAATGAAGCCATTGATGGAAACAGTTGAAAGAGTATTTTTTAGTGTTTCAAAAACTATTTTAACTTATTTCTAGTATAATATGTCGAAACTGAAACTGAGTCAGCAATTAAATCAGTACCACTACTATAGTTAGAGTGTATTATTACATCCGCCCCTTCTTCCTGTTTAACGAGATGGATTTAGATACACACATACGTGAATTCCTACTAGTTACTTGACCATTTCGTTTTATAACATTTCGTTTTTTACTGTGTGCCATAAAATCACCATTTTGTTTGGTAGGAAATTAAGATTGCCATTACTCAAGTTCAGTATTATTGACAAAAGTGATCGTTGTCTGCTGTACCGGGGACAGCGGACAGCAAGTTGTTCGTGAAACAATTGACATGAAAAATTAGATTAATCAGATTACTAACTATCATGAAGACGCGGAAAACTTTTATCAAAATGTGGCTGCAAGCAGCATGCCTATTAATTCTCGTTGCTGGAACGGTCACATGTTTGGGACCATCTTCGGGACCCACAGCATTGACAGCGGTGGTTCCTGCCGCAACGCTGGAAAGTGCCAAGAAACCAACTACAGAACTTACACCGGATCCGCTGAAGACACTTTTAGTCCTGGCTACCCTTGTAAGTAAACGAATAGACATAAAATCTCATCATGCATCCAATCCAATCCTTACTGTTGCTCTTATTCTGTTCAGGACGGAAGTTTAACGGCGGTCGACCGAATGTCAGGAGCGTTGAGATGGGTTTCGAAAGATGAGCCGATGATTAAAGTCCCATCCCCATCAAGTGCTAAAGCTCCATACTTTCTCCCCGATCCTAAAACCGGATCTCTGTACATCATGAATAAAAACAAAGTGAGAAAGATGCCATTTACAATTCCGCAATTGGTTGCAATGGCCCCGTGTAAAAACTCAGAGGGACTAATGTACACGGGGAGAAAGGTAATTTAACTTATAAAATGAAATACTGTCCTATAACCAGAATTAGTAAAATATTTGTAATTGTGTATGTATAGCTGGATTTCTGGCTCCAATTAAACCCTCATACTGGAGAAAAGTCAGAGCTACAATCACATGTCGATTCCACTTGTCCAGCGAAAGGAAGTGATGATGATGACATTAATAAAAGTTGTACCTCTACCGATGCCCTGCCGGGGCTTATGAAAAAATCCTTGCTTATCGGCAAAACAGAGTACACCTTGTCGATGGCAGAGGGGCCAAGAAAGTGGAACGTGAGTTATCACCACTACTCATCCATGGACATGTCTCCACAAAGTGCTCAAGACTATGGTACGAGTGGAAAGTTTTTCACAAAATAAGCAATGTCATTTTCTAACGACTTATTGTCTTGCTTGTCTTATTCAAAATTTGTATATAGATTTGGTCCACTTTACATCGCCATCGTCTGGAGCAGTTTTAACCTATGACCGAGAAAGTAGTCAACTCCTCTGGCAAAAGGAAATCGAATCACCAATAATTGCCGTGTACACCGTAGATTGTGACTCGTCCAACTTGATTAGCGTTCCCTTTAACCCTATTGCACCAGAGACATTAACCCGGCTGAAATCTGAGACGTCCCAAAACAACAAACCACTATCGTCAAAAACATTCATTGGAGAATCCAACTACGGTCTGTATGCTGTTCCCACGCTAGTTGACGAATTGGTCATGCTGATTTCTGGGGACGGAAGCACTCCGCATCCACCATTGATTGAGGGACCTAACAAGGAAAATGATACTCCTTCAACAACAACTCCTCCTGCTTTTACTACTGAGAAGGATGACCCACCAAGACCACATTCTAATTCGAATGTAAACAGCAAATTTCCAGCCCTGCCAAATAATGATTCTTTTGAGAAACAAGATTCTGTAGATGAAGACTTCATCATGCTTGGATATTACAATACCATCGAGCCAACTGGAAAACCACCTTCAATGCAGATTGGACAATCATCAACCAGCAATCATTTTGATAGTTTGCCAGCCGGACAGTACAACGAGTCCCATGACCTTCCTGGAGGTTTCCTTACACCCGGAGAACAAGAAAAGGTTGTTCCGCATAACAACAATCTTCAACTGTCTGATCCTGTTCCCTTGAATACTCCTCCAATTACTACGACGGATAATAAGGTGTCATTCCCACCCTTTCCTATCCACCAGGCTCAGCCCCCCATAACTCCTGTCATGGCTGAGAAAACTGTAAAGCCAATCAAGATCGTATTCACCACTGCTGCCATTTCTGTCGCCATTACAGTCATCGTCATAATAGCTGGGACGATCGGCTATCGAAGATTCCATCCAAAATATGCTAATAAGCTGAATAAGCAATTTGAGGAAAATAAAAAGAAAGTTTCCGATAGTGAGGAGGAACCGTCTTCTCTCGTGAAGAAGCCAAAGAAATCTGCCGATGGATCTGTCGTTTCAGTTGGAAAGATCAGTTTTTATCCATCGTCCGTGCTGGGAAAGGGATGTGAAGGCACGTTTGTATACAAGGGAAAGTTTGAAGATCGTGATGTCGCAGTTAAAAGGATTCTTCCAGAATGTTTTGCCTTTGCAGACCGAGAAGTAGGTTGCATTATTTTGAATAAGTTACACAAATGAATTGCTACATTAATTTTTCAATTAATTTAGGTGGACTTGCTCAAGGAATCAGATCAGCATCCCAACGTTATCAGATATTTTTGTACTGAAGCAGACGGCCAATTTCGTTACATTGCTCTTGAATTGTGCGAAGCCACGCTGGCAGATTGGATTGAGGGTAAATTTCAGTGTGACTATATGGATCCCATCCGAGTGCTTAGAGAAGCGACAGGTGAGAAAGAGTTCCCATGTTTAATTTTTCGCATGAATCAGTGTATTATTTATTAGTATTGTTTTCTCATTAAATTTGCTCAGACGGACTTGCACATCTTCACGCGTTACGAATTGTCCATCGGGACATTAAACCTGGTAAGTATAGTATCTGGTTTAATGGGTTTAGCGTTAATGGGGAAAGTGCCGAATTTATTACATCTCTTGTATAACATTTCAGCCAACGTTCTTATTTCCATGAGTGGTAGCGGTTGCCGGGCTCGAACCATGATTTCGGATTTTGGCCTGTGCAAAAAGATTACGAATGGTAGGATGAGTTTCTCCCGAAGGTCCGGAGGGATTCCAGGGACGGATGGATGGATAGCGCCTGAAGTTCTCAAAAATTTGGAAAAGCGTTCCCCAGTTCAGTCGCATAGAATGGTATTCAAACAATTTTTTTCGTATATTTTTATATAATTAAATATGTACTTAACATTAATGGTTTAATTAATTGCAGTCATATTCTGTGGATGTTTTCTCCCTGGGATGTGTTTACTATTTTGTTCTGACAAACGGAGAGCATCCGTTTGGAGAACCGTTTCGAAGACAATCTAATATAGTCAATGGAGAGTATAGTATTGCCAAAGTGCAATCAAACCCACAGGGAGTTTACGATTTAATCAATTTGATGATCTCATCCGATTCAAATATGCGACCTCCCCTGTCTGATGTGCTAAGTCATCCTATGTTTTGGTCGAAGGACAAGATCCTCACATTTTTCCTCGATGTCAGTGACAGGTTAGCTGATTTTTATTTGTGTTTTCCCTATCGAGCTGTTTAATAGAGGACATTCCATCTATTTTTCTATTTATTACTTCTACTCCCCACGCCAATTAATTATAAAATCCATCAACATGTCTAATTATTTAACAGAATTGAAAAAGAGGACGAAACCAAGTGTGTACTACTGAGAAGGTTAGAAAGTGATGGGACTAGAATTGTGAGGGAGGATTGGAGGTAAGAGAATAATCTAATACATGCATAAGTAATTACATAGGTATATTGTTGGTTAAGAATTTCTAATTTTAATTCATTTTTGTTTGATTTAGGGACCACATATGCCCTGAAGTTGCAATGGTACAACAAACTATTTATTTTATAATTTTAGCTTATGACGCTTATAATACTTTCAAGTACTTGTGCGTTTACACGCACCAGCGAGAAAACTAGTATTAGTGCTTTAAACGATTGATTAAATGAATGAAATATTTTTTGCAGGACTTGCGACGATATCGAACGTACAAAGGCCAAAGTGTCCGTGACCTACTTCGTGCATTAAGAAATAAGAAGAATCATTACAGAGAACTGACTCCTGAAGCTCAAGCATCCCTTGGTCACATTCCCGACCAATTTACAAATTATTGGATCGACCGATTCCCTGAACTCCTGCCTTATACATGGCTAAAATTTGAAGCAGTCCGAAATGAAACCATATTCTCAAAATACTACCCGAAAACATTTAGTTTTAATTCGTTCATTAATGGAGACGATGAACCCATACTAGATGAGTTGGACGAATGTGATAGTGACGGCAATAGGTTGCAAGTAGGCAGCAGCAGCAGAGGGGTTAGCCCCGATAAGTCTCCAAAACTTGATAAGAACTTTTGGAGAGCAAAATCTCAGTTCAAGTACAACAAGTGGCGACGCCAACAGCAGAATACAAACGTTCGAGAAAATCCACACAATTTCACCAGTTTCGGAACTACGAGATACACGCAGCCGAATAATGATTTAATGTCTCCATCCCCAGACTCTGACCTTTCTTGGAGGAAACCAATTCCTTAATAATTCCTATGATAATATGACTATGAGAAGGTAACGGACTAAATCCTAATCGTTATATGTGTACATAAATAGGCCATATTTTATTACCACTACAGTACTGTTATAAAAACTACTCGGACTCTTATACATAAGTAACTTTAAGCGGATAATCGCAGTTTTAATTTAGTGATACAGAAGTAGATATTATTACTCTTTGTGTGGGAGCTGTTATTTTATTATGACTGAAGAAATATCTTTTCAGTTGAACTTTGAAAGAATGAATATATGTATTTCATATTATATTTACTTTTAGTTTTGGTTTGGTCATCCTATTTGGGTTAGTGACGAAATGTGGAGAGGACGGAATATCACCTCTGAAATATGGCTGAAAAATATGTGGATGACAGAAATATGGATAAAAATATAATGTGGATGAACAAAATGTGGAAAATTTAATTTTTTAGATAAATTAAAAATATGGCTTTGACTGGTACAACAATTTTACATGGAGCTATCATTGGATTTCTGAGAACTATCGACTTCAACTCGGACCCAAAATTTCCGATTTCCGTCCTGAAATTCGGTGTAAATGGTAGTCTATAAGTATAATTTGTATAAAAAGTTACTTACATTCTCCACAGCAGATCCTAAATAGGTATTAATCTTTATGCGTAATTTTTATACAGAAGACGAGACTTATTTTTCGGTGTAACACAGAAACTGAGACATTTTGGGACATTTTTTGACAATGTATTTTGCATCTCAAATTGTAGTGAGAAGTGTTCTTTAACACACATGACACAGTCCAATATAATACCAGGGTACCAGGTCAAAATTTTTTACCGACCACACCCCCTGTTGGAGGACTAGCCTTAGTAGCCCATAAGGGGTGTGGTCCTGGCATTTTTATATTTTGTACTGTGCAGGGACAAATTAAATTAGGATTAGAAGGGCAAGAATAGCACATAATCCCCATAACCAGTTTCCATATTGAAGGCATCCACGTTTTGCCCTTTCCATATTTATGGTCATCCACGTTTTTCCACCCACATTTCGTCCCATCCACATTCATTTTATACACATTTTGTCCGGATCCCATCCTATTTAGTCAGAGTTCAGCAGGTAATCCTGCCTGAGTCTGTATAGATAATGCAATTTATTCCATTTCCTTCTCATTTTAATGCTGCTGTCGAAATATAGTTACCCCCCATCGTGTGATACTACATATATGTACTTGTTTACTAAATATGTCGATGTACATCGGAAAACTCGCACTATTAGTACTAAAAATTTAAATTACTACTGTGATACGAAATACATATATAGTTATGTTATGTATATGGATGGTTAGGTTTATTATGTTTTTGCCTTTTAATGAGCCATTAAATGGAAATGAAGAAATTTTTAACCAAAGTCAAAAGTGAAAAAGAAAACTCGACTGATTTGAAGAAGTTATACATATATTCCGTACACTTGGTACACAAATTCAATTACTACATGTACAAATTTAAGGCGGATCGTAAAAAGGTAGGCAAATTTTATCTCATTTAACTTATTTGAGTTTGTTAAGAATATAAAAAGAATTAACAAAGATATCATGAAATTGATATTCCTGTATTGTTTTGTGATTCAAAAAAGGTAGTACTTTCAAGCATGTTGTACACTGCACTAGATTATATTTAATTAGACTTGAATTGTTTCGTTAATCGTTAATTATGTGAAAAATGTTCACATTGTACAAGTAGTAGACAAATCATAAATTGGCATAAATGTGGATTAGATACATAATGAATTTCATGTAGGTCAAGTCAACTCAGATTATTGCAAACCATTTATTTTTATTTTCACCATTTTATACAGATTTACTTACTACTCAATTACGCAGGTACCTTTCTTTGCATACCATTACTTGATTCAAGTGTCATTTAAATAATAATATCATAATACATATGTAACTGCAACCAGAGAACATGAAAATTTGCAGCTATTTGCATTGATACATAACTACATGAATACTTTGTAGTTTGCACGTCATATCGGTTCTGTTCTGGTATTATATACATTATATTAATAAAAATTACATACAACCGCAAATCAACTCGGCAGGAGCCAGGGCGAATAAATAAATGCAAGGTTATTACTTGATAATACGAAATATGGCAAATGAATAGAATTTGGGTCAGCATAAAGTTTCCTTCTGAATGATTTAAATTAGAATGGTACATTTTAAACCCAATCAAACCCAACTGCTATTAATGAGACTCCTGCCGGGTTTAATTCACTTGGCAAAAATTATAACATGAATTTGTTCAGTTTCATTAGTGGCCGGTTGGTGTGCCCATCATTTGTAATGGTGTAGTTTAGTTGGAAAATAATGATGAAGTGTTATCATCATTTAGTTCTGCATGCATTATGCCTTTGTCCTCCATAAATTTGCGGTGGCTTAATCAATTAGTAGATAAGCAAGCTACAAATGAACCCAAAAAACGATAATATGGATATCTCCTTGTCTATCCTCGTTTTCCCAGCTTGACAGTCGAAAATAAGGTACGCACAAAAATTTTGCAGAGTTTGCGTCTTTCTCCTCTCGTTCGTATTTACAATGTATGTTGCATATCGGTAGTACAGCGTTTGTTAAAACTACATAAATATGCAAATGTACGGCCACATCACCGGCACGGCACCGGCCAACTTGCTCCGATAAGATGTCAACTTGTTATCTAGCAAAAAAGGTTTTTCCATTTTCCATCATCTCCATTAATTCGAATCCGATTGGTTGATTGGTTCACATATTGCAAAATGCACAGACAAAACAAAATACAATCTTTTGCGAATTCTCCACTTTTGATGTTATTCATCCCAACAACCTAAGAAAATCATCCAAAAACCGGTTTCGATTTATATTTCAAATAAATAATGTGTTTTTTTCCTTCATGCATATTTGCATAAAATGATCAAATCCGTCCATTCCCCAAATAGATGCGACTAAATATAGAAAATTTAAACTTTGCAAAATTATTTCGTTATCAACATCCGATATTTAATGCCGGGGTCATGAATCTAATCTAAATTTCATGAAACCTATTCTTATGATAAAAGATTTAAACAGATTTTCATGAATTTTTGGATGACTAATTAAGCAACTTGGATTACTCACTCACTTTTCTGTCCATCGACTTGACTATAATAATAGCTCTGTTGGCAGTTAACTTGGTTAACGATCATGAACTCAAGAAAAGTCATCTCTCATGAAACTTCATTGCCAAACCGAACGAACAAAGTAAAGCAGTAAAAGATGAGAATGGGATGAAATGAGATCAGGCCATTGGGACTGCACAATCAACGCTCTCTAGAAAAAGGTAAGCCACACAAGTTGGTACTCTTGTCTTAACCTTAACTATAATGAATTTCCAGCTAAAAACTTTGTAATTAATTTCATCCCCGATAAGTACTTGTCATCTACTTTAATTTTCCCCAATTTTTTTACCAAAATTTCAGCCCCGTCAAGTTTCCCTAGACAGACGGACCCTTCCATATCTACACATTGTTATCATCTCATAAGACACTTATCATCATCTTTATCAACATCACGGATGATAAGCCCTCCTGCGCGACGAGATAGTTGCACTTCCTCCTTCATCTCAACAAGTGGAAAGATCTTCAAACTCCGCGGCCCTGGCTGCCATGCGCATTCATTCCTCTCGTCCACTCTTCTTCGTCGCCTCGTGCTCTCCGGCTTATGTCCCACTAAAAGTCTGCTCCTGCTGCTGCTCACCAAAAATCCACCACATTTCTGCCTCTCTCTTTCTCTTTCTCTCTTTCTGCGGCTAAATCCCCCCACTTTTTTTCACCACAAATTCTCACCAACTGCCACTTACTCCGAGAGAACCACACCCACACGCTAATCAGCAGGGAAGGGGCGAGTCAGCATGGCTGAGCACGGGCAGCAAGAGCAGTGCGGTGCTGCTGGTGGGTCGGATGACGAGTTTGAAACCGTTGTGAGGAAGAGGCATTCGAATTCGCATGCGAACAATTATTATAATAATAGTCAAAAGTTTCGAGGAGGAATGGATTATAGCAACACATACAATGGTGGCGGTGGCGGTGGCGGTGGTGGTGCTGGACGCGGTCGAGACAGGGAATGTGGAGGACGAGATTTCAGAAGTTCTTCGAGCAGTAATAATACAAACAACAGCAGAAATTTTCGAAGAAAACCGTATCGAGAGAGAGACTTTCATTCAGAAAATAGACGATATCCGCATGGAGAGCACCGCGACAATAAGTTACAACAGCAAAACAACATAGTTTTACCAACATCACATAATAGTAATAATAATAATCAACAAACACAGTTCCCCCAAACAAATAATCATTCGTCTACTTCCATTAGCATAATACACACAACTACGTCGACGACACATAATAATACAAATACTGTTGGTCACATTAACGGTGGTGGTGGTGAACCAAGTAGTTGTACTAATTATGTGACATTAAACAGCCGTTTAACAGTTACAAATGGGTCTGTTTGTTCCGAAAGTGGATCTAGTTCAGCAGAGTCAGTTCATAGTAATACCGGCGGCGTGGACGTTGTTGATGCTCAGATAAATCATAATTGTCACGTGTCAGGGGGAAGTATTTGCGGCAGTGCCTCAACCTGTGACACCGACCTTGCTCAAATTATTCAGATTGAAGAAGAAGAGTTGAGATCTCCTCTCGTCGTAGTTGCACCTCCGCCAGCCGTCAACCCGTGGAGGGTTAATCCCAATGCAGCTTCAGTAATTACAAAAAAGTCTCCGGCATTTCACAAACTGGCATCGGCAGAAGCAGTCAACGATGCCAACCCCACTCAGATATCGTCACAGATGAATAATCAAACTCAGGAAAATTATAATGCTCCTCGTTCCAATTCGGTTGGGGGGATGAATAGCGGTGGTGGTGGGTTGAAAAATACGTCAAAAAAAGATATGATCAAGAAGAGAAACAATGTACCCTTGCCAAATAATACAAATAAACCCCGCAACAGCAGTAGTAGTAAACCAGACTTGAAACTGGATATGAGTCGAGATATGAATAATGTTTTGAAAGACGCTTCGCCAATGAATTCGCCAATGTCACCGAAAGGTAAACACATAATAATAACAAACAGTTTAATACTACTATTCTAATTTATTATTATTAGATTGATAATGAAATGATTTGCCTGAATAAATAAATAGCTAATTTTGTTTTTTATTGAAATTGTTTAGCTGCAGAACTTCCTTCGGAAAACGGTGCTGATTCTCCAAAAGATGCGGACAAGGGAGAATGCTGTGATCCCGATATTATTGCTCAGCCGGTAGTAGAGGAACTTATTATTGCCCCCGCTCCTCTTCCGCGAGGTATTAATAAATATTCGTGATATATATCAAATATGCATATTTCTAATTTCTCACAATTTATATCCTTTCCTTGTATTTAGTGAACCCATGGCAGGCAAACAAAAACGCAGTGTCTGTCATCACTGGACGAATTGAATCAGCTTTGCCTAAAATTACCCAGCAGCCCTTATCGACTACAACGCCTTCCCCGCTATTAACCCCCACTGTAGAAAATAGAGCACGCAACACGGAAATGTCAACAGGGAATTCGACTGCTAATACTAAGACTACACCACTGCTACAACCAACAACGTCTACATTATCTGATACTGCCAAAACTCAAAAGACTACTAGTTTCGCATCGTCGAAACCAACCACTAACGCTTCTCAAACTGCAAATTGTACTTCTTTGACTGTTGCGGAAACCAATGTACTTGGAGTGTCGGCATCGACGCCTCGATATGATACTACTTCGACTGGTGAAGATATGACGGACGGATTGGCACAAAGTCAACACAAAGGTAACAAAAGAGGTTAAATCATAAAATCATGTTATGTCACTCGGTTGGTAACAATAATTAACAATGCATGCGTAGTAGTATTCTTCGTCGTCGTAACTTGGAAATTGTAAATAATATAATAATAGTGCTTTCCTATCCTACTCGTTTGTCTTGCAATTTGTTTGTTGAATGCCAATATGCTAAATACCAAATTCCACAGAATTAGTCGTTCGATTCTTCGTCTGTCGGTGGCACATTGACACGAAAAAATATTTAATTTGATTATTTATTACTACTACGTTGAGAGCATGTATGAGTTGTTAAATAATTGTATGTTGATGCTGACTTACTTTACTTTTTGCAATAACAAACAAATCCTTGAACACTAATTTATTATTAATGCTTGTTAGTTTTATATAAGGACAAGTGCTCATTCAATTGGGTTATACTTACTGTTCTTTGATTTCTTGCTCCTACAGATATTCAGCCACAACAAGGGCCTAAATTCCGTCGAGGCTTTGCAGCAGTTACAAAACATCGCCACAAGGGGATCAGTACTAACAGTGCACTATCTTCAATTCGAAATTCTCCTGAGGACTGGCCGAGTTTACAAACAACTGTCACTGTGACAGTGCCCCAACCACAAGCCAAACCTGTGATATCGTTGCCTGTCTCCCCCGTGAAGAAGATGGCTGGAGGAGCAAATCAAGGAGGAGGAGAAGAGTCTACTGCCACAACGTCTATTCCGGAGAGTGATGATATTCTTGGACTTCAGAAACCAGAAACTCTGCCAACAAGTGCCAACAATTGGCCTTCGATGGTAAACACGATTGTATCAGGTGATAACAATAAAGAAAACAGTTTGGAGAGTGGGTGGCACAGTGGTTCCGAACTGAATAATGAAGATACACCTTCTGAAGCTTCCTCTGGAGAAATACTGACTAATAACAAAGACTTATTGCCTGACGAAGTAAATTCGGGAAATCAAAGTGAGAACGGAAGCTTGGGATCCGGGAGTAGTGATCAATCTGTCGACAACGAGCTTGAAACTGATGGCTCTGGGACATCAAAAAAAGGAAAAAAGTCGAAACAGAAATGGACAAAGTTGGATCTTCCCCAAACTCCGTCTGCCAAAACTAGATCGCGACAAGAACGGCAGCAAAGTATGGAAAAGGAGCGATTAGAAAAGGGAACAATAAATAAAGAATCGGTGGATTCTTTGCACCAAAATGAGGCCAAACCCAAATCTAAAGGGTCATTCAATAACAATAACAACAATAATAATAACAGCAAAGATAATATTATAAATGCTAAGCTTGCGAGTAAGTTACTATAAATTATTTTTTAAGTGGGAAATTATTTGCTTATTTTGAAAGCAGTAAAATGGTTCTTTTCCTCAGATGGACCAAGTAATGATTCCCGACAAAACTATCCGTCTCGAGGTCGTGGACGAGCCAGCGGAGTCCGGGGAAGGTCTGGACGATCAGGAGGTGGTCGTGGTCAATACTGGAGTTACAGGGAAAGTCCAACTACTGACATCATAATAACTACACAACAACTTCAGGATTACTTGTCTGTCGAAGACTATCAAGACTATCCTGCTGATTACACCACTCTTCCGCCCTTGTATCCCGTGACCGAGTTTGCAATGCCGTATGTAGGTGAACCGTTTTTTCATCCTACTTCAGCACTAGCTACAACGCAAGAGCAAACAGGTTATAGCTCCCCTCCAAACAACACAACGGAAGATGGTAGTCCGTCCAATTATGAAAGTACGATATTGGATTCAGTTCAAAAGCAAATGTAAGTCAAGATACGATATGATTTATTTATTTAGTTTAGAATGAATTAATAATGACATAACAATAAATAATTATCTAATTGTATTGTGCGTTGCAGAGAATACTACTTTAGTGAGGAGAATCTGGGAAAGGACTTTTATCTCCGTCGAAGAATGGACCCCGAAGGATATCTCCCAATCAACTTTATCGCCACGTTTCCCCGTCTCAAGACATTGACTCAAGATCTAGCCTCTGTGATTCAAGCGATCCAAGCATCGCAAGATTTGGAGCTTACTGAAAATTTCACCTACGTCAGAACTCGTATATCCCCCGAGAAATGGCCCATCCTAAATGACGATGCCCCTCCTGCGCCCAACTCGAACGCTACTTCACAACCCTTGCTGCCGACACCCACGTCGTCCGTCTCCCCGTTTGTAACCTACCAATATCCTCCCACTAGCAATGGTTCTTGCGACATGCTCTCTAGTGACTCCTCTAGTAGTAATCACTCATCATTCAGTCCTTCTGGCATCAACCTTAACCCAGATGTTCCCGAATTCGTACCTAAATCCAATATAAACGTATCCTTAACTGCATAATATAATATAATACGTAGGTTCTGTTTTATGATGATGTCCATTAATGATGATTTGATTGATTATCCATTGTGATGCTTATATTATTGTTTGTTGTGGTACTTGGTACTCGGAATGATTCGATATTCGCATTCATTTAGCTTTTTATTCGTGCAACGAATGAATGTTTCAGACTTAAGTGTGTGCTTTTCAGTTGATTTTCAATTTTGATTGAATGTTTTAACCTGAGGTGTGATTCACCTCGAATTTATTATTATTATTATTATTGTAGTTTGTTTTGTGGTAACGAGTATCGAGTACTCACTACCACACGTAGTCTGCGCCATGTATTTTGTTGTGCTCAGTTATTTTATTTCAGAGTTTTTTGTCGTTGTACATTTAGTAGCGATTTGATCTAGAAACAAAAAAAAATAATGACACATCACACTCACTATTATGAATTCCTAACAAAAAGCAAGAAAGTATTCTTCTTATTTACTTTACTACTACTGTTTTTTAGTTGGTCGTTTTTTCTCTTCTTGTATTCAGAATCTTTTCATCTTTCTAACAAATATCAATATGAAAACAATTTTTAATAGTATCTCTCTGCAGAATAAAGAATAAAAAAATGTAGGTTTACTCTTGTATCAACTATAATATATATACTACTACTATTGTTCCTAAATTGAAATTTTGTGTGAGAGATCAAAAAAAGATGAATTACAAACTGCCTTACAGCAATTATGCCCTCAATTAATTAATCATCATTACTTTATAAACTATTAAATAATATATATATATAAATAAATATATAGATGAATACTATTATTACGCTATATAATATATTATAATATGAACTGTGTAACAAATAGTCTGTGTGTATGTAATTATATACCGATTTATTAATTACCAATTCGTTATTGACTGATATGTCAGAAGATTATTATTATGCATCACATACAGATGATGATGGTTAGTGTTGAGAAAATTCTCGATAATGTAGAATAAAATGCCAATTATTTCAAAGTGTTCAATAATTGAGGCGAGTTTCTTAAAGCATTTCATATTTTATTCTTTTAATTTAAATTTAGGACAATTGTTGCATGAATGATTCGGCACAAATTTACAATTTACAAAAGTTAAACTGTGGATTCGTATCTGCATTAAATTAAAATACATGGCATTACTGAAATTGATTCTCTTGCAATAATTATTTTGCGATAGATACTCGTACATATTTATGACAATTAATTTTTTAGGTCATTTCATTAAATCAAAAAAGTTTTGTTTTGTGAGTAAGCAAAATGTTAATAATATTTAGCACGCTAATTATGATTATTACAACACCATACACTTAATAATATTTAACCGTCATCGTTTTGTCTCGTTGTTTACAGAAGTTGACTGACCTTGATCTGACCTGACTTTGATGATTGACTATAAAAAATGATCCGCATCACTGCACGACTATTAATTTAAACAAGCGCTTTATGATTTTTTTCTCCACACGTAACTAAACTATGTAATGACTAAGCTTCCTCTAAAATTTAGTATTTTAAATTACCTTATGATAACTCAATCAGTCTACAAAAAGGAACGAAAAGAGAAAGCAAAAATTATAAAACAAAATAAATGCATCGTAAAGTTACCTTGAACATTGTGTAATGACAAGAATGAATAATTAAAATTATAGAATAATAATTATTAGTATTTAGTATGGCAAATGAAACATATCATTGACTATATTTAGTAGCTTTCTTGTCGGAATATTACATAATCCAGACCCACCCACCGCACCGGAAAATGACTCAAAATATTCTGAGAAAAAGAGGTCGGGAGGACTCGTAATCGACATTTGTTTTTACGTAATGATTATGATTAGTCAACATAACAAGGATTTCAATCCTTCATTAAATATCTAATTTTGTATGATATTTAGTTGTATATTTCAACGGGAAAATATTTTGCATATCTAAATTGTCGTCGTCATCGTCGTCGTGTAATAATTCACATATAATTAAAGCTCTCATCCTTCATCCTACTGATGACCAGCAGCTACCATGTGTCCCATTTGTGCTTGTTGCATTTTCCACATTTTCCGGAGACGTGCTTCCTTTGGCTAAACAAATTTGAGGAGCAAAAGTTGCAATTAATTTGACAACATATAAATTCGTTAAAATGGGAATTAATAACAAATTGCACAAACATTGTAGTGATAATGTGGAAATTTTATCTTGTGGGCGTCGTTAGCTTGTCGGGCAGCAGTGAAATATTTTGCCTAAGGATTTAATAAAATAACGATTTGAAATAATATGAACTGAAATCATGGAACTTTGTCCTTAGTTCTAACCTTGAGTTCTTCTGACAAATTTTTCCACATGAGTCCTAATCGTACACTAGAGAAGAATTATCAATAGATTATTAATTATTGTTCACTCATTCCTACCTGAAACAGTAGACTTAATTAATTTAATTGCATATTATACCTAATTTCTTTGTTGCTCTCATTCGGAAACTGGTTTGCGAGTTGTCGTCGCCACTCATTTGCAAATATCATGAACGAGTTTGGAGGTCTTGGGATTTTCTCCTTTTGTTCAAAATCAAATGGCACTGGAAATGCAGAAAATGTAATACTTGTTAAGTTGGTTTCAGTTGACAGCAATTTTAGCTATGTCAGATAAGAGTATTTTTAACTATTTAATAAATATTATTGCAGCCCTCAACGATTGTATCTTACTCTTTATTATACTCTTACATTTTTCATCGCTGGTATTGGCGTCCTGTATTATAAAAAAATTCATGGGCAAAGTTACTTCAAAAGTTGAATTTGATTCATAAGTGTTTATCTGACTTTTACTTTCACTTTCTGTTTCCTACTTACAGCATCTTTCAAAGGCGAGTCCCACTCAGTCTTAATATCGTTGGCGTCGATATCGCGTAAAAGTGGGGGTTCAATGTTAATCGCGGTTAATAAATCATCCATGGGATCTTCATGATCAATGTCTTCGGTTGACCGAGACGTGTCGGTGATATTTCCTTCTGACTTTGGAGATTGTGTTTGCTGTTTCGCTTTCTTGGTGTCGTGAGAAGTTGTCCGAGCTCTTTTTCGCCTTCTGTGCAAAGGGACGTTAGGCCTCTCTGGTATTTCTGAACCTCCACCACCACTTGTTCTCCTATTTGGTAGTTCACAGTTTGGTGAAGAAAGATCTGAGGCTTTATCTCCATCGTCGTCATGTACATCGACGGGAGCTTCGCGTTTAGATCGGACGTTGGACAAGCCTTTGATTTGCAGTCCTTCAGCTGCCTTCAGTAATCTGGACATGACTGATTCTGAAACCTATGAGAGATCCATAACCATGAATTGAAATGTTTTACTTGAAGAATAATAAATAATAAAATTTTATAAAAGTAAAGAACTACTTTTCATACCATGACTTCTCCCTTGTACATGAATTCGACCACAGCTTGGACATCTTCAAATTCGAACCCTGTGGGAAAGAAAATATCATCATCAAACTCTGATTATCTAATTGTAATTAACATTGCGTTTGAGAAAAATAAATGATCGTTTGTTTACCGTTCATAATAATTATTGGATGGGGGGTAGTGTCGTGACGGTCAAAAATTTCCTGAAATTTACAAAACACAATGACATAAGTGTTGTTCTCTCAAAAAATTTCTAACTTTAATCATACCTGAAAATAAGGACTACATGCCCCTAAGACCATCCTATGAGCTTTTAAAAACTTTCCCTGCGTGGTCAACGTGACATCAACCATTTGTTCACGCTCATACTGGTCCGCAAATACCTAAACCAACATGAAGTTGATGTAAAAATTTATATTTTTATGAGAATTCCTACTTACCTGAACCAAATTGTTGGTATGATTATTCCACCGAAGGTTAAACTGTTGTCCGGTCATCTTATCTTTGAAATTTATCTCAAATTTTCAACCACAATTTTTCTCCTCAATCTGCAATTAACAATTAAACATGTTATTATTAGCAATAATGGTTCTTGTCTGCTGTCTGACACGCCACCATCAGTCCCACGAAACAAATCAATACTACTTATCCCCTCTCAAACAATGAGAGAAAGAAAAGACCAACCAGAAGTGTAACCCAGTTTTATCGACCAGAAACTCTACAACAACTAAAATTCCCCTCTCTCTCTCTGCCTGGCTGCCTAATAAATAGTTAATTGTTCCAACAATGAACAAGCACTTACTACAACAATAACATATATAACGTCACCTCCAAACAATGCGTGCTTATTCGTATCCTGTCCTGTCGTCCCGAAATAAAGTGAGAAAGTTGCCAACGTTTTTTTTCTAAAATGGCTCCTTCACCCGAGTGCAGCGAGTGTATTGTTGCGAAGAAGAATGTCTCGAACACAAACGAACCACACCTGCGAAACTTGTCCTCCTCCTCGTTTTAGGAGCTGTATTGTCTCCGAATCGATACTTATAAGCACCACGGACGAAGAAGGAACGACTGTGAAACAAACAGAATGCTGGCTGAGCCACAATGAGCTGAGTAGCAGCGATACAATGCAATGCCCTGTGCACTATCTATATTCGGTTCGGTCGGGTGGTATGGATGGATGGATGGATGGTTAGTGGTAGTAATGAGCAAGTAGATACCCGGGTTCGGTTTCCTCGGTGTTTGTTACCAGGAGAGCAGTACGCCTACCAACTAATGCCAACCAACCCCAAAACCCCTCTTTCTCTGGCTCTTTTTCTCTCCCGAGCTCTCTGTTAAGTTAAACAATGCATGCCAGAGTAAATGCGATGTGATGTTATATATGTTCTGCTCCCTTTCCCTCATATCGACGTGCATAATAATAATATCTTGCCTCCCACCCACAATCGGGAGGAGGAGGACTACAGTTTTAACCCGTTTTTACCACTGACGTAATCCCGCAACACTGGCTGACACGAGCCAACAAACACTTTTTCGTACTTTTACTTACTTACGTGATGCCATTTGTGCTCGCTCAAAACAAAATGTTGATGATGTGAACAACTGCACTCGGCGTGGAAGCTTTGCTTGGTTTGTCGAGTTGTTGGCAATCAAAGGAATGGAGAACAGTGGTAGCAAAATAGTGTAATAATAATGAGACAATTGTGGTCTCAACTAACTTCCGTTCTGGTATTCTCTGGGTTGCGAACGTTGTTTATGCGGGATTCGGATTTATGACAATCATATAATGATGACGGGAGAAGTTACATAGTCTGTTTGCAGTAATACTTACATAGATACGTTCTTGGCTTCAATTTCTGCTCTAATTCGGTACAATGAGAGGACAAGAAGGAGGAGAGGAGAACAAATGACTAATCGCATAATAATTCTAATCTCTTCTTGTACAACATATGTACATATATTCTCTCTCTATTTGTGCTATTTGTGGCGATCGACTATTCTCAAACTTCACCAGCAGCAGTACGAAACGACTGGTGAGATCGATTGTTCAACTCGTCTCACATTTGCTACACTGTAAATTTTATAGAAGAGACGCAAACAATTGTATCATGAATGACCTCTCGAATTGATGTTTTTGATGAACATAGTTGTTAAAAAATGACTCAGCATCAACAAAGGAGAGGAAGAAGAAGAACTCAATTTGTGATTCAACCAATGTTGAGATTAAGATTTTCTCTGTAACAAAAGCCAATAAACACGTTCATTAATGCAGCTCTGATAAAGAAGGAGGAACAACTGCTCAACAATAAATAATCCGTCCACACATATGCCAAGTGGACTAATATGTGGATGATTATATCAATAAATCCTTTCTTACTACTTCATAATAATTGCATTTATACACATTTATATTGCATACACCGGGCTCCAGAACTTTGTCGTACTCCATATTTCATTCAGCTTCATTGCGGTAAAAGATAGAGCCAAACTAATCATTTCGTTATATGCATACATGGAATTATTTAGTTGTTCATGTTTTTCCACGTATGCATTGCATTATTACGACCTTATTTAAACATACTTATCCTCCTCTTCATAATAATAATAATTACTTGATAAAAAATGTTCCAAAGTCACTCCACCAACAACAAGTATGTACCACGTACCACTAACTAATTAATGAATAAAATATATTGGATTGGTTTTCTTTCACCAAGTCACATACTTAATCACCCCTCTTTCTTATTACGTACTCCTCCTCGAACAACATTTGCATATTAAACAGAGCCACCCACGCCAGTAAACAAGATGTATATAATCAAACCACTTTAACCACAGGAGATATTTTGTACAAACGGACGAACCAACAAACAACCAACAACGACGGCGACGATGAATATATGTAGATAAACTAATCCAAGCTAAGTTAAAGTTAATTGATGCAGAAGGACATGGTTAATTGAGTCACATGCAAAATATATAACAGAGAAGAAAAAGACGACTGTTGGGATTCCGAACTTGAAGAAGACGATCAAGACGACGACGAGAAACGATATGGTAATAATGGTTGATGAGGAGCTTAACTGATGGATTTGGATGCTTGGTTGGTTGGTTAGTTAAACTTAAATGTGTTGTTGTTAAGTTAAAGTTTGTGCTGCATGTAAGTAAGCGAGCGAGAATAGTGGATCCCCACCAACAATACGATACAATGGGAAGAATTATATTTATTATTATGCTCTCATAGCTCTCCACATTGTGAACAACCATGATCATGAATGCTAAGGTCCCATTATTATTATTACTTAACAACAACTTGTCCATAGTTAAAACTAACTATAAAGATGAACTCAACTAACGCAACGCTCCATGCCGAATCATGACATGAATGCTTACAATGATAATATTCAGTGATTCTTGGCTGCATAAAAAGACGACAATGCGTTCCAGTCATGCCAGCTTTTCATATATAAAATGATAATAATCATAACTGGCTTGATTATAGAAAAAAATAGTCCAAACATAAGACAACGTAACAATATATGTAATACTCGTTTTGTTAAAAATCATGATGACAATCTCCGCACAAAATTTGCATGGTCTCATCCAAAGTAAAATAAAAAAATCGTACATTTCTGACTAAGATTTTGATTCGAAATCTGATAAATCTTAAACTCATGTAGGCAGACCAGGTGAAAAAAAAAGTGTGCCATTGTTTAACATGTTCTACTCTAAATTCATCACGTAATAATAATTCATAGCCAAGAAGTTCCCTTCTACTCCAGAATATATTTAATTTACAAAACCAGAACCACACACAACGAACGAAGCAGCCCAACCCAAGAAACTAGATTCTCCATGTGCACCTACTATGCTAACTGAAATATAATTTAACCCACCAATCCTAACTATATGACAACAATGGAAGCGCATGAATTTAGACAATCCAGAACAATAGAATTATGTTAATAATGCAAATCCCACCTTTGCAAATATTCCATATTCCGCATCGCCAATAAATGAATCTTCTACGTATAAACTTGACCAATACGTATATCTAAACTGCTCCGTACCACTTGGTCTGGTTTGGTTCTGGTTTTCTTTTCTTTATTCATTCTTCTTGTTCCAATCCAACAAGTGTTGACTTCTGGACAAGGAAACAACAAGCAAAACCAAACTGTGCCATGCATAAGTACAATAATGCTGTTGCTGTCGTAAAGATAAAACTACAGCCAGCAGCAGAAGTTCGACAACTATTTAGTACTTACATAGATGATCTTAATGGTATTACACACTACAAACTACTTACTTATTGCTCCTTGAGTGAAAGATCTCAACTTGTACATAGATAAATCTGTTAAGCAATAATAGGTTAACTACTCGTGCTGCAGGCATTGTACGCAATAATGCTTTTGCTACTTCTTCTTTGCTGGAGAGATGACTAAACGAGACCTTAAATATGTAATACGTCCGAAACAAACATGACCAGATTTAGCTTAAAGATGGTTATGGAAATGCCCTTGAAATCCCATCCCACTCCATTTCGTGTACTGTTTACTTATCCTTCTTACCAACCAACCATCGTGACAATACGTGTATATAAATGATAGAAGGAGGTATTACACATTGTACACACAATGAGGGGATACTTTTGGCCGGTTCTTCTGGCCAAAAGTATGTTATGGTCACATACTTAATATTAGTTGGCCGCATCTCAAACGTTCCTTTGGTGTTAACATGACAAGCGTGTTAAACAATGAAATGCAGTCCAGTAATGATTTGAGGAAGGGAATAATAGCACACATTACATCACTCACATTATTATTATCATCACTCAAATGATGACTGTGTCATTTGTCCGTGTGACTCTGTAAATGAGACAAAATCTCGGCACGGAGAAGAGCTCTCCTCATATTCCATCCTTCTCAGAGTGAGATGATGATGTAGATAAAAGCCATGAAGTGCAATGTAATGCAGATAGGGTTGCAGTTAAATCTGACTAATTTTGAGTATTGTTACTTCGTTACGAGAGCAGGTTATTAAAAGGTGGGTGTAAATTGAGCTTGAGGGTTATATTCACAAAGATAACGCCACGCCACACATAAAAAATAAAGTTATGTAAAATGTGTCAATATCAATTAACGGTGACTAATAAATCCTGCACAATTAGATAATTCAAGTCAAGTGAGAAATGACGATTACCGGAAGAAGGGGTCCGTTTTCCAACGTTTTTGTCCAAATTCCGTCTCACGATTTCTTCTGGACGATGTCCGCTTAACTTTCACCTTTTATATATAAAATTCCTTAATAAGTAAACTGAGCAGTTAAACCCTCCTCGTCTCTACTTGACACTGAATTAATAACTCTCAACAAATTCCCAGCAGACAATGACGACTTCGACGACGACGATATTAGCTCTGCCAGCTATATTATATTTGTGGTAGTGTTGCTTGCTGCTGGTTAGTGGTTACTTTACTTGAGTTGGATGGTATTTCATGGCATGCCGATTGTGAAGACTGCATGGAACTGGAGAATGGTTCCCATTATTGGGAGAGACGACCAACCAAAAGTAAAGCGCTGTTGAATTGAATTGATGATGATATGATAATAATGCGCTGCTTACTTACTTACTTGCACTAACTAACCCACCCGACCAGAGAGGCAAGAGGAGGACGAAAATGTATAATAATTCATAGCTTATTCCATATTCTTGAGCTTCAATTCAACTCGTGGAACATCACTCCATTCCAATAATGAAACAGATTTATAACAACCAACTCGACTTTATTCCATTATCGTCAAGCCACCCACCCCATCATCAGCCATGGATATCGTTCGTTACATACCGCTTAAAATCCAACAAATACATGCATTATCACATTTCTTCCACCTATGAAATTCTGTCGTATCAATGGAACCCATTCTTCAGCAGTATTTCAATCCATACATTCATAAATGTATATTTGCTCGTTTTAAATGTTGATGATGTTTCGGCTTTGGTGGTAATAATTGACGAGATAATTTTTCATTCCTCTCTGTTTGAAGTACTGCCTGCGAGCATTATTGAACAACCATGAGCGACCGACAAGAAGTGCAAACAGACAAATAATGCTTATGTATTTTTTTATATCCAGTTCATCAAACAAGGGGAAGAAATAAGCTTTCGAAATTCGGTTTGATAAATCCATTATTGAAGTGGAGCTTCAAACGATAGCTTTATATAAAATTACGACTCGTTATCAATCGGTGTGCGAATTCAACGAAATTGGAGTTGATTGTTTTCCCCGTGACGAGGATGAGGTAGGTAGGCATGGGGTGACGAAGAAGATGATAAGCGGTTAAACAATGAGAGACAAAAATAGTCAATGAGAATGACAGGTTAACATTGTGTTAAATTTTACCAGTTAAAATAAATTAAAGGCATTATATAAATTTGATTATTCAAAACTCAAGGAAAAATTTAGTATTTATTAAAGGAGAAATATTTCATATCTTTGCATTGTTGGCAGCAAATAAGTGGTCAATAATAACCACATTATTATCAATTTATATGCAAAAACAGAAACGCAAAAATGGTTGTTACATATTACGTATTTTTTCCGAGTATGGTTTCAAGTACCACATTTTTCCTTCCATGAAATATTGTTGTACTATTATTAATTGTCGTCTACTACACATTATGCGAGCAAGTTGACGTATCTACGATTAGGTATTGGCTCACCCATACCCGAACCACCAGAGCAATAATTGATATGATATCAGTAATTGTGGTCGGATGAGTGTGAGAGAGAGGATGGAGAATAAATAGTTAAATTTCATTGTATTCGTTGAGCCCATGTATTTCCTTTGTTAAATTTGTAGCCAGCCCAAACCAAACAACGCGACGCGACGGATTGTGTCATAATCATCAATAATATGTCATATTTTCACTTCGAATTGTTGCTGAAGGATCTTTGTTGAGTCAACTCCGAGCTAAAAAATACGTATGTTAACTGGATAGAAGTGGATGGATGTAAATGTAAAATGGAATATGAGAGAGGAAACGGAAAACAGTCTTTCCTTTGTTAACTTATTTTTGTGACAACCTTTAACAGTGACTAGAAAAAAATAACATACAGTCGTCGTCTTATCTTATCGTCTCTTTGTGTGTATTTATGCATTATTGCTCTCCGTCGTCTCCTTTGTTAGCCTCACAATCAAATATGAACCAACTATTAAACAATACTGCCAAAGTCTTTAACCCCTCGTGAAATGTATGTAGAATCAAAACACGTTATCACCAATCATGTAAAACCATGTCGTAAAATAAACCTAAAAAAATATGGCTTGACATATTTTAAAAAGTTTTTTTGGTCTGAAAAGTGTTGAAATATTGAGATTGATTCGTCTCCAAGAATTGATGAATGTTTTTGAGTCTTCGATTCAATCACGTTGCATGAAGTGGACTAGATTTATATAAAAATAATAATTTTATGGATTTTTATTATACGATATGTGAGCCAGGTGGAATATAAATACGCCACGCCACGCGTGTCGTTATTTCGCAATAAGGTTTCCTACAACTAAATGCGCATCGTCATAAATATCCATCGTGAATGATAACAATATGAAGTGAAGTATGTATGGATGCTCGTGTGTGGTGGGATTCTCGGCTAAAAACGGTTTCGAATTGTTAAAACAGAAAGATTTCAAGTCGAGTTTGGTTGGCTTGTCTCCAGAAATCTTTTGTTTGACGTAAGAATGGGATTAAGGAAACAAGGTCACCGTGAGCACACAGTTGAAGAAAACCGAGTCAATAGAACTCCGTCATCTTGTGGTCTGGTTAGTGTATAGTCCAAAAATCATAAAGGATATGGTAATCCGGATTTGGAAATGAATAATTCACTATTCGTACTCTCGGGGTGATAAAAATCTGAGAAAATCATCTCTGATTATTGTTTGGAACCTTGGATCATGGATGCCACCTTCGCACTGGGTTCTTTCTTTTTCTTGTATGAGTTTGCATGAATGTATGAATTAGGGGAAATGGTAAATTCTTCCTTCTTTGGCTTGAGAACAATTAAACTTGTCAAGTGTGAATTGAAACGGAATATATTTGAATGGAAAAGAAATGCATGGCTTAATTTTCAATTCATAATGAAACGAGTGAAAAGTTTCAAAAATTTTGGATGTATATATATTTTTTCATAAAATCACAACAATGGATGTATATTATGTAGGATACATAACGTATCCTAAAAACGGTGTTAAATTATTTTATCCTGGATAACAAAATTTATCAAAAGTCATTCACTTATTTTAAATCTTGAGGACGTACATGGCTGTAGGTCGACTTTACGTATAGGTAATTTATAAGTAATTAATATGCGGAAGGCGGAAGAACACGCGGTTCGATGTATAATGTCCATTGTTGATATTATGTATATTATGGTTGTTGATAATCAAAACAATAACAATAAATGACAAGAAACCTCCTTTACTGGATAATAATATAATATCGTGTTGGTTTAAAAAACATACATATTTTCTGCCGATAATCAGTGGGACGAGAATTAATTAAATTAGTTTCTAATATAAAATAATTTCAATTATTATATCATTGCCAACTGGTCATATAATAGGCTTCGTATCGTGTAATATTCCTCTGGAAGACCGTCACATTCGATGTGGATGGAACGTGTTTCCGAGTCCTGCAAAATTTACGAAAAATAATTGTTAAGCTCCAGTTCCAGGTTATTTTATAGTCCTTTAAGCTCACCTTTTGGATGTAGACCACGCCATTGGAGCAGGTACACGTAAGAGTTCCATTATTAACCTCACACGCAATCCCCATCTGGGCGATGAGTTGTCGAAGCTCAGAAATTCGTATACGATTGACGACACAAGGACCACGTGGGGTAGGAACCTCTTGTTGAGGTAATTGTTGAAGCAATAATCCAGACTCTGCGTACGATAAAAATAAGTATATTAGTTTATAAAATTTATCTCAAAACTTAATCATTAGGTTACAGTACGCACCCTCTTGACTAGAGTTTTCATCTAATAGCCCGTCTACCCAAGCAATCTCACAGTCTTTAACTTTCTTTAGTTCGAGGGATGACATAAGCGAGTCAGTCAGTTTGACCTGAACAATCTTGCTCGATCCACTTGTTAGGTTGGCAACTTTACGAAGTGATGGCTTGGAGATTTTGGTATTTGGAAGTAATTGTCTAACTAAAGCTTCTAACGCGACAGTGGCTTGAGGAGTTCCTCGAACTATGACGAGCTGGTGGGGCTGAATCTATAGGGAAAGTTCAATTTTATAAACTCTAAAATTTAGAATCTAAAATTATAAGATAATTATTAGTACTATGTACCTCTGCTAGAAATTTTACAACAGCTTCAATATCAGATCTCCCTTCAAAATCTATAAAATGAATTTGGCAATTGACGGAAAACGTTTGAAATGTTGAAATGGTCTTGGTTGGTGGTTCGGAGTCTAATGAAGCGTCTCCGCCTGAGGTGGAGGATAAAGTCTGTTTTCTCGATGGTTTATCCCTGTTCCTTTTCCCATTCTCTTTAAAGTCTTCAGGACTGGGTGGCAAATTAAGTATAAAGAAATTACTTATTTAGCATTTAATTACAATATTATTAGTAGTTAGTTTAAATGAACTCACTTAATGATCTCTCCATAATCATCAAATCGTCTCTTCTTGGGAGGAGCATCATTTTTTTGATTGTTGTTATTCGTTTTAAACACGTTGGCATCATCTTCTGACCGCATTTGCATAAGATTGAGATCATGTTTCACACAGCCATTACGTTTCTGATTGTTAACACTTGCAAATACAACTTGGGGCTCCTCATCCTCGACAGAGTCGATAATCTCAACCTCTTCAATTCTATAAAAATCAAAATAAAAAATCCGTGTAAAATTGTGTTACTTACAATTTGCATTTACACTTCTGAAATCTTACTTTCTCTTATTCTTATTGTCATTCTGCTTTTTCTGGAGAAATTCTTCCAACTCTCTCCCTTCCAGTTTTACTCGTTGTTTTACTTCCAAATTCATCTTATTTCCTCGAGGTACTCCATCAATTAAAGTACGACCCAACGTTCCTGGAGATGTACGATGAGTTAATATGACGCAACTTAGAGGGTCTTGACACCACAAGAGGAATAAATCTCGAGAAAATCCGCACTCTAAATCCGCGGAACTTGTGATGACCACCTATTATGTAGTAAAGTGAAAGTATTACAATTTGTCCCAGAAATTTTTTTAAAGTAAAGCATTTCACCTTTGGCGAGGCTATTTGATTAAGTTCTAGTAGTGTGTGGCACACGACGACGCTCTTCAACTGAAAAGGGTTAGTCTTTTGATTCTCGAACGCTTTGATAAGTTTTTCACTCATCCACTCGATCTGTATTAATATGGACAATGTCAGACATACTGATCGACGACTTAAATAAATAAACTGAACCTTAATTATTTTGCATACCTGCGATTTGGCAAATTCTATCACATTGAAAGCGACATTGTTAAGGAATACCAACGTATAGTGTGGAGAAAGTCCAGAGTCTCTCATTCTCCACATTGCTGAAGAGAAAAAGAACGGAGAATTATTATCAGAGCTAATTTATAACAAATTGTAACCACTATACTTTAATAGTTAATAGCATTCTGATTTTTGCGACAAAAAGTTTTTTTGTTTTTTAAAAAATATAAAGTCCATCCAGACCGATTTAAGACATGACAGGTTTAGATTTAGACAGGTTTAAGATTTAAATTGACGTTGTTGTATGGTCTGTTATTGTCTATGCGTAGTAATGTCAATGACACTAATTTAGATTTGCTTATTGTTGTACGTTTGTCTCCGTGAATTTCAATGAATGTTTAATAAATCTGTTCTGAACGAACAATTTCACTTACTATCAATCATGAATATCAGTTCTAAAGCTCTGCCTGCAGTGTCCGCAGAAATTAAGACGTTCCCTCCTGCCCTTAATGTTTGCTGCATTTTACCTATAAAATTCAGATGTACCCCCAATTAGCTCTTTTTTCATTCCCATTAGTGCTACGGGACACCTAGAAGCGAAATCATGAAGGAAGCAAAAGAGAAAGAGACGGAGCATTCTTTGATTGCAAATTTCTCCAACCTAGTAGCATTTCATCGCGCTTTCTCCTCTTCTCTTGAACATAAAGAGCATTTAAGGCATTGGTAATGAATATCCCGGGACGTGATATTTTATCCATTTCGAAGCCATTTAAATGTCTTTCCTTCTTATTGTTGTGGTCAATCGCGTAGAAAATGTCTTGTTCTCCAGTCTTTGAAATCTTCCACGCCGTTCCACCCAAACTGTGACCCGCTGGAAGTGCGGTGATTGATATTCCTAAACCGCTTCCTACGCAATGACATTGATACCAATTATGATTACAAAACATCATTATTTTCACATCACTGCATCTTCAATGAAATTTACCTTTTAAATTTATAGTACTATTATACTCTAATTGCAGAATGTTGTCAAATGCAGAGTCAATATCGTCCAAGTTGAATAACTTAAATTCTTCAACGTTGGAACGATTAAGGTACCAGTCGTACATGAACATTTGTCCCATTTTAAAGATTGGAATTGTGGCGTAAACTGAAATAAGTGAAACATTATAATGAACACCATTCTTGTACATAAATCCATATTGTATCTGCTTATCAATTTATTTTTACTTACTTGGACAATTGAGCCCACATTTTCCTACCAAGTATGGAAGTGCTCCGAGGTGATAAGTATCCGAATGTGATATAAGAACGCAGTCAATCTTGTGAACATATCTAAAAAGAGAAAAAGAGACAAAAGAGAAAGCGCATGATTAACAAAATGCCTTAATTGTTACTTGTCATTAATGTAATTACACGCAACCCACACTCCAACCCAGTCTCCCAGTTGACATTATCATCTTCCATTACCATCTACTCATCCGGGTAATAATTAGAGCAGAAATAAATAGATTTTCAGCACAAACTGAGCAGGAGAAAGCATGACCATAATTGTAGAAGCATAAAACCCAAGACCATAAAAGCTTAAGAGACATAAATAAATATGCATAAAGGTTGAGAAGCAGCTTACTTATCCTAATGTCACTCCATTACAACTTTTCTCCGAAATCGGGAAATCATGCGTAAATAGTTGTCTCCAGGAAAAGTTATGCATCCTACATAGCCCCGTTTGACCAACAGCACTCTAGTTTCTCCTCTTTATCTACTAGTCGTCCTACCTACTTCGATTTTGCTTATCGAAAACCAGTTTTACAAAATACCTTATCTTCCTTGCATTATCAGATCGTTTAAAGATATAGCATGCAGTTCTCCAGTCATTTTCATGGAAATTATCAAGCAATAAGCGAGAACCTGGGCCAAAATGCTTCCCTTCTATTCTATTCAGACTGAACCACCACTGCACTAACGATTAAGTAATAAGCAATTTCAATGAAACCGATTACAATACAATGCAAATAACTAATAAATCATGCACGTAATTCCAAACACACGCTGATGCACCGCAAATGAATTAACCCCTCCCAGTAACAGTATAGTAACGAAACACCACCGTCTCCTATAAAGCCAACCAAGAGCATGTACATAGCAATCCACCACCAACACCTCTGTGCAAAAGGCGTATAACAAGAACACATAACAAGAATAATCAATAATTAGTAATTCACCACAAAATAATTATTGTAATGTCGAATATAAGAAAACTTATCTTTTCCTCGGAGAGAGAATAATGTCAACTGGGATACAGAATTGGGGTGTGGTCTGTAAAAAAATCACTTAAAACTCATTTTATTACTTTTTCAACTCGGTGATAAAATCCGGATCAAAGTTTTCCGAAAGTCCACAATCAAGGAGAAACCTATAATTTATATTTTCCAAATTGCAAAATATATTAACGATTTTTGCAACTCGGCACAACAATGATTTTTGGTGGATTTTTTGTGTAAATTAAAACCTAAATGATTTGGTGGATTTGGTTTCATCAAATTCGAGTATGTAGCAGGGCGGACTTTCACCCATACTTCCGGACAAGGCATGAAATTTTATAAGGGATGTCATCCTTTTTCTTATATTTTTTCGAAAAAAAACGATATTTTCTATCCTCCTCGCCTTTATATAGCTGCGTAGTCGTGGTCGTGTTGATAATGAGTGCCGTGTGTGCTCTCTCTATTCTAATTTCTATTGTGTTTCTGCTCAGCCTATCTCTCAATACTGCTCTCTCAGCTGGTCTTTTACTACGTAGTAAGTAGTAGTAATCTCAATTTCGGGTTGGAATTGCGAATTAAAATCTCATAAGTTTAACTGCTTCCTCTTAACGAAACGTTGCTTGATTTCTTATATTTTGGTGGCTCATAGGTAAAAAAACATGGGAACAACTGGGAACATTTTCTTTTCAGAAATAAAGGAATTTTTTGTGCGATGAGGAGAGCGCTGGCTGGCTGGCCGAGTAGCTGGTGCGGAATGAGGAGTGAAAGAGAAAAGTGAAGGGAAGGAATGCAATCTAGTCAGGAAGTGAACGCCCGCTCACAAATTCTCATTTTTTAGCATGTTAAAAATAAATGGTTATTAAAAACGTAACAAAGGATTATGAACAGTTAGTCATTGGTTCAAATGTAATATGACACATCGATTACTGCGAAGTATAACAGCTTCACACAAAATTTGTCGTGAAAAGATGAAGAATTTCTTGGTGAAAGCTTATTTTTTGTTTAAAATGATGACACTTTATTTACTTTTCTTAACGATTTTCATACAATTTTTTACTTGTGACATTTAATTATGTATGTACTTTATGTTTTCCTTCTCTAAATATTATGACTGTGATCCCTGCATATTTTATCATCATGTATGTGTAATGTAATGGAAAACAATAATTCTTGTCGGAAATATTAAAGGGCGTGTGTGTGTTGTGTTGGTATTTGTTTGTACCACGAGAAGAGGTCATTGACTACTTACTTACTGGCTAAATTTTACAACTATGTTTACAGCATCTTCGGAAGTAATAATATAATTTGTGGAATTCTTAAAGTTTGATGAAATATATAATAAGGTACAAAATAAATCACGATAAAGGAAAAACTAATGATAAGCTTATACATATGTGTATTGTGTACTACTCTTAAGATGTCTTAATTAACTAAACTATTATATATTTATATATATATGGGTTACTTAACTAATATTAACAGGATTAATTAGCAGTTTTTAGTAGGCACCTAAATTATCATGAGTTTATCACAACGCCCAGTGCATGGGGACATGACATTTTCTTTTCCATGTATATAACAATAATTAAAAATTGTATGTGTACTTTTAAGCATCAGTGTTCCATTTTCACGCATAAAATCGACTTGAATTTTCACTACAACAATTACATAATAATAGTCATAATGAGATAGCCGTGTTGTTTGCATATTATTTCATGACATAGTGTCGGAAGCGAAAGACTGGACTTTCACCATAAATAATATTATCGATTCTTCTGTTAACTCAATTTAAAGTAAAGGTCAAGAATAAAGAGACAAAAGTACAAAAGAAGGAGCTATGTATGGATATTCGTAACGTTATGTAGAAACAAGATAATGGAAGTACGAAATATAATTATAACAACGAATAATAATGGCAACAATGAGGTGCAAAAATAATAATATCGTGTGAGTGTTGAAATACATTGTTCATGAAGTGGGTTTCATAATAATTTTCATAAAATGCTGACTATAAATCGTTACAACTCTTTCAGTATTTATCAGACTCCCATATATTGTGGCATATAGGATTTAGCTCGATCAAACAAAAATGCATAGGTTAACTTTAACGATTAATAAACTGCTACGTCTTTATCAACTAAATGCAGTATAATAAGTAGAAATTGTCGACAGAGGGGTTCCACCTCTTTAATTTATATGTACACGATGCGTGTACTGTATAATTAGTTTGGAACACTTTTGGGTGCGACACTGTATAACCTATGTACGACGAGGCAATAATGATAACCTTATAAAAAGGTGGAAGTTAGCAATTGTACTGAAGAATAATAAAACATTTATGTCATTTTTAGCATTTCCTGCATTTTTTTCTCTCCCCTCAGACTTATCGGACCAACCAGCGATTGGGAAGGAAGAAGAAGAAGAAGGCGTTTTTATGTATTTGTTTGAAGTCATCATTGTGTGATGATGAGGAATCTCGTACATTTTTTTCAAGTTTATGGAATGTGGAACGGTTCTGGTATAGGTTTGGAATATTATAATCCGTTGGCAGCAGCAATGTCAGCTAAGGACATGTTAAGGATGCCGTCGCCATCCTCGTAGTCCTCATAATTTGCGTATTGGTACCCATCTTCGTTACCTTCTGATCCCTCCATCATGTCATGTTTGTGGTATTTTTGAGGCTTATGGTTGGGATTCGTTTTCAAGTGATACTGCAAACCCCCGAGTTGTTTAAAGGCCTTTGGACAGTCATTACACTTGTAAGGTCTATATAAACAAAATTATTCAAACTTATTAGATCCAAAATTGAAAGGTTTAGAAATAGTGGTTTAAAATTGTTGTAAAAAGTGCTTACCGTTCCCCTGTATGGATACGTTCATGGGCTGGATTTTTGAAATAAATTAAAAAAACATTTAACCCAATTAATCAAATAAACTTTTTATTAATAATTAACATTGTAATCTTGCTAACCTTTCAGATTTCCAGAATTCATGAAATATTTTTCGCACCACTGGCAATTATAACGTTTATGGGTAGCTTCGTGTTCTTCCAGTGCGTTCCAATCTGAAAACCCTCTGCGACAAGCTCGACATTTGAATTCCTGCAATATTGATTATGAAAGTTTGTGGAAAGAAATTTTATGCATGTATCATTAGAGTACATTTGATCATTGACAACTTACACCATCGTGCATGAGGGAGTGGGCCTTTAAACTCTCCAGACAGGTGAAAGTCCTGTAACACACTCGACAACGGTGAATTGGCAACGTGGAAGATCCGCCGGGCGAATTAGGGGAAGAATTACTAATATCATGAGATTGCATGTGTTGATTAAGAAGATTCGACGATGCAAACTCTTCAAAACACTCTTCACATTTGTACTTTCTCATTTCCGGTTCAGGTGTCACAGTTTGATGTAAAACCTAAGAACGTGGTTTATAAGTAATTTTAGCAAACAGAATTATGTCAACCATAATTATTTTTTAAGCTCACCATATGTCGTTGAAGGACTTGATTAGTTGCAAAAGTCCTCTTGCAAATAGGGCACCGTGGAACGTTTTTTTGTGGTTTTGTTTGTTGCTGTTGTTGAAGCTGTAATGCATTTCGCTGTTGTTGCTGAACTTGTTGCTGAATGCTGGCTATACTGAGGCGATTAGTGTTTAACAATGATTGCGTCGCGGATGATATTCCATTCGTTCTGGCGGACGACGAGCTATTCAGCTGAGAACTTGAGGCTTGTTGGTAGTGAAAATTATTATTATTATTGGAAGATCTGGCTTGTTTAGATTGCACTCTGCTGTTGTTAAACATTTGGTTGTTGGATTGAGGCGATGATGAGTTATTGGACTGGTGTTGTTGTTGATTTAAAAACTTGGTCGATTTAATTTGCGATGGTGCCATTTGCAATTTTTGGAACTGACCTTTCTGTCGTTGTGGACTGGTTTCAGAAGAAGCACTTGGAATGATGTGGTTAGGCTTGATTTTGAGTTTATTCCCGATTACGAGACTACTTGCGGTTTTAGCTTGGAGACGAGGCATCGTGTTGGTGGGGCGTTGTTGTCGCAAAATCGATTCCAGAGAGATTGTGGTCGTAGCGGAAGAAGGGGAGGTCTTATATCCACCACCAGAATTTGAATTTTGTTGAAGGGATTTATGCAATAATGGAGGCGGTCGAGTGACTTGAACGGTTTCTATGAATGGATAAAGAGAATAATAGGAACATAAATTTCAAATAGTTAAAATTGCCATTAAAATTTAAGTGTTCAATTATTCAATAATGATGAATTGCCGACTTACGACTAGGCGCTCCCATCAATTTCCTGGCTAAAATATTTGGTTTAAAGTTGTCATACGCGTCCGCTTGTAATTGTCGTAAATATGCTTCCACGGCCAGTTTTTCTGGACGAATTTTCCTTGGTTTGTTCATCTGTACTTTTTTGGCGACTTGTTGCGTCATTGGATCCGATTCCTCCACTGTAAATTTTTAGTTGGTCATTAAATCAACGATTTAAAATTATAGTTTCATAAGATTTATTTAAAACGCACCATATTGCTCATAATCCAATTCCTCCCCTTCCGGTTCATAAACTGAGGAAGATTCCACGATACGTATCCCGGCTTCATTCGTAGTTATTCTAGAACTTCCTTCAGAGTAATTGTCAACATTACCACCACCATAATTTCCTGTAACAACGATATACATATAAATTCATGTCCTCACTGTGAATGCCTTCTTAAACATGTACAAATCATCATCCGTTCATCACCTTGATAGACAACCGGAGGAAGACCTCTCGCCTCCTCGTCGTCATCGGCATCATCAAACTGTGCTTCACAAAACTGCAGGGTATCTGGATATTCTTCTTCTTCCTCCTCGTCATCCTCCCCCATGTTGTCACCCCCATCCTGATACTCATCTCGCATCTGACCGCTTCCATCGGAATAATTATATTCACCACCCGAGTTATCGTACTCTTCACCACCACCCCCACTTCCATTATTATAATAACCACCATCTTCTCCCTCTTCCTGCATGTCTTCCTCCGAATAATACCCCACTGTCGACATGTCCCCACCACCACCACCGTTCTCCTTCACACCGGCACGCCGTTGCACTTCCGGTTGCTGGTAATATGTGACAACTTTGCTTGGACTGGACCCATTCATTACTCGTCTCCCAGAAGACGTTGAGGGAGAGGAAGACATGGGCATTGCTGAAAGTGCCGTCCTCATCAAAATATTCCCATTATTTCGTGTCACACTCGTCGTAGGGGGTAACTGTTTGAGCAAACTTCCACTATTATTTCCATTTCGGGAGATAACCGGAACGGAATGGGGCGAAGACACTGCTGCGGCACTAGCATTCTTGGCTTGATTTCTTTTCGCCCTTTTCAGCAATATCTGTCTCTGCTGTTCCATGATTTGTTCTTGTCTCTGTTGTTGGATGAGTTGTTGCTGATAAGCATAGGCTTCCTGTTCGTAGTCAATGTCATCGTCATCTTCCCCACCGTCTTGCTGATCCTCGCCGTCCATGTACTGGTACTCGGTGGCGTCTTCTTCTTCATTATGGTCGTCATCCTTCCCTCCTCCGTAGTACTCGCTACCCTCGTGGGTCGCGTACTCCATCATTTTTACTGACTTATTTTTATTATCAACTGGTAGTGCACTGACTTAATTTTAACTATTTAAAAAAATGCAACTTCTTCTTCAAAATAATAAGCTCGATAAAAAAATCAAGTATAACACAAGTAAAACTTCTAGTAATTATTAATGTTATATAAATTTTAAACTGTTGCTGCTGCGTACTTATTTTTAATGATACAGGAAAGTCCAAGAAGAGAGAAGATTGTTGGAAAAAATAAAAATTGAAACTATAATGTACTTGGTAATAATTCGTCCTCCATCCGATGGGGTAGTAGACGTATATATTGTTACTTTAACATTACAGCCTATATTTTACTCTGTACTACCTCTTTCTTTAACCATGATACACACTCACTCACATTATTACAAATCACAAAATTACGTCACTTCTTTGACTCTAGTGGCTTAAATTCTTTATGCGACTATGAAAGTTACTTAACAAGGTCACATCATCCATAGAGCTGTGTAGGTAACAAAAAAAGTCGTATCTTTACAACTCACTCACCTAACTCACAGGTAGTAGTTTAGCTTTAGTAGTAAGTAGTTTGATTATTATTTTATTTTACAAAAGAAGTTTCAATCTACTATAATCCTTCCACGCTATATTCCACGAGTTTTGCAAACAGAAAAACACTCCCACCCAATCAAGAGGACCTTCAAATCAGATTTAGTTTAAATACTTAAGACACACAATAGAAGAACCACGCATTTAGAGTCTTAATTCGAGTCTTAATTTGAATATTTCTACATAATAAAGTGTTGTAGAAGACGGAAGAAGGAGAAGAGAGGAGAAATCCGACAGTTTGAAAATATGTAGAGCAGGAGGATGAAGGCGTGTAATGGAAATTATTATTATGCCTGCATTACTGGAAGGAAGTAGCATATAGAGCTGGATGGGAAACAAGTGGTGTATTTTTTTGAAGTAGGAAATAGTTTGAAAGTTGGGAGGGAATTCATTATTCAAACGATCCCAAAATGGCCGTCGCTACCACCACCAATATTTATCGTTTCCTCTCTTCTCTCTTATTTAATATCCAGCCATCATCCCATCCCATATTATTTTTTGATGATGAGTAAGTGTTTGAAACCTGTGTCAGAAGTGGTTTATTTATTATGCACACTTTACTTTACTTCACGCTATACACACTTCCACGACTCGAATTCATAGCAATATATAGCACTCTCGGTCGGTTGCATAAAGTTCAACTCGCTTCACTCACTCGGCCACTTTTTTGTTAATGGGATTTTCCTCTGGTATTTTAAAGTCCAAAAAAGGATTAAATTATTGTTATTATTCAGCTGGACGGAAAAACGGCACTTTTTAATATTTTTAGAAAATCAACTTTTATGAAACTTTGCTTGGTAAAGTCTTTGTCAAGTCTTGGCTTGTTTTCATGGATGGAAGATTTTTTTTCACCGTGTGAAAGAAATTGCACTTCTTTTCTTATTATGTCACTTTCCTCTGCACGCCGTGCTTTCACTTTCTTTCGTGTGGTTTGGTTAACAATGTTATACAAACATTGATGAAATGTATGTATAACAATAACTGGTTTTAAAACAACCTTAACCCAGACGGTGTATCAATTGTTGCAAACTTTTGACCAAGATTTAGATATTCTGATTGATGGCGATGTAACAAGTGTGTTGAATAAAATATGAATTCAACGTACAGATTAAAATTTTTCTGCTTCTTTCTTCTTGCAAGTCTTGGTCTCGGCAAGTTCAGCATGCAAGTGTAAGTAAATAAGTAAATGGAATACGTAACCAACTATAACTCCCCACAATCAAAGTTCGTTAGTTAGCTGGTTAGTTAAAATGGATGGTGGTACACACACTTATAGGGCGACGCGACTCGAGCGTCTTGTGCATGTATATTACACTTACATGGACGCAGTAGCTACTTACAAAGAAGGAGAATTATTACAGAGATTTGTGAGAACCACGAATTATAAAGTTTTGCTAGCCCAGTGGTGTGGTAGCCGTAATGTGTGATATAATAGTAAATGTTTGAATTAGAACGAGTAATATTAAGACAACATCATGAGAGACGAGAGCTTTACTAAATAAAAAGCAGCAGCAAGTTTTGAAAGGGTTATAGCAGATTTGATACTACTGCTGCTCAAAATATTCGATCGTCGTTCTTCTCTCCTCGCGTTATTTGTCTGGTAATAAAATCTCCATCCATCCATCCACCAGAAGAGTTGGTGGTTGTTGTACAAAGAAGAATATGTATTTCAAACCATATCTCGCCCATAAAATTTACATCAAGTTTTATTATATATCCCTCAGCCCAGCTCCTCGTACTCTGTCCCGAGCAAGAGCGAAAAGAAACGCTACGCGAGGAAGATAATGCTGCTTCAAAACCTATCAATAAAGTTGAAAGAGCGAACGAACCAATAGGCCTGCAGAGCTTATGGCGTAATGAGAATAAAAATATGTCGGCGCAATAAAAATCGAAACCTCTTTTTCTTTACTCAGCCAGCCAACCCATATTTGAAATCTGTATCCGCTGTGCTAATTAGATATGCTCATGAACATGTTGTTGATGCTTCGAATGTGGAAAATATAAATGGTGAAATGAAATGAAATGAAATTAGTCAGTGAGTGTGTGTGTACTACACTTTCAAGGAGAACTAACTAACTAAATAACTATGCCATAATATAATAGGAGTAGGAGTTACATGTTTTAAGAGTTATTAGACCTGATATGAAATTAATTTTGCAGAGGGAACAAACAATAAAGCCATATTTTCTCATATTGGAATCTTGTAGTAATTATTTATTACAAATAATATTGAGACAAGTAAGTCAGAAAACATGTGTAGATCGATAGGAGCGAAAAGAAGGATTGATTATTTATTATCTATGTATGACGTAGCGTATTTAGTATGCAATGTAACATGGTATTATTATTATTTGAATTAGTTGAAAAGAAATATGTACGCTACAAATTATACAATGCCAATACTTAATGTGCCGCAATTTAAATATTTTCTGCAGATTGTACATATTCTGCGCAATAAAAAGGCGTAAAAGGCATTATTTATCCATGGGACAAGAAGTACATATAAAGTATTGGTCAGTTGGTTGGCTAGTTGTTGTTTTTGTGTTTGTAATAAATAAATTTGCGAATATATGTATGCTGCAAACGCGTACCACCAACTTCTGGTTGGCAGACTGACTCTACGTCTTTGATGACATGACTAATTCGAATGTTTGAATTGAATAATACCATTTTTTTCTCTGTGTGGTGGTAGAATAATACGATTTAGAAGGTTATCAAGTTTTCAAGAACGTGGTTTGGTTTGCTGAGCAAGATTTGGCGATTGGAAGGGAATTAAATAACTGATGGGATGTGCACACACATGCTGCAAAGACATGATACCAACATAAGTATACAACAACCACCCGACCAACATACTTATAAATCTGCAGACATACCTTGATCAAAAATGTGTTGATATTATAACAATACAAATTCTTTTTGTAATGCAGACTGTAGTAGTGGACCGACTTGGTATTTCAAGAAGATTTTTGCAAATTTTATTGGCCTGCTGTACTTACATTTAGCATGCAAAAAATCAAGGTACTTAAATGAAGCGAGGTAAAATAAGCTGCAAAGTAATTATTTATCAGATAGTTGATTATATTGTCTTTTTGTATGCAAGGTTGTGTTAGTTGGTAGGATTCATGGGCTTTTAAGTTTTACATATGCTGATTTTAATGGATTTTGGATATCATACAAATTTTAAAGGAGGAAATTAATGTTTCATATAGTTTGAGCGTGTCATATTAAATAAATAAAAAATTCATTACATGAATGGCTTACCAATATGTTTATGCGTCTTGCCCAACCCATACACTTTTGGAGTATAAATTACTAATAATTTTCAAATTATGGCCAATTTTTCACCACTTTTGGTCAAGATTTGCTAATATGTAAATTTGAAATTTTGAAATTTTCTAATTTAAACTACATTTCATTTTCAATTTAACATACATTCAAATGCAAAATTACGAATCATGAATTTAAGCCAACAGGTTTTTTTCTGTCTCTAACCAATAACAATAAGTCTGTTGCTAATTTAATAATTTATTTTTTACGTGAATTACCAGAATAAATATATGTACATATATTTCCAATCATTTCAATTAACGATCCCATTGTGTTTTTCTGTTTATTTATCGAGGTGGAAAAAAACTCGTTCCCTTTTTAATTTAATTCTCATAACTATTATGCTTACTTATAAGATTGAAATTTGTATTTCATCGCTGTTTCTGCATTTCATCGTTATCCTTTCTGTAAGCTGACCAGTTACTTTATTGTAAAATTATTATCTCAAATTAAATTGAAATTATAGAAAAATTAAATATTTGATATCCACTATTTAAATATTTTAATGGGATGCATGCAGTGAGGTTTGACAATGAAGACAAGTACATATGTACGTTTGCCATGTCATGTCATTCATGTTTTATTCTTATTTAAATAAGTTATTTTTGCAGGCTAAGAAGAAATGAGTGGACATTTAGTCATGATATTTGTTGGTGATCATCGATGTACTTATGTATGTACCAACCAATAATTTCCATCTATTCCGCATTAATTACTACATCCCTGAGCGAAACCAACACAAAATTTCATCATCATCATCATCATTTCAATCATTAATCGAATATATCGATAAAAGTAAAGGCAGTAGAAACGAGAATGTAATTCAAATCGTGAAATAGGCCAATCCTTATAATTTCATTTCTTTAAATTTTATTATCGTAAAAAAACATGCCATAGGAAATCACATACCCATATCCATCCACCAACCAGCATAGATAACTTTAATTCTCAAACTTTGAAGAATTTCAAATTGTCAAAGATATTCAAACCCTACAGTGTCACGCAGTAAGTCATGCAGTCTTATCAGTTGTTGGTTGCATATGTATCGTTACATATGCTCATGAAGCCATAACTTATTGAAATGCATTTATAAAAGTGAACTTCGATGATGATAAGCGGATTTCATTAAAAGTTGCTCAAAGATTTGAAATATTATTGCGATGTAGACAGTAAAATGGTGTGACATATATGCACATGACGTGACAAGATTATCTAAAAAATTTCTACCCTTTTGCTGATTAAATTGACTCGTAACTCTGAAATAAATGTTGGTGAGAATTGAAGTAGATTAGGTTTCAAATCTTGAATATTTAATAGTTAGTTGAGCTTAATATTTGAATTTGCTCTCTCACTTTAACTACTCCAACTATATTTAATCATCGTTTCTACATTATTTATAATAACGCTTGGCAGTTCACATGATCATGACTTTACTTATGTAATACCTAACCATGTTGTTTAACCAAGTACGTAAAAATAACTTGGTTGGTTGTTGGTACAATTATAAATCTTGAAAGAAAAACTATCCCCTCCGTCGTTCGTCGTCGTCACCACTATTATGTCCTTCTCATCCATGTAATAAAATAATGTTCTATGTCATGTCTGATTCATGGTCACTCTATTCATTACGTTATTTAGTCAGCATTTATGTACGTATTCAAGCTTTCAAATCGTTCACGTGGCCTTACTCATTGCCATTCCAATTTACAATTATCTACAATCGAACCAAATCAAAATCTCTGAGGGTGAGGTGAGCAGTAGTGGCAAAGCCTTGCTGTAAAGTAAATGATCAAACAAGACAATTCGATTATTTAAGATTTGCTGATAAGTCTTCAAAGTCAAGCGTATCCAAATATACGAGATGTTTAAAAAGGAGAAATATGTCCTGGCCATGAGAGCGTTTGTGTTTTCATTTTTAAAAACTTTGTTTCATGTTTGTCATTGCATCTCAAAGAAAAAAAAGAGATGCGAAATAATAATTTGTTGCATTATATCACGGCATAAATATTATTAATGAAATTTCAAACGTCTTATTATCATGAGATGTTTTTTGCACGTGAAACGTTTAGAATTCTTGACGACTTTTAATAACGAGGTCACGCGCATTGTGCCATTTAAGGAATAATATAATTCGCTATTGCTTCTTATACACGAGTATTTACTTATATTTTAAGGCTGGGGAGGCACGTGCCATGCACTTTTTATTTCATTTTACAGGATGTAGATACATAAAGAAGTATAAATAAATACCTAACAATTCACCAACTCCCTCTATAATTAAGTTGCATTTGGTGGGACGTATATTTATTTATTAGTGTTTGTATAAAAATAGTCACTACTCCCAATTTTAATCTCAATGACAGCTATTTATAATGCAATGCAATTGTCAAAAGTGCAGAATGGTGCATTGTTTTAATGAGATAGAAGGTGTTGTAATTGGCTCTATGATCTTGATCTAACTTTCTCTATAAAGAATTTTTCTGCAAGAAAGTGCAAGTGCAACTTGCATTACGTTTCATTTTATTCGTTAATTGCACTAACTGCTACGAACCCAGACAAGTCAGAAGCTTGTAGATACATATATAAATTTTAATTAATAATGCAGTTTACTGCAATACTAACAATGTACATATGTCTAGTAGTGAAAGTAAACGAGCGAGTTTTGCTGTGTAAATCAAATAAAAAATATTTGTAAAGCAGGTTTAAATTGGTCTCAGCAACTGCATAATAACATAATCAAAGTAGGAAAATCTCATAGAAAGACTATATATGACGAAAACTGAATTGCTGTCTGTCAATAGTTGAAGAGTCACATGCACGTGTAGTTTTTTGTTAGTATGGTCATGGACTTGTGAACTAAACTCGTTCTCAAAATCCGAATTGAGCTGACTTGCATAATAAATAATTCTTGACATTCAGGTGAAATTGTACTGATCAAAATTTATTAGGTTTGATCAAGCAGTGAAATTATTGCTCATTTTCTGTAATAACTTGATTCGCAATCATAAATAAATGGCAATCAGCATTTCAATAAAGTATTGTCACCCAGATCATTATGTAATGAAAAACCTTGCAGTTCAAATGGCTGCCTTGGGCATAAATCTACTAATAAATATGTAGGCATGTGATGTTATTTGCCATATACTATTTTAAACGATCTTATTATTTCGCATTACCACCTTTGCACATGTGTATGTACGTACTTATATAGAGTTAATTATTCTACCAACTACTTCTAAATTGCCAATATGAGGTGCTATCAGTATGCAAAAATAGGATAACCTGTTTTATCCCTGAGTAAAAATCAAGCCGTTGTTGTCACATCGTTTGAAAGACGTATGTATGTATGTACATATACGTTGAAAAGTTGCCCCTGCACATAATGCGCCTTGATGCCTTGATAATAGAATTTTATTCAAACAGTTGTAAAAATGGGACTAATATTTCCTCCCTACGTATTATTACTTGCTCTTTATTGCAACTTTGTTTTTAGGTCAAATTATGTATTTTAATGGGAGAATGGTCAACAAAGAAAAAAATGCAATGCTATCCATCCGCCATCATCGAAAGCCATATACATACATAGATCTACTTATGTACATGCATATGACGTATGTACGTAGTGTAATGCCAACAACTAGCTAATTAAATGCTACTCAGCAGTACACAAAAGAAATTAAATGTTGTAGACTTTGAATTTTTTGAAAATACTTAAATGCGTGTAATAAATGCTTGTATTTTTTTCTTTTGACATAAACTTGCGTAATTTGACAATCGAATCGAAAGGAAGTGTGTAAATATCAGACGATGTTTATGCTAAGACAATGCTACACGAGACAGTCTAGTAGTCGTCGTAAATAGTCTAATCACCTATATGTAATGTTATTGTGACAAGAATCAAATGAGTCAACTAATTAAATAAATAAATGATAACAATAAATGATATCCTGAGAATGTGCAGTAATTTGTGCAGCGATGGATGGTAGTGAATTCTTGCATCCTTGCGACATCAGTATGAGATCAATCAGAAGCATTTTGAATTCTCGAAATATTTGAAAGTCTCGCGTATGCAATTATGGCAAACCACAATGCAAACTTTTAATTGTTTAAATTGTAGAATTGTTACGTAGTTGGGCATGGGTTGGTACTTGGTGGTAGATCTTGGGACATTATCTACTGACCTGTTTCTCTCTCTCTAATGCATGTGAAAACCTTTACGTATTTTAATTTACAAAGACTTTAAAGCATGTAAGGCATTTAAAATATGTATATGAAAGTTATATCTGTGCTAAATTGTGTACACGTTTGTTTTAAGTATAACACATACTCACGAGGTTTTTAACGAGCTTTATCTTAATACATGTTTTATGAATGTATTTATCGTTTTGACAGATCTGTATCACAGCTAAATATTAAAGGGAGAAAAACTTAATTTAAATATATTTTCACAGAAATATCAATTTTTGTAATTCTGTTAAAAATATGCAACTTGATTTAGAGTACTTAAAAGTGGAATGCAGTAATTAGTTATGTGCATTAAGGATAAATGATTCACTCACAAACTGCGAGTGGTGCAGGTGATACCAATTAAAAGATGCGAGATAAGATACATGTATCCAGTTTAGAAATATGCCATGAATTTAATTTGAACATATGAATATTATTGTCTGCCGAGTAAACTTAATATTTAATTTGCACTGCTACATACAACTTCCACTTCGCAAAAATATGTAACTGAACTCATCCTCAGTTGAATAACTTGCATCATATCGCGCATTAAAGGACTTACGTGTATACATCATTTTTAAATGTTACACGGCTTTCACTCACAATTCCAGGATAAGGATTGATTGGCACACACAAATATTCGCCATTCTTCGTTTCATGTTCATGTACATATCATAAATTCCATGCCGAACGGATGGCCCCAGTTACGCCATCACACCACATCATTCATTCGCATATGTATTTAACTGCTCTCCATCAGAGTAAACATGAACATTCGCAAAAAAAAGATGACAGAGACGACCTGGAGTAAATTATGTCCATATACGGTAAGGTGATAAATGAGAGGCAGTAATTGGTTGGACGAGACCTTCATCCTGTCCTGATAAGCCGTGTTTACTTATCTTCCCGAGAATAACCCATTGTCCTGAATCCAACCAGAGTTCTCCTTACAACTTTCACAAGCATTTCGTGGAATCTCGTGTCCCCGTTATAAAGGGATTGCATCTCCCATGTCGGTCTTAGTTGGTGGTCAGGCTTTGTTGGATACTCGAGTCAATTATTCCTCGTTTGTACGCAATATAAATCAATCAAAATGTGTGACGACGAAGTTGCAGCTTTGGTCATTGACAATGGATCCGGCATGTGCAAGGCTGGATTTGCTGGGGATGACGCTCCAAGGGCCGTGTTTCCTTCCATCGTTGGACGACCCCGTCACCAGGTCAGTTTTTTCTTAAGGGCAACTCGCCAAGAAAAAATTGCCAAAAATATTTATATGGCATTTCTTGCAGGGAGTTATGGTCGGCATGGGTCAGAAGGACTCGTACGTCGGAGATGAAGCCCAATCCAAGCGAGGAATCCTGACTTTGAAGTACCCCATCGAGCACGGCGTTGTCACCAACTGGGACGACATGGAGAAAATCTGGCATCACACCTTCTACAATGAGCTCCGAGTTGCTCCAGAGGAACACCCAGTCCTCCTCACCGAAGCCCCCATGAACCCCAAGGCCAACAGGGAGAAGATGACCCAAATCATGTTCGAGACCTTCAACTGGTGAGAGCTTGAGTGAATATTTACCGATTTTTAACAGCATTTAAACCTTTTTTAAAATACTCAATAGCCCTGCGATGTACGTTTCCATCCAAGCCGTCCTTTCCCTCTATGCTTCTGGTCGTACCACCGGTATCGTGCTTGACTCTGGAGATGGTGTCACCCACACCGTTCCAATCTACGAGGGATACGCCCTTCCCCACGCCATGCTCCGTTTGGACCTTGCCGGTATTTATACAAACTTATGTTTTTCATGCGAGTATTATACTCAAAATTATATCATCTCATGACTTTTGTTCACATCTTCAACAGGCCGAGACTTGACCGACTACCTGATGAAGATTCTTACCGAGCGTGGATACACCTTCACCACCACGGCCGAACGAGAAATCGTTCGTGACATCAAGGAGAAGTTGTGCTATGTCGCTCTTGACTTTGACCAAGAAATGGCCACCGCTGCGAGCTCATCGTCCCTCGAAAAGTCCTACGAACTTCCGGACGGACAAGTCATCACGATTGGAAATGAGCGATTCCGTTGCCCAGAAGCCCTCTTCCAACCTTCCTTCTTGGGAATGGAAAGCGCCGGAATTCACGAGACCACTTACAACTCCATCATGAAGTGCGACCTCGACATCCGAAAGGTACATACAAAACTAATCGCATATTGTATAACACATATTTCAAAAAGCTATCGAATTGCACCTTTTTAACTCAATAATTTTTGAACTTTTCAGGACCTCTACGCCAACACCGTCCTCTCCGGAGGTACTTCAATGTACCCAGGCATTGCTGACCGCATGCAGAAGGAGATTGTGGCCTTGGTACGAACTTTCAATAATTCGTTTAAAAAGCGTATAACTAATCGAGAGCATAACTAAAAAAACAAAATTAATAACAAATTTGATCAAATTAACAGGCCCCAACTTCGATGAAGATTAAGATCATCGCTCCCCCAGAGAGGAAGTATGATTTTTATTTATTTATTTTATGAATGGCGTATAACATTAGCAAAATTTAACTTCCTTCGTATTTTTCCAACATTGGTTCAAATCCCCAGAATAACTTCACAAATTCACAAATTTCGCCCCATGAAGTAGAATCGACTAAACTAATAGATACACATTTATTAACAGAGTAACCTATATCAGAATTAGGACGAATAGGATTACGCAATCCTAACAAATATGCAATATATCCAGCTATTATCATCTTAGCTTCGATGGTCTTGGTCTTGATGTTCTTCGTATCATCATCCTCACAGTTAGCGACAAGGTAGGGGGTCACGGTAGGAGCCTTAAGTGGGGGTGGATAGATACATAAATCCTCTGCTCTATCTAACTCTATATCTCTCTGTTTCAGTCCCTCGATCTCCAATTGTCTATCTTTCTGTCTCTTATCTGTAATGCGTTTGTACTCCCTAGCACCATCAGTCCCCCCTGCTGAGTCCAAGCGCTTTTTGAAATCGGGGGTGTTGCTCCAGCCGAAATACCACATATCTCGACTCATGATGGTATACAAAAAGGTCTTCCCTTTCTCCTCTTGCTGTTGTGTTACCCCTACTGTTTCAAGAAGATATTCTCCCGGAAATGGGTACTTGACCTTCTTCCTCTCCGTCGGTGTTAAGTGGCGACGAATCTTGAGCTCCATACCCAACTCCTTAAGTCGTGCATCAATCTCACTCTCCATTCCGTAACACAAGGGGATCAAATCATCCAAATTGATGATGGGTTGAGATCCGGAGACCAGTTTGATAAACATACCGATGGTCTAAAAATGCATAATAATAATGATGAAATCACTACTCATTACTCATTACCATACCCCGGACAAATATTTTTTTATCCTACCCTACTCATGTTGAGCTCAACACGAGTAGGGTAGGATAAAAAAATATTTGTCCGGGGTATGCTCATTACTCATTACGAGATAATTTCACTAACCGATTCAAATGACAGCATCCTTAGAGCCTCGCCTTCGTTGGAAAAGTGGTGTATTAATATACATTTGGGGATTGGTCGAATTGATAGACCCTCCGTGGCACAATACCTTTTCCACCCTTTGTAGGTGGTAATTAAGTTTTGAAGATACAGTTCAGTCTGTTCGTCTTTCTCCTGCTTGGATGCATTTTGCGCTACAGATATTGCTGGCTTCATGTGAAGAAGAACCAACACGTCCCTCCTATTGTAGTCAGTCACTTTCACCATGGTATAAATGCGACTGAATCGATGTTGAATGCATTTGGGGAGGACATCACTTGAGAGAGTTTGGTTGTATTGATAACAATCTGATTTAGGAGGATGACAGCTTACTTAAACATATATCACAGATATAGCACATATCCACCTTAACTATACTTACTTGGTTTCGTACAAAGCCTTAAAGCTGAATAGAAAACATATCCTCTACTTGAATCAGGTGCCTCCAAACATAAATGAATTAGCCCGGTGGTGGGGGCTTTGTGAATAATTAAAAACCAGTCCGGTTTGTCATCTACGCCAACACGACCTCCTCTGCGGAAAATCTCCTGATAAGAGAACCTCCCTCTGTTCAGGGGTCAACCCTTGTTCCTCCTGGGTCAAAACTAGTTGTGGGGACGCTTCAAAAACATTGTGGTCAGGCGAGTTGGTTTCAATCGGGGCTAGCCCAACCAACCGAAGAATCGTCTTTCTGATTTTATCGACCCCCTCATCTATATAATATGATAATACTATTATGTAGTATGCGTTAATCATTATCATGCAAGTGGTATATTACCTTTGACCGTTGTGCCACTTCTCACATCCGATGAAGCCACGTATCTTATTTGGAACTCTTCAGCCAAATCCCCATCTCTATAAATAATCCCCCTCCCATCCCTGGGTCGCATTTCTTTCTCCTCCACTTCCATCTCCTCCTCATCAGAAATGTAGGACCAATGTACGGGTTGGAAAGTCCGGTCTTCACGGGCGAGACTTGTAGCGGTTTCCGACTTTCTCTTCTCCTTGTCCTTCGTTCCACGGGGATTTAATTCCCCTTCGGCACAATTTGCGGCTCTCGTAGTCTCCACGGCCAAATGTTTGGTAGGATCAGGGGTAGCAGTTTTTGCGGTGGAACTAACAACACAAATTGGAAATATTGATTAAACATTAAGTACAAAGTAGTGGGGGGTAGGAGGAGGAAGAAACTAAAAACTAACGGCTTAGATTTAGCAGCATCCGTAGATGGACCGGCTTTCACTAATTTCGCCTTTTTCTCAACCATCTTCGGTGTCGCCCTCCGCATCGTCCTCTTCTGAGTTGTGACGAAACCGTCGTCATCCGAAAATGACTCGTCCCCCTCCATTCTTACCCAAACAAAACTAACGTACAAAATGTAGCAAAAGAAAATCAAAGTTGTTGCTGTTGTTGTGTGAGAAGTAGTAGTGGAGAAAGATGATTTACCACATACATATGTGGTAAATTCCGACTCGGAGAAATGTGAGTATTTCACCATGATTAATGTGAGATACTTTGTTCTAGATACTCCGTCTGGATCGGAGGGTCCATCTTGGCTTCGTTGTCCACCTTCCAACAAATGTGGATCTCCAAGCAAGAGTACGATGAATCAGGCCCAGCCATCGTTCACCGAAAGTGCTTCTAAATTATCACATTTTTTGGCATTCTTATTGATATTTCTCAGTATTGTGAATTTTAATTGTCGCGAGTCGCAAGGCGTGTAATAAATTATAAGCGGAATATTTATCTAAAATATGTCACCATCCATACTACCAATAATATTTGCATTATTTTCTCATCATGAACAAATACACGTATTATTTCTCCGTTGCAGAAGACTTATCAATTTCCTTATCATTTCATTAACTCCAAATAACACTTTATAACACGACGGCATTGACACGAATGCGGCAAAGATAACGTCGATATCTATCCGTGTGTGACATGTCTTAATCATGGTCATGATAAAATGTTGGCGTCAATCGATCGGGATGAATGCATCAGGAATTCTTTGAAAAACAATCTTTTAATCATATCCATCAGAAAGTATCATATGAATTGGCAGGATTGTTTTCAAAGTATTTTAGTCCATAATCTCATCTCACATCATATGCGTTTCCAATAATAATGTGAGTCTAAATATCTACCGTTTTATGACCAAATCATACTTAAATTATTAAAAATTAACTACAGCTATAATTAATTTCAACAGGGATAAACCCCCAAAAGCTCCTGTTCGAAAACGACTATTTCTTCAACGACCGCACCCAAGACATCCGAACAGCACGAATAATGCATACATTCTGGTGCTTGGACCTCCCAATTGTGGCAAATCGACAACGGTACAAAAAAAACACAAGCACAAAATTGTCAGAGTAATTATTTAATGATGAATTCTCCCTCCAGATAAACTGTCTCTTTAATCATCGAGAAATTGCCAGCGTTTCTCCGGTCGAAGGGACAAACTCGATCCACGAGTTTAGCACAAACTTTCACTCTCAACGAAATTTGAAGCTGATCGACACCCCCGGAGTTGGAAATCCCCTCAACGCAGTTTGGGACACCAAAGTGATCGCCACCCTAAAAAAGTACATGGATACGGACCGAGAACTAAGTCACTGTATTCCTAACGTGGTCCTGATCGTGGGTCGATTTGACGATGAACGGCTCACAGACGCGAACGGACCATTTGTAAAGTCACTCCAGGCCATAAATCTCCTAAATTCGAGGCTATTTGACAAATTTTCTTGCAACGTTGTCATCCTGTTGACCCATTTTATGCAAGGAGATGAAGCCTATCGAGCATCCTCACATTTTAGGCGAGACGAAGTAATGGACCTGATTAAAAATTATACCCAATTTCCGCAAATGCCGTACATAATTTTTGGAGAGAATAGTATTGTACGAAAAACAGGGGGTAGAAACATGTTCATTCGACATCCAGAATACGGTGGTAAATGTTTCAACCTGTCTGAACACGATGATAGCAGTGCGGAGGATATTTATCCTTCAAATTTAATTGATCTCATTATCAAAATTAGTGCAGGTTCTACCCAGGGTGCATTGGGACCAGAGTATTTTAGAAGTATTTTTCAAAATAGAGAAAGGCTTTTCTTATGGGGGAGTTGTAGTCTGCCGCTAGTTTCCAGCGAGAGGAAGCGATTTCAAAAAGCGTTTTATGCCTTGCAACAGTCCTACAAAACGGAGGAGAGTAAGGAAAAAGAGCGAGAAACTGCTTTCGATAATTCTAATAATAGTAATAATAATAATAACAATAATGAGGAGATTTTGAAAATTTGATGAAAATATGTAGCATATACATACATACTAATTCTACTAATGCATTGAGTTATACTAACGTGTCGTAAATAAAGCGAACTTTTACAACAATTTAGAGAATCGTTCCAAAATTTTGTTGCTTATACAACAAGACTTTTAATTAAAAATTTTATTTCCACAATTGCATTGACAACACATAACAATCAGTCAGTATGGCTTACTGGATGGTTTTAAATCTACATAATATCATAACACCAAAATTATGAAAAGTGGGCATCGTTTTTATTTACAACAAAATGGAAACACAATTTAATGACCACGTTTCCGTCAAAATTATTGTTCCGGAAGAAGAAGAACCTCCGCCGAAACTTCGACGACGTACGGAAACAGAAGGGGCGAAAAAGCTCCCAAAATTTTTAAAACATTACGCCATCTTCTCCTACGTCATATTTGGATTATGTGCCGTAAGATCTACTGACATCAAACATATAAAACATTTGCTGACATTTCATTATTTCATAATTGTACAGTTTTTGGAAATCGGATATCTTTGCTATGCTGCCACAATTTTATTCAACCCTGAGCTCTTCATCCAGTATGAGCCAGTAAATGAACTGCTTGCGTATAACTCGTACAACTTGCAATGTCCATTTATCGGTCTTCTTTGTAAGTTATTTACATTTCATACTGATAATTGTGTATCGTAAAAGTATCACGTCAATTTTTTTTAACTTATTGGCAAACAGTTTGCGCAATCTTCGTCTACCACGTCAAAAATAAAGTGAAACTGGAAGATGGTGATTTTTTCGGACTTATCGGATGCAATTTACTCTTCTCAATGGTCATGTGGTACGACGGGGCTGGAGTTAACCATTTGTATAAGGATCGGCTCGATTACATTCAGAATAAAGAAAGATATACAGAAATTTACAATCCCTCCGAAACGAAGGAGCTTGGTATGAATTATTATTATAGAGCAAAATCGTGATGCTATACATAAGTCAAGTAAGCCAATAATTAATTAATTAACTCCATCAAAATTAGCTTGGCAGTACGCTTGGAGCACGAAACCAACATGCGCAAGAGTAAGTGAGTAGTAGTCCTATAGTAGTACCATTAATTATAGTTAGTTAACGAATACTAATGTGTATTTCGCATAACAGGTCCATGCCCAGGTGATTCAAAATTTCATACCTATTTACAAATTTATCGCTCACATTGATTAAGCCCATTAATCATCTGAATTAAATACTAGCTCATGGAGGAGGAGAAGTTTGAGGAAGACAAAAAAAAGGCAGAGCTGGAGGAATCTCACGGGTAAAACAAATATTTAATTAACAAATTTTTTAAATCTAAGAACTAATTTTTATTTTCTCTGCAGACCTGGCATAATTTCTACGGATAAGAAACTCCACCCAAATAAATGGATGTATGATAAAAAGGCAATGGAAGAGATGAAAGGTTTCAGCGCCCGAGTTCGAAATGCTATAGAATTAAAAGCTCGGAGTTCCTCTGTCAATCGAAGCAAACTTTTACCCCTTGATTCCATTGATAGAAAAACGTACGCGTCGGAGTGTAATTTCACTTCGAATTCAATGAAGCTAGAAGGATCTAGGAGTTGGATGATTAAAATGCAATCGAAGGTATGAATAAAATATAAACATAATTCATGCTGAAGGTGCTTAAAAGCACTCGACTTTCTAGTTTAAATGCTGCGGACCTCGAGGTTATTATGACTGGAAGAATTACGTCGATGACGTAGACAAGTATTGTGTAGACGAAAAGGTATTATTTAAAATCGGTGAATATTTGGTAAAAATTTAACTAGATTTCTACTTTTCGTAGACGAAGAAAAAGTATCTAGGAAGCTGTGCCCTTCCATTTAATGTACACCTCACAGCCAGATTATATACAACCGTAGGATTCATGTTTGCCCTGTCTGCCGTCTTCTTCCTCAAGATGTTTGCAGCTTGTTTACACTTTGCCGTTATGAAGTTTGAGGACAAGGGAATCGTCATAAAGTACTCGCTCCTCGAGTAAGTTGAAACACAAAATGAACTACATAAGTCTATTCTAATATAAATTCTACAAATTGTCTATTCTACAGCATGACCGAACCTGAGGACTATCAAGTGGTGGAAACACACCATCAACTGAGCACTAAAGGACTAGTTGGTTCTGACCAGGTTCGCGGAATTTTACAGGCGTCCAGCATTCGAGCAGAACGATCCCGACGAAGCACAGTTGCGGCTAGCTTCAATCCACGATTGGCCTTTGGGGCTGTGAATACTCATGGGGCACAAGTAAAAAATTTATCTCACACCTTGATGGCATTTAACAAAGCAACGTCAAAGGAGAAGGATGAAAAGGGAAAGGGACATGTCACACATCAAGTACATTCGTCACATAATATTCACGCAAAGAAATAATAAAATTAGTCGGCTATGGGTTTTTTTTATACTAATCATTGATCTTATCCTGACAAATAATTGGTCCAATCATGAAATATACAGTTTAGAATTCATGATAAATTTTTAAGCATCTATTTCGTCATCTAATTAATAATGGAACGGGTAACAAAAATAATAGCCATATCTCACTATATTCCTCGTATTTCGTCATTATCCACAACTTCCATCATCCCATCCATCTTTCCACCTTTGATCGACTAGATTACAATCGAATTCTTCCTTTCCAAGTTTTTTATTTACTTGGTTGTGCATTCGACATAACCACTGAGAAAAGCCCCATCTCGTCGTTGTTTCCGGTGGGGATTCCCTAATCCTGCAATAAATCGATTAAAGTTAATTGAACTTTCTATCTCAAAACGTCACAATTTTTTTCATCTTACGATCTTCTAAAATCCTCTGCACAATGATCGCATGGATAATACTTTGAGAATAACTTCATAAAATAAGTCATTTGCTTTTGCTCCCTTGCAGTCGGAGTATCGGGAAAATAGGCGGCCATCGTATGAAGGAATCCCCATGTATTTCGACCCAGTTCATCTTTGTCTAGAGGACATCCAGCAGAAGGGTGGGGGTTTTGGTTTTCATTCGATGAAGGGGTCTGCAAAAATCCAAAATCATTTCTATCACCAATTTCATATCTAATTTAGTTTATTTGTTAAATATTGTTTACAAACTAACCGATTTATTTCCTAGCTCATTTTGTTGCATTTTTGTCCAAGATTTAAAATCGTAACATGCCCTGCAGGGCTTCTTAGGTTGTGTGCTTTCTTTTCCATTAGCCTCCATGTCTTTAAATATATTCATTACCTGGTCCAGTTGATTATACCTAAAACAACAACAAAAACTGGTATCAAATCATAATTGTAACAGAATGAAGGTACACTCAAAGTGAAAGCAACCGGAAGTTTAAAACATGATGCAATAAATATGCAATAGTACTCAATTTTATGCACACAAACAAAGTAATTACAATTACGGAGTAATTAGGTAAAAATAAAATGAAATGAAGTAAATACCAGCAAGAAATATTGGAAAATAATTCCAGCAGGTGAACAAATTTTGTGACTTTCTCTTAAACACAAAAATGAGCTTGGCTGACTTGGAAGAAAGCCCGAGAACTGCCGAGAAGTGAAAATTTGTCTCTTTGCCGGCGCAAGGGCTTCGTGATTTTGATGAATCTCGTCTGCAGCGGGGCTTAATCAAACTGGTTCTCTTTCTCTTCCAACTTCCAACAACAAAATAATTGTGAATTGGGTATGTTCCTTGTCCTGAAGTAGTTTGGGACTGAAAAATTATTCTCACCACACACCACACCCACTGCCACGTTCAAGAATGGCCTTCAATCGTGTTCCAAAAAGAACTTGTAAGTTGATAAAATTAAGACAATTTTATTTCACACAATACGTCTAATAAAATAATGAATGCCCTCTCAGATTTTAAAGTAAATTTTTCAACCTGAAAATGTGAAAATTAGTCGTAATGGAATAGTAACTCAAATTACGTTATCAAATTTAATTGCAGTGGGACAGTTATGGAGGCAAGGGTGGACTGAAATTCCAGAAGTGATGGGTTCCTCAATCTACTTGGTTTTGGGTATGTTACCTTATATGTAATGAGAATTTATTACTGGACAGTTCGACACATGGTTATTCATCATTTATCATTGTTTTTTTTAATGATAAGGTCTCATCGCTCTCCCAACGTATGTGGTCTACTGGTACAGAAATGACTTGGGGAACCACAGATATAAGACGAGATACATTGGTATGAATGATTAATATGAATGATTTCACGTTTGCCATTATCGAAACTAACAATTTTTTAAAAATACTGAATATTTTTACTGTTTACTTTACAGTTTACCGACCAGAGGATCCCCATGTTGAAAGAGTTCGAAGATTTCCCGACAGTCCACCTGTGACACGAGTTGATTCTTCTTCATACTCTTAAAAGCTTCAATTAAAATTATCTAGTAATTATCTTCGATGCTGGAATAATCAGTTGTAAAAATAGTCTTATTATTAAAGAACTTATAATAGATCCGATTAAAAGCATGTTACGTATATGTATAAATTGTAGTCACTCCATTGGTCTCTTGTAATAAAAAAATCCCATGTTTAAATCGACAGCTCAATTTGTTAAATTGTATCCTATTTATCCTTCTTATCGATTGGTTTATTGCTAACAATTTAGTTATGTTTGCATAATAATTGCATTTGTTAAAATCACTCATACCCTAAACTTATGAATGACACCACTAAAAAATCATAGAGCTTGTGAACCTGTACATACATATATGCAATCTTACGACTTGTATGTACATAAGTGGTTTGTTTTTCATATAATCAAAGGAATTTGTTATCTCCATTTTTGTACAAAAACACATCCGGAATCCGGAAACCACTAAAAAATTCTAGATTTGCGTCACCAATGCAGTGCCGGTAACAAAGTTACAATAGTTTTGCTCCACTTTTTCTGCGAAGATTCTCTCATTCATTGCATCTCATTTTCTCTGTTATACAAGAGTCAGTCACACACAAGGCTCATGGCATGTCATCAGACATTTCTCTCATCTGGCAAAAACACGTAGATTAAATAATTGCAATATCGCAAAATCGAGACTGCTAATATTGTCACGTCATCGGAATTAAACTAGGAATTTGGAAAAATTGAGGGCAATAATTCAGATTGAAGGTGCAAAGTGCTGGGGAAATTCTGAAATTCTTAAACTAGTCTTTGGTAATAAAAATCTGTGTGCTACATACATAAACTTATTGTGTGAATGACATGTTTGACATGTATTTTGACACTATGTTGTGATAATGACTTATAGGTTGGACATTTCCTCCAGGTTTTTCAAGTCCAATAGTCCGAAGACCTTTTTTACTTGCAGGGTGTGCATAATTTATTTGTCGGTGGCTCCACTCTTTATTAAGGGAGAAAGTTTTACGCTGAACAATTTTTATGGTTTATGACAGTAAAATTATCAGTATTAGAAAATATATATTAGTATTATTACATGTGAGGGATTCATTTTTTAAGGCTATTTTTACCGTTCACCATTACAAGAATAACCTAATTTAACAGAACCTTTTTTAAAGTTGGGATTAACCAGGTTTACTAAGTGCGTAGAAGAAATTCTTGACGGTAATAGGATTAATTATTGAATTTTGACCCTTGGTGATTTGCCCTGTTATGACCCATTCTTCCAATCACGCGTTGCTATTTACCAAGAACTCCAATAAATATTCCGCCTTGATGACTTCAATTTCTGGATTGTCGGCATCGATTCCACTCCTCCACGAAATTTCTCCTATCGACAATATTTGTCACCACCATCAGTATCATATATACCTGTGTAAACTACCTCTACTCGATATACCATAATTAACTAGGAACGAATTTAACAGTTTAAATTAAGTAGGCAAGCAATTTTTAGTAGATAGATCGCACTACGTCGTAAATAGGGAAATTTAGGGAAAAAATGTCAAATATAGCCGGGGGAGGAGGAGGAGGTAGTGGTGAAAATGAGGCATCCACTCTTGAACCGGCGAAAAAGAGACCGGAAGACTTTATCTTTGGCAAAATGGTTGGAGAAGGAAGTTTTTCTTCCGTAAGTGATAATTATTCTGAACTACTAAATTATAATATGCTAAAATTTGAATAACAAATGTTCATGATCCATGTACCGATTAATCATCACAGGTTTATCTGGCTAAGGATGTCAAGACTGGAAAAGAATATGCAAGTAAATTGTTTTATGCTAATTATAAGTATAATTATTACATATGGATGGAGTACCTAATAATTACAATTATTTATTATTGTTGCAGTTAAAGTTTGTGATAAACAGCACATTATACGAGAAAAAAAGGCGGAATCCATCCGTCGAGAAAAGGATATAATGACCATTCTTTCTGCAAATCGAGATCCAACGGCTCCATACTTTGTTCAGTTATATGCAACATTCCAAGATGCACACCGATTATGTGAGAAATTTAATTTAGAATTGTTTTTGCTCAGATTGAGAATAATTTTCATGTTTGATTTTGCAAGTTTTCGTCATGACCTTTGCTTATGGGGGCGAATTATTAAAGCAGCTTAATTCCCGTAAAAAGTTTACCAAGAACGTATCTCGGTTCTATGGCGGTGAAATCGTCCAAGCTCTTCGACACATGCACAAGTTGAAGATTTGTCACAGGGATTTGAAACCGGAGAATATCTTGTTAAATGAACAAGGGCATATCTTAATTACCGATTTTGGGTCTGGCAAGGAGCTCGTTACCATACCTGTTGCTGGTGAGAAGAATGCAATAAAAACTCATTGCAGTAGCATTACTTAGAATCAAGTAATTGATTATTAATGAAGTACATTTCCTCACAGCCACACAGGAACCTGCGAAAAATGGAGATCCGGAAAAGCCAGTTACGGGAAGAGCACGCAGCAACAGTTTTGTAGGGACAGCCCAGTACGTTTCACCAGAAATTCTACAGGGACGATATTCAGATGTGGGACCAGCGGCTGATCTTTGGGCACTAGGCTGCATCCTGTTTCAATTCATGGCTGGGCGTACACCATTTCAAGCAGCGTATGCATTATGGCATGACATCAGTTTCAAACTATTTCGTGATTTTGACCCCCTGCTTTTTTTCTAGGAGTGAATTTTTAATCTTTAAAAAGATTCTGAGTTTGGACTTTCAGTTTCCTGAAGAAAACTTTGATGAGGATTCTAAAGATATCATTTCAAAACTACTGGTACGGTAGATTTTAAAATTTCATGTAGGAAAAACATTAATTTTTAAATAATTATGCAGAAACTTCAATTTACTGAACGACTTGGAGCACAAGACGCTAAATTTTACACAAGTATTCAAGAACATCCATTCTTTGCTGAGTTGGATTTCGACACACTTCATTCACAGCGGGTTCCACTAGCTGAAGAGAACCCTACGGCAGATTCGCCTACCAGTCCATTAAGATTAATTAAGGTTGTACTAATTAAGATCCACACGATAAGTTTCAAAAAGATGGTTTATGTTACCTCTTTGATGCTTTAATTTTTTAGATACAAATTCCTTCAGACTATGAACCAGGTTTTAACCCAAGAGTAATTGCGGAACGATTCCTTCGCAGTTCGAGTGATGAAGATTTGCGATGGGAAGATCATCATGCTCGCGTCTCTTCTGAAGACGGATCGGAAGGTAGTGGACCCATTACTCCATCCAATGAGAACAACGATGTCAATAGTGCAGCTCAATTGTTAAATACGATGAACATTGACGCCCAAAATCGATGCAATAGCGAATGCATTGGGTCACCACCACGAAGGTGTAGTAGGGGCAAAATGGCGTTCCCTCTTGATGTTCAAGAACGACTTACGAGACTTGAAGAACAGGCGAAAAGTAATGAGTGGCACAAGTGTGTTAAAGGGAATCTGATTCTAAAACAGGGATTGGTCACAAAGCGGAAGGTACACACATACATAGATTACCAGTTTATTTTATAGAATATTTTATTGAATTTTCATACAACTATGTTATTATACAGGGCTTGTTTGCACGACGTCGAATGCTTCTTCTGACGGAAGGCCCTCATCTATTTTACTGCGACCCCAACAACATGACGGTGAAAGGAGAGATTCCCTGGTCTAAAAAATTGAAGCCGGAGGCCAAAGATTTTAAAGTGTTTAATATTCAGACGGTATTACACGCATCAGTCATTTATTGTCATTAACATTTTTAGATAGTTCTTAAATATAAGTACCTATATCTTTCTCTGTACCGATAGCCCAACCGCACATATAACTTGGAGGACCCTTCAGGATTCGCTTTAGCGTGGTGTGAGGCAATCAGTGTCCTTCATCAACAAACTTATGGGAACACGGAATCTAATTAATCGATTCAACGCGACTTACAAAATTCCAAGATCTGGTTAATCAAAAAAAGTCTTATTTCAACTACAACGAATAGTCTACGATGTCCCATAATTAACACAATACGTATGTATGAAGGCGATTTTAATTGATATTTTATTCAGAATCATCTTTTAGAGTTGAAATAACGTGTATTACTGACATTATTATTGGTAACATTATAGTTTTAGTGCAAAATTGTATTACTAAAAACCTACAGTGCAGACTCCATATAGCCCGAGTCAGGGACATAGTCCCTGACTCAATAAGTCAGAGCCCGCTTCTAAATTCTTTTCCGAACTGACCGACATAATATCACCAACTTCCGTGTTGTGGATGGTTAAAAGTTTGTTAGATAGTTTCTATTATTTGGTACCAAATTTTTGAATTAGTTACAAATCATGTGCCTTGACCACCATGACCAGTGGCTTCTTTAACAACCTGAAGTTCTAAGCTGTATGTATGTGCTATTCAGCCTCCAAATCAAATTTCAGCTCGATATAACGATTTTTAAAAATCAGTATGGGTCACCCCATACTGATTACACTCTGGTCACTTTGGTCTGGTTGCACTTTGTTCACTTTTAACTTCATATTCTTTAATTAGCTGTCATTAAGTATCATTGTGCCGGATTTCATCTTTTTAAAACAATTTCTAAAAATCGGTATGGGTCACCCCATAGGGGCGTTCCAGATAAAAATTTTACCAATATCATATCATATTCTTTTATTAAGACCCATAAGCAACCTCTCCACCAAATTTCAGTTCGATATGATGGTTTTGAAAAATCGGTATGGGTCACCCCATAGGGTCACTCATGATGAAAATTTTTCCAACCTGAAGTTATTTTTTTCTATTAGGAGCCATTAGCAACCTCTGTACCAAATTTCAGCTCTCTCCAACAATTTTGAAATTTTGGTGCATAAGACCCCACCCACTCCGATGACCCCCACCGGTCAACCACCGGACCGATTTCGCCCATCTTCGAACTCGTTTCCTAACTTTGTCCAATATGCATATGGTAAAAATTTCAAGTCAATCGGTTCAGCCGTTTTGGCTCTATCGTGCCGGACAGACAGACAGACAGACAGACGGACAGACATGACGGTTCCATAAGCCCTGACTCGGGCTAAAAATTGATATCAATTACGAATTTACCACGTATGGAAGGACGCATTTTTGCAATCAGTTCAGTGTTAAATTGTTCGATAATACATATACATTTGCTTTGTTAATTAACAAAAACAAACTGTTTTTATCTTTAAAGAAACCTTAATAAAGCTTATGTATTAAAGTACTAGAATAGTTAAACTATTTGAGTTATTATATAATTCTCTCGAGTAAAGTAATGGTTATTACTTTCATAAAATGCATTTCTCTAAATTAGTTCATGGACGAATACTGTATCTTGTACAAGTTTAGGCAAGTTCCAGTACAACTTTAAATTTCAGGTACACCACAACTTTTGGTTATTGAACACTTCAATATCTCTGATTCTAATATAATTCGGGTCATGTAAATGCAATTCGATTCAGCTTAATCAGAATCCGAACTGGAACTACTACTGGAAGATCCTCCGTGTCCGTGACCCTTGAATTTGTGCTTTTTCATCCCCTTTGAGAGAACATAGGCACCTAGGACAAAATCAATGCAGATTTAGTCTCAAAATTTCAATACTTTGTAACCTTCTTTTTATCTTTCATAAAAAAATAAATTACCTGCGCCTCCTGCAGCGAGAGGAATGCCATATTTCATCAGCTTGTTTTGCTTCTTGGCTGCCTTTTTCTGAAAAGCAACATAATTTAGGTAAGCACAACTATTATTCAGGGGAATATTTAAATGTGCTAGATATTATTAATTACCGATAAAAGACCGCCTGCGCCCAGCGCTGCAGCACCTCCTAAAATACCACCCATCATGCCTCCTCCCCCACCCATTCCACCTCCACTATGACCACCATATCCGTGGCTTCCTCCTCCATGACCTCCATGTTTGCCACCTATTAATTTGTTAGCCATTCCCCCCAACGCAGTTCCTGCCAGTCCTCCAGCAAGCATGGGTCCAACTTTTCCTAGAATTCCACCGGACCCACCATGCCCACCACTTTGCTGTTGAGGATATTGCTGCAAGGACAATAAACTTTTTATTCCTGACCTGGTCTAAATATTTTATAGATAATATTATATCATCTTTAACCTCGACACTTACCGGATAAGCATCAGGTCCAGGGTACGGCTGCTGATTATATCCACCTGGTTGTTGTCCTGGATAAGGCTGCTGTGGGTAAGCACCCCCACCTGGTTGTTGATAAGGCTGTTGTGGAGCATTATAAGCACCCGGCTGTTGATATGGTGGCGCAGGATATTGTTGTGTTGAATTCGGTGGCAGTGGGTAACCTCCTCCTCCAATGTCCGGATAAGAACCTCCTTGTGGGGCGGACGGATAAGCTCCTCCTTGTGGGGCAGACGGATAAGAGGGGGCCGCTCCTGGATATCCCGATGGTGCTGCTGGTGGTGGAGCTGAAGGCGATGGCATGGCGAATCCCATGGGGGGCAGGCCACCCCCAGCAGCCGGATATGGACTTCCTCCTCCTCCTGCAGGTGGATATGGACTTCCTCCTTGCTGTTGTACCAGAATTATAAATATTTAATTAATGTTTCAGTCAATCAGTTACCTTATATATACAAAAACACCATACTTACGTTAGGATACATAATGCTACTTTCTCTTTCCTGAATGAATTTCTCCAAAGTTTTTAATAAAGTGCAGCTGTTTCTTTTCGAGATTTTCGACCTCGTAAATATTATTGTTAGAGTAAAATGAGCTACTTATAGTAAACTGTAAATGAAATGAGACCAGTTGAGACTCTGTGGTTGCTTTTACTACGTGATGTTGATGAGACTATGAGATTTCGTAATCCGTTGTTTTTGAGAACGCGATTCACTCACGGTTCGCACAATACTGAAATAGAGTCAAAGAGTTCAGTCACAGAGAACTGCTTATCTGGATGTCGATTATCTGATACGCTTTGCGAAATGATGATTCAATAAATATTCATGGGCTTACTACACGTTATGATAAGTGACTCGTTGAGTGTAAATTTAGCACAGGAAAAACGAGTTCGTTCGACTGTCTGCATTCAAGCGGAAATAGTTTCAGCTTTCTACGAACCACTTTATTTAACCACATCTCGTCTAAAGTAAGTACGTCATAATAAAGTGACTCATCTCCAAATTAATGACCATGTCATGCTACGTCATGGTTGTGACGTCTCAAATGCGAGCAATAACAATGAGTCAACAATGGCAATTTTTGGTACTATCACGTACGTACATTCATACAACAGGTTTATTTAATTTTATTGTGAAAATAAGGGTGTGTGATTGATATGGCGAATTAATTGTGTGTATTTGGTTTGGTTTTTTGAGACGGCATCATTTTCTCTGGTACTCTTTACATTATTGGGTTGACTAACTGGTCCATGAAGTAGTTATCAATCGTGTTCTCTTAAATATTAATTTGTATTTTCCACAAGCATAAAATCCGTATCGTCTCCGACCGAGTTGGACGAGAGGAGGACAACCATCCAGTAAATGATGTTAAACACGATGAAAAAGCAGGGCATCGTATATTGAGAGTACATGCAGCATCTAGAAAATTTTGGTTAAGTTCAAATTAAATTATAAACTATATTTAACTTTTTCAGAAATATTTAAAAAAATATTACTTGTAAATTAACTCTTTAAACCGACTGTCAAAGTTGGGGCGTCCAATGTTGAAGTGTTCTTCTGAGGGTTCGGTGTCTGGAAGAATTTCTTTGGCATCATCTGCACTTCCGTTGATTTGACGCATTCTCATACGCGTCTAAAAAACATGAATCGGTTAAAATCATTAATGATTAAATATTTATTTTATTATTATTAAATGTGAATGAGTAAGTTTCATACATTTGAGTTTGCTTGAGGTCTGAGGAGATGATACATGATAAAGTTCACTGTGGATTGAAACAAGTTTGTTAAATATCCATCCATTTAATGACGATATTTATATGTGCCATTAAATTTCACTTGCCGATAACCACATTAAAGACCATGAAGGAACATTTAAACACGTAAAAGTCCAGTGCAGTTTGATAGGAAACTTTGGGCATTTCCTGAGATAAGAGAGAGGTGAAGATTACGATGCCAACCATCTATGGAGGAGAGGCAAGTCGAGATTATTAGTTATGTGTCTCATATGCAAATAGATAACTTATTATTAGTAAAACGTGGTCCTTACACAAATCACGCTCAGGAGAAGGCGAAGGTGCAAGTTAACAACGGTCATTGTTATGAAGGCGATAATAACGAGAACGGTGGATGGGAAATATACATCTTGGAAAAATCGGGTAGAAACTCTGGCAATGATGAATTCAATGGAGACTCGGGAATAATTTCCTGTGGGTAAATTTATCTTAACATCAAGGGCACAATAATTTCATAAATAATTTTTTCTGAATTTCTCGTACCACTGGAAAGAGAGATACTCGCATAGCCACCCTTGACCGCTATAACTTCCTGATTGATGGAACCCCCTGATCCAGCAGAGACTCCAATTTTTGGCTCTCCGTTGTCATTTTTGTCCCAAACGTAAGCTATTTCATTGGCGGAGTAGCCATAGCTCTCGAACACTAAGCTGCACGTATGCCTGTCAAAGGGGAACCATTTCAGATTCATTTTGCAACTTGCAGTCACAGTGATTCTCATTGATCTGAGAACTTCTCCGTCGGACATGACGCTGGTAAAAATGTTATCAACGGTCAAATCATGCTTTGTGGATCTTCTCTCATTGACGATGAAGGTGTCGGGCACCCACATTTTTGCTGCGTGTTCTCGATCAAGCTAAACACATTTTGGGAGAATTAAGCATTTAAGTAATTGTACCATCCAAATTTTTGTATAAATTCAAAACGAATATTTGTAAAAGTGCATACCGTAATTTTCAAAACGCCTGCAGGAGGTTCAAACCTCAACTTTGGATCAATCCATTTTTGTCGTAAGTACAGTTGTGCTGTAAACTCCTGTAAAAAATAGTGTCACTTTCATGAAGTCTTTAGCATTCTTTATGACTATGAATAATTTTCTCACGTGGTTCTTCTCATCCACGTTGAACACGTCCAAGACGTAGGCACTCACGGTTACACTAACTGCCCATTTGAACACCAAATATTAACCTTTTGTCAGAAATTATAAAAATATTATTATGAATCTATACCTCCAGAATTGGGAACAATCCTCTTATCATAATAGTCATTGGGACTATTTTCTTTCGTGGGGAATAAGCTATCCATTATCTCCGAGATAGATTTGGCTGCCCTATTCATTCATTGGAAGAAAGTCAAAAATTAAGCAATGTGCCTGTATACAAGTTTGCATGTCTACATAAAAGTGCACTTTATAAGGTCGTACTTACCATGCCTGACTAATTTCTGATGCTATTAGTCCCACGACAAAAATTAGTATTGTTCTGGACTGCATTTTTCTAACAGAGCAAACAAATGCCAAAAAGCACAATTGGAATTTGAAGAGAGAGTGTCAAATGTCGTATAAACTTGGGCACCACAACAGCTCCAATAATCGATCGGTCATGTAACCTGACGCTACCAGCTACCACTACCACTTCCACCACCACTACTTCATACTTTCAGCATACATACGTACACTTTCAGCGAAAAGAGTTAAATGTCGGAATTGGGCTGAATTCTTATATGACCACGACAAGAAATCGATTTGTATGATTAAAGCCGAGTTGAAAAATGAGACCCAAGATTGTTATAAATATCCATCCAGCGTAGTCCAGCAGTACTCAGAAGAAGGCGTCTGTCCCAACAACTCTTTCCCATGAATTCGTAAACTCCCTATGAATAAAACACTGCTGGACGAGCTGCTTTTGCTTATTGAGACTTGTTTATTATTCGCCCACTCGAATCAGTATTTTCATTTTTAATTGCAGCAGCAGTGCGGTGGATGGAGGAATATTGTAATACTTTCCAACCATACTCCCTCTTCTTCGTCCCATGTTGTTAGCAAGTTGACATTTATTATAATAATTTAATTCATATGTGGACCAAGTATTAAAGGTGGTGGGTAAAGGTCACCAAGATAACACCATGGTAAGAAAAGCGTCATTTATGTATAACTCACTCTCTTCTTCTCGGTGGTGGAACTGCTGCTGTGTTCAAGATACGGTGCCAATGTCCACTGGTTGAAAACGACCACCACGGTGTTGCAATGACCTGACTAATGACTGCATGAATTGACCAAGTGGCCATATCAAGGTCATACTGAAACAAAAAATGGAGACGACGCTGTAAATAACATCTGTCACTTGATTGACGATGATGATGATGTGAAGAGGAAGAGCTATATTTGCTCAGTTATCGAGAAGATGATTGCGTATGTATGTGTCCAGCTTATTAATGCATCCACCCAACTACTGACTAACCAAATTTACTGAATGACACTACAACTTTCTGCTGATGTGTTGATTAAAAGAGTGATGAAAATTTGATACACAAGAAAGCTTAAATATTCATATATTTATAAATATGGGTACGTATATTCTACATGAATATGTACCTATCGACATGCATTCCCTCATTATTGAGCGGATTCACTCCGGGCCTCTTTTTGCTGGCACCTTTGCGTGCATAATTGAACAAGGGGCTTTTAAAGGCGTTTACTATATTCGCACTATCACCACATCACCTCCGTCGTCAGTCCCATACGACGGGAGTTAAATATTTGACACTGCATGCGGAATGGGACTCTTGACATAAACACGAATGGAATGAGAACTGGGGATTTCAGCCGACTTTTCCTTTCTTTATATGTAACGAGGAGACGGTGGAGAGAATGCGACTAAGGATATCGTCACCTTGACGTAGCTCGATGCAGAGAAAACACAACAGACCAGGAAACCAGAGGAGAAAGCATGTAGAAAGCAAGCGATCAGGATTTCGACCCAATTCGGAACTTCGTCTTTCAGCCCGAGATTGTATTTACAATGTGAAGAGGGAATTTCACTTTCTTTCCACTTTTTTCACCATCGTACTTACCACCACAACAACTACGCCTGTAGTATCGTAAAATCATGATAGCTTTGACGACGACTTTCTCGACACACGACGCACTTTCTCGTCATACTTTAATTTAGCGTATCTTCCATTTATGGTAAAAACAATACATCATGCATACAGATCTGGATAATAGTTTAGTCCATAAAGAAGGGGACGATGTTGAGGAGGAATCTGGAATTGTAAGTCGCAGTGAAAGTAGTGAAAGTTTTGCTTCCTCGTCATCTCATTTCGATATTGGGTTGCTCAATCTGCCAAATCTGGTGAGAATTTATGCGTAATTTATAATTTACTCATTAGATAAATAAATACATGCTTCTACAGACTCTTAAATATTTTCAGATTTTTGATAAAATTTTTAACCACCTTTCTCCCACCGATATTTTAACCCTTCGTCTCACCTGTAAATCGACGAAAGCCTGTGTCGAGCATAAATTTTTGGATAAACTTTGCATAAATGTGAAAACTCGGCAAGCATTCGTTGTTCTGCTCAACTCTCAAACGACCTGGACGCATTTCAACTTTCACTGGAAACTTAGCCCCCCGCAGAAACAATTGTCGCAATTTACTCTCATATTCTCCGAACACATCACAACCCTCAAGTTCACCTCGAATGTGTACGATTCTGCCATTATCAAAATTATTTGTAGCTGTGCTTCCCTCAGTATCTTGGTCGTTGAAGAGATTGACGGGACAATGTTGGCCGAACTGCCGCAAAAAGATAAGGCCCGACTCTCCAAGGCGTGCTATTCTCTACAACATCTCGGCATTCACGAGATCCTCAGCGATGACAAGAAGGGGGCAGACTTCTTCATCGAGCATGTCCTCTCGGTGTGTTGTTCCACCCTGAAGTCCTTGGTCGTCCCATTTCTCACCTTCTCTCCCATCAACGCCTACCCGTTCAAGTATGGCTGGGATAATAAAAACAGTATGACGTCCACCACACCCACCGACGTTTTAGTGGTTCGTCCCCTCATCGAGATTATTGAAAATCGAGTCAAAGCCCCCAATTTGGAGAGTGTCGTGGTCGTTCCGGAGTCTCGATCCGCACTCTCCGACTCGGGCCTCTTTTGCCTCACGCTGCTATGTTATCATCGACACCTTAACTTAATTTATGACAAATTTCACGATTCCAATTTTAATCTGGGCAAGTTAACGTATTCCCTTTCGTCGGAACCGAGTATGCAAATGTCTGAAATTGCGAGTAAAATTATGACCGTGATGGCCTCCACGACAGATCTCTTGTTGAATTATGAATTTGCTAATTTACGCAAACTTGTAGTGCAATTTTCTACTTTTCATATCGACCAGGATATTTTCGTCGTGCAAAACTTTCCTCGGTTGAACACGCTAAATATCGACTTTAAAATAAGGAAGCAGCTTCATCCGAGGTGCAGCAAGGTGAAAAGGATGGACATGTTTGTTCAGGGGCTGCTAGAAGTTTCAAGGCCTAGCGTGAAACAGTTGCAAGTTCAAAATCATTGCGTGGTGGAAAGTGCGATTTCCTTCAACGTGGTGAAAGTGGTCAAGTGCTTTTGTAACTTGAGGTCACTCTCCTTAATTGGTTTTAAGGGGGCGACGAAAGACTTTCCAGTGATGTGGAGAGGGCTGAGACTCCTGGAAAAGGTGGAGCTGGAAAATTGTCCTGGGTTAAATGACCAAGGGATGTTGGGGGAGGATTGGACTAAACCGGCGATTCTAGAGTTGACTGGTATATACAAACGAATAATAAATTGGAATATATGTACACAATCGTAAATTTAATTAAATGAATAATTAGTGGATTTTGACATGCATGCATATTTTTCGTTACAGATTTACGGGAGCTAAAAATAAGTCGAAGTGGACGGATAACTGATTTGAGCTACATCATTGCGCTTTGTAGAATGAGACTGACGCGATTCCATCATCAGCCATTCTACCAATCGGTACTTTAAATAGATAAATTATTCAAGTATAATTTGCATAAGATTTCAGATTTCAGATTTTATATTATTCATGAATTTCAGGACATCACTTTTGAAGGCTACAATGCATTGGCACGTGGGGATTTTTCAAAAACTATAAAATTCCTAAGTGGTGGGACAACCTTTGGACGATTGGAAAAGTCCAGTTTGAGAGAGTACCTGAATAACTTCCCATCTTTGCAGGAAACCGATAGAAAGAAAATTTTGCGAGGTTTCAGTCGATGGAATTTGTCTTGCTTCTGATGAAAATAATATGAGATTACTTCCAAATAATGCTAAATAATTGTTGCTACTTCCAGACGTTTTTACCAAATTAATTGCATTTGAAATAAATTTACGACAAAAGCTTCTTCCAAAAATACGAGATGTATTGCTTTCTCTTCTCATAAACATGCAATCATTTCCATAAATTAATTGTTGCAGGCAAGGAATTGCACGGCCGCACAGCGAATCTCTTGTCCTCCATAACTGGTGTATGCTCCCGTACTTGGTATGAATTTTCCAGGCATCCAAACCGTCTGGTCCCCACTTTGAAGTTGACACTGAATGACGTAAATGGTCTCGCGTTCATTCGTCCTCCCACCACGGACCGCGTTCGAAGGGAGATTTACAGCATTTACCCAGATAAAATTGGCACCATTCGGATTCGTCAGCACTTCAATGTTGTCAAATTTGCTATGCTCCCCACCTCCCCAAGCGACGTGACATTCCCCTCGACCTAATCCGTTTGTAAAGCTAGTTATATTAAAATAATGCCCAAAAATATCATAAGTGGGTGATAACACCGATTTACCTACCTTGATGATACTTTCCTGGAATGATGTCACCTTGATGATAAGCTCTGCAAGAGTAAAGTGGTTCGCCATTAAATTCGGTCCCAGCCTGAACTAGGCTGGACGGGTTGTTGTTCTTGTTAACGTATCGATAGCCTTGACATCCTGCAAAATGAATTCATATTTGCATATTTTGCAAAACTTTCAACAATTGGTAAGCATACTTTCTTTTATTTTCATTACCCGAATTGCAACCATACATTTCGTTCAAAACTTCAATATCAAGAACAGCCAGTGGTCCTCCAGATCCACATTTGGTCACACCTGGCTGTTTTGGCTGGAAGCATCCGCTGTAACTAAATTAATTGATTATAAAAAGTTGTTAATTAAATGAACATCTTGCGCTAATTAAATTGTAGTTATCTACCATTCCCCCTCGTAATGTTCGATGCTTCGATTCGATGATTAAAATCAATAAGTAAACAAAATTATCAAAAAATTGTAAAATTGTACAAATCCATATTCTCGGCAGAAATCGTTCTTACCTAACGTAGTCATACAACTTATGCAGACCTCGATCAAAATCAGGATTATCAATACCATGTGGCTGGCAAATTGCAGTATTGAATCCAATCCAATTGTCTCGATCGAGGCGAGTTTGCTCGTGCCCCATGCAAAGGCTACATTATGTTTAAGCCAATTAAAATTTATCTAAATATTGTTAATAGTGAATATTTTACATACGTGTGCCCGAGCTCGTGGACCTAAATCGTTAAATCTAAAGTCAGTTACTGCAATAAAAATTGGTCATCACGTATGTATTTATGTACCATGGTGCCCGGATTGACGCAAGTTCCCCCGAATTTTGCAAACTGGGCCCCATTGTTCATGCAAACGTGTGCCACACCACAGACGGTCGGATCATGTAAAATGTCCACCCATGACGTGTGATGACCTTCTTTTGGAATGAATCTAATGCAAGTCGCTTCATGATAAGTATTTAAAGCAATGGCGACTTGTTCTCTTTGAGAGTCGGTGAACGTAGGGTCGAGCGTGTAAGGGACTTGACCATTAGTCCAAAAACGTGGTCCAAATCCGGGTCGTGGATGTGGGACTTGCTACAGAAGATAATGCCGAAGTTTTTTTTTCTTATAGGAAAAGTGGGATACAAAAATAATCGATTTTTATGAGAATGACCAGCTCACCCCTTCCGTTCCATAAGGAGGTAATTCAAGTGGTGCCGTAAAATTGTTCACCCTAATTGGATTCTTTCTAGCAAAGGCGAACTCTTCCTCAGTTATGTAATTTGGTTTTAACGCTCCAACGCCGAATGCTAATTGGAGAATTGCTGCGAAGGAAAATACGAACACAAGTAATTTTTCCATGATGACCACGCCTTCACGGGGAGATGAAAAATAATGATTGAAAATGTCGGACAATGTCAACTATTTATCCTACTTGATCAACTTATTTATTGTGATTTTAGAGATACACTATCCAAAAATTGATAAAAATATTGTCAATCATAATTGGCATACACATCGATTATGTGGATAACAAGTAACTTAAATGCATTCTTCTACGAAACAAATGAGATAACGAAATTATTAATAATGACAATTATAAGTGTGACAGTTATAATAATTACTTAAAACTTCAGCTCAGTAATTGGGATAAATCAATACTTATCAACATCAATGTGACATATCATGATAAATGACCAGTGCAAGTGCACCATTAAAAATAATGTTTGCCAACTAACGCTGAGTAATCTACCAAATTTCCTTCAAGCTTCCATGAAATCAAAGCAGACCAAATATACTAATAGTGATACATATGTATGTAATGTGTAAATGCTAATGATTATGCTGCTAATGTATGTAGATGTGTATTGCTAGTTTGTTAGGTACCCAAATATTTATGATCAATGGCCCGAATATCGAAAATGTCAAGCATTCTGCCCAACGATCCCACTTCATCCCCATATATGACCCCAGTCAACCATTTGACCGATCTTGTTCCCTATAAAAAATGTAGTACTTAAAAGCGACAATCGTTCATGCCTACTAGTATAAAATACAAAACAATAGAGGCACTTTCCTACTTTGCACAAGTCCTTGCCTTGCATCTTTGGATAATTTTGCAATAGTTTTCTTAGCACGACTCCAAATTGTGTGAATTACTGGAAGTCTCAATTTATCCCCTCATAAATTCCTGATTTTTAATTGCTATCAAGTCTTGCTTCCAGACAGGAATTGATGAATGCATACAGTGACGATGAAACTAAAGAAAAATGCATACGACCACTTTGACCCTGTTGATTGCAAAGATTAGTTAATGAATACGTCTAATTAGCATAACTAAAAGCATTACGCAAGTACGGTCTCATCCAAACGAAGATTAAAATATATATGTATGTGTAAAATAATCTGAATGCCTTTTGTATGAAATGTATGAAACGAGTGAATGAATGATTGTAAAGGCTAACGACATATCAATCCTTGAATAAATTCACTACAAATACTATAAATATCATGTTATAAATAGAATATGTATATATTATTAAATTAATGTCAAGCATATTTATAAAATATAAAATACACTCATGTGACACAGGGAGCAGAGAAAAAAACCGATGTTGGTGGGTTGGGAACTTGATTCGGATAGACGTCTGCGATTATAAATCAAATTTCCATAGATGTATTTTAGGCCCTTGACAAAATGGTTTCGAATTTATTTGCTAAAAAATATTCTTCCGACATGATATAAAATGTCAAAAATTCTTTAAACTACTGTTAATGATTGATTATACTTGTAACAATGGGTGGATGTTGCGGAAAAAACTCGAAAGAGGCTCAGGTAAAATATATGCAAAATATAATTTTCAACTAATTATAATAATCAACTAATTTATACATACGTAGATTGAAAAAGATTTAAAATCGGGTAAAAAACCGATCTTATGGATTGTCGGAGGACCCGGGTTAGACACTTACTTTAAAGTTTTCACTTTCAATTCATACTTTTTTTTAACTCTAACTTATCTACGGTCAAGGTCTGGAAAAGGAACGCAATGCACCCGTCTTGCTCAAAAGTATAAATTGGCTCATATTTCTTCCGGGGACTTGCTCAGAGCCGAAGTTCTCAACGGTTCCGAACTTGGAAAAAAGTTGAACGAAATTATGGAGACGGGTCAACTAGTACCTCGCGAAATAGGTAACACATTGTGACGAATTAAGCCTTCCCGACCTTAATTACGACACAATTTGCATATCCAATGCAATTCCCAGGTTCTTACTGCTAAATTGTGATGAGATAATCATCCACAACTCTTTACACTATAATAAATATGACACCACGACATAGATTTACAATTGACAAAAGCCCCACAATTTATTCCCACCAGACTTCAATAACTTGGAGGGAGAGAGAAAAATAACTAACTTGACCAAATACATACAATTGTCACTTCTCGTGACCAAATAAGAAACTTTGAGGTGCTGGAGAGATGCCTCTATCAGCACATTACCTGCAAAGATGCCTCTGCAGTGCCCTAAAACATACCCTTTGACCTTTTCTTCCTAATAATTTCTGCTGCTGTTGTCGCTGGAATCTCTTCTTCAGCACGGCAGCAGCTCGAATCCGCAGGTCCTCTCTCGACCGAATCCAACCACGAACTGACTGATTTTTGCTCGAGCTCGCAGTTTTATGCTACGAGCCAAGAGCACTCTCATGGCAACTCACATTACCCCAAAACAACTTTTCCATAAATAAAATAATAATAATACTCTCTCCTCACATATCCCCTCCCCCAAAGCAACGCATATAAATTTACAAAACATTAGATTACAATTTACACAAATGCATACTTATCATAGACATTATTATACATACAAATACAAAATTATACACTTTTCACTAATTACTAAACTCAAGCTTGTAATTCATTGATATTGTAAGACGAAATGAAGACGACGACGGCTGGAATAAATTGTTTGTAGGATCCCTAACGAATGGCGACTGAGTTTTGTTTCAAGGAGGAAGGCTTTCTGAAAATTATTTAGATTAAAATTTCGGCCAAAACCAATGCATTCTTATTTTAAATTGAATGAATAGTGTATATATAAAACGAGCAGCAACTTTAGCATTTGGAAATTACACGATTTCAACCCTCACTAATATTTCCCTCTATCAAATGGACCTCTATAGTCACTCACCATTTCATTGTCCGATTTACACCCACATTTTACTCTCTTTAACCAATCACCACCCTTATTTTGTGACCTAACATACCTTCTCTTCCAGAGAAACAATAAACTCCTAATAAACTTTAACCTAAAACCTCTACACCTAATAGCACTTAGCTTGTCTCTCATCAATGAAAGTGATCTGCGCTGGTTGATCGCTGTTGGAATATACCAGAATCGAACGCATTTCTTCTTATTCTTAAGAAAATTCTTGTATTCAAAACGTGATTTACGTCTCGTTTCTCTACTCAGTGGGACTCTGCTAACTTCACAATCATTCAGAGTACATAAATTATTATCTAAACAATGCTTTCGTTGTATATTCGGTTTTGTGACTATATCAACTTTTAACTTTACTAAACAATCATTAATAGCTGGGATCATGGGTCTCGGATCGCTCTTAACTGATTCACAATTAACCGTCTCACTATTGCATACAAAATCAGGAGAATCATTGCATAACGGTGAAATTTGTTCAACTATTTGCTCGTCTGCCCGGCCGGGTTTTGAAGAAACTTTATCAAAGTCGAGAGGGGAGGTGCAAAATTCAGTCTCATTTCGACTACAATACAACTCAACCGACAAGTCTTCAAAAGAATGAACCTCTTCAAAGTCTTTCATTCCTAATTGGCCTTGCGATTTAAAGGTTAACGCATTGCAAAGCTGCTCGACGTCTGACTGTTTGCCTACAATAGCGCTACCATCAGTGCGTAAACCCTTTACAAAAACGAAGTCACTAGTAGGTGGCGGTGAACCCCCTCCGGTCTTGGAACAACCAACCGACACGTCAGGTAAAACCACACTTTGCAAGACAGAACGAGATCTTTTACTTTCTCCACTTTCACCCTCTACATCGAACAGAAACATCTTTTGCCTCTCTGACCCTTGATACCAGCCTCCAGAATACAAATCAATAACTATCTTATTAGCATCAATAAAATCGCGTCCCAACAAAACCGAATATTGCAACTCTGGCACTAAATGAAATTTTTGTTTCCTCACTCCGGAAACCCATGTGGTAGTTAAATTAACAAATTGAGATGCCACAGAATGCCCACTAACCCAAGAAACATTCGTAAAACACTCTTGTTTTCTAATATTTAATAAATCTACTAAATTGATTACCTCTTGGTTAACTAAAGAAATGGATGCACCGGTATCCAACAACGCCAAAAAGTTACGACCACCTACAGAAATTCTAATCAAGGGAGACTTCTGATCCCATACCATAACTGACTCCTTATTACTAAACTGGTTGCCTTCACTAGAAACCTGAGCCACGCAACCTACACTTGGCTCAGGTCGGACTCGTTTCCCGAACTCTGAATTTGGCGATGAGGACAACTCTTTGCAATGTGTCCTTCAACCCCACAAATAAAACACGCCGTGATACGTTGTGAACTTGTGCTAACTTCAGGTGCGTTTATGCTTCACGTCACCGTCACGTCCTCCTCCAAATCCGATTTTTTGATTGGTTAAAATTTTTAATTGTCGTAGTGATAATTTCGTTCAGCCAATCAAAAAATCGGATTTGAAGGAGGACGTGACGATGACGTGAAGCATAAACACCACTTTCCTGTAGGCTTTGTGCCCTATTTTGACTAGACAAGAAAGATAAATTAGCTCGAGGACTACTTGATTCTGAAAATCTACGTGGCAAAGATTCTGATTTTATACTAGTTTGGTTAAACTTTTGTGCTGAATGGAAATTACGGAATTGATCAAAAGAGCTACGTTTCAAATCACTGGTTCCCCATGAACTACTAGGTTGACTAAAATTAGGTTCTCGAGACTCTGGTACTTTATACGCTAAAGAAGGCTCTACCACAGAAAACTGCTTAGGCTCACGGTATTCTTTCTCGTACCAAATATCCTCCTGTACTCTTAACGCAGTATCAGCCAATTGTCTCATGCTAAGGAACTCTTCACCCGTTCTCAGAACCTTTTGTCTATAACTGGGATGCATTTGCCTTAAAATTCTAGCAATTCTAACAGATTCAGGTGTAAGAGGATCAATTCGCTGGTAAAAACCATTAATAATTCTAATATAATGAGAGAGAGTTTCGTGAGGACCTTGCGTTCTTTCCTCCAATTCCCTTCTCAATTCCTCATCATACCCTGGCGGTTGAAACTCTTTTCTAAATAATTTGCAAAACTGATCCCAACAAGTAATGTCATTCTTAACAAATTGAAACCACTCGTATGCCTGACCAGAAAGTGCTACTGGGACAATAGAAACAAACATTTGCAGCTCAGACAAACCTGCGGATAATCGATACTTTTCTAATTCCGTCAAAAAATCAAAAGGAGTTTTTAACTCATGTGACCCAGCATATTTAGGAATCAATAACTCCTTTCCCTTCAAATGAGGGAGTACTTTCTCTCTATTCCAACTTTCTCTTGACGTAGAATCAGATTCATTGGCTTTCAGTCCTCCCAACACTGAAGTCAACTGCTCCAAAATTCCTACCACTTGTTTACTAGTAGCCTGACTTTCCTTCACTAAGTTGGACACTAAATTATGCAGTTCATTAGCCTGGACAACTGATTTCCTTCCACTATTTGAACTACCTTGCCTGTTTTGCCGTGCATTTTCCTCGGGACTTTCACCTTCCTCCAGGAGCCCTTCATATGTATTTGAATTATTCGCAACATTGTGCACATCATGAACAACCTCATCATTACTCACTCCCTGTCTATGCCTTCTCTCTTTTCGCCTACTGGATGGTGCATTTTGCACAAATTCGTCTTCACCCATTTCCGCCATTTGTTGTCGTCTTTCTCTCCTCTTTGCACCCCTAGTTCCACTAGGCATGGTTATAAAGCAAAAAAAAACACTAACTTCCTTTCAGCTTTTCACACTATGAATGACCCTCCGTCTTTTTTCTTTGCCAAATTAAATTTTCACAATACTTCCTCCCGTTTTTCACTAAAAAAAATATGACCTTTTGACCTTAGCAAAAAAAGCAAATTTCGAACTGTGCAGATCCCGGTTGAGCCCCCAATTTGTGACGAATTAAGCCTTCCCGACCTTAATTACGACACAATTTGCATATCCAATGCAATTCCCAGGTTCTTACTGCTAAATTGTGATGAGATAATCATCCACAACTCTTTACACTATAATAAATATGACACCACGACATAGATTTACAATTGACAAAAGCCCCACAATTTATTCCCACCAGACTTCAATAACTTGGAGGGAGAGAGAAAAATAACTAACTTGACCAAATACATACAATTGTCACTTCTCGTGACCAAATAAGAAACTTTGAGGTGCTGGAGAGATGCCTCTATCAGCACATTACCTGCAAAGATGCCTCTGCAGTGCCCTAAAACATACCCTTTGACCTTTTCTTCCTAATAATTTCTGCTGCTGTTGTCGCTGGAATCTCTTCTTCAGCACGGCAGCAGCTCGAATCCGCAGGTCCTCTCTCGACCGAATCCAACCACGAACTGACTGATTTTTGCTCGAGCTCGCAGTTTTATGCTACGAGCCAAGAGCACTCTCATGGCAACTCACATTACCCCAAAACAACTTTTCCATAAATAAAATAATAATAATACTCTCTCCTCACAACATTTACTAAACAGGGCGATTAATTAAAAGCAATTCATGAATAATTTATCTCAATTAATTTTTGATAAATAATTACATCCACAGTGCTTGATCTGTTAAAGAAGGGAATGATTGAATGGTACGAAGGATCGAACGGATTCCTGATTGACGGCTACCCTCGCGAAGTTATACAAGGGAAAGAATTTGAAGAAAAGGTAAAATCAGGTCAATTTATCTCAACAATTATCCGATGGTCCAACTTTAATTTTTGCGCAGATTGGGCCATGTACCAAAATCGTTTACTTTGAGGTGAGTGACGCCGTTATGAAGCAGCGCCTAATGCAACGAGGTAAGGACTCTGGACGAGTGGATGACAACGAGGAGACGATTGCCAACCGGATCAAAATTTTCCATGAACTCTCCGAACCCGTAATTCAAGAGTATGCCTCGATTGTTTTGACAATCTCGGGAGAACAAGAACCAGACGATGTGTTCAATCAGTGCTGCGAAAATCTGGATCCTCTTTTTAAGACTTGAACAACTTATAGGAGTCGGTGTGCAGGGTGGATTAAAAATATGAATACTTAATCAAAAATAATAGTATACAGTAAAATACTTGGCTGAAAACTGTTCGGGTGCATAAAGGATTAAAAAAGACACACTATTTAGAATATAAATGAACTCAATAATCTTTATGCATTTTTCATAAACGGTGTACACATAAAATATGCAGAAGAATTTTCATAACGGAGTGATTAATCTTTGCTGTGTAAAAGAAGATCGTAATCTTGAGATCCACGTTTCTTTCCTAAACGATAAGTGTGGTGAACTTCAGGGCTGAGGTAACTTTCTTTAACGGCAGGGTCCTTGATCATTTCTTCCTCCCATGCATTCTAAAATGAGATTAAAAATAAAGGTCAACTTTGGTGGATTTAATCTTTAAAGTATAGTATAATCTACATATTTATATGAATAATATGAAATCATACCAGTTGTTGCAAACAACTTTTGGCCTGTTGAAAGTCAAAGTTGCTCCCCCAAAGCAGGGCATGAGCAGGTAATCTCTCGAACCATGGCCAAATCATGTAATCGACCATTCCTGGCTTCTCATTGCCTAATTAAAATAAATATTTTAATCTGATTCATGCTCAGGGTTTCAATTACATTCTTACAGTAAGAATTAGTAATACCTCCAAAAAATCTTGTGCCCCGCATCCCCAACTCATATTCAAACGGTTTAAGAGAATCTACCAAGTTTTGAAGCAGTTCCTTTATCTCGGCGTCACTTGATTCCGGCGGGAGCATCAAGGCTTGATTATCCAAAGTGGTGACCTATGCAGGCATTTAATAAATTTACAATTATCATATTTCATGTAAAACTAATTACATACAGCATTGAATCGTTCAATCAAAATGCGGTCTTTGGCCTTCTGCAAAGGAGATTTTGCCGTTAGCCGATCCACACATGATCCGTCCCCTGCCGACGCCCCGCATGGATAAACGTCGTCCATGTAGTCGCAAACAATCAAACTTTCGTATAAACATCCTTCGTCGTCTCCTGCCAATTCAAGTGTTGGAACTTTTCCTCCGGGATTTTTCTCAAAAATGAATTCTGGCTTAGTTCGCAAATTTATGTTGACCACGTCATACCTAAAAATAGTGATTTATCAAACTACGTATTTAGTTAGAAGATAACCAGTTAGAGCGACTTACGGAATTTTCTTTGCTGCTGCAATCAGTAATGCACGCTGGGCATAAGGGCAAAATCTCATACTGTAGATTCTCAGCTTGCCATTGATAAGTGGAGGGCAGGGGTCACCTAAAATATTAATTAATCCAGTTATAATAACAATAATAATAATAAAATTGCATTCCACTGCAGAAAACCGTACCAATCATCAGATGTTTGGAGTTCATTTTAATAGAAAATTAGATTTCTGAAAATGCAAGTGATTTTATACAGTTCCGAGATTTTATTTTGATTGGAGAATTTTTCTAAAAAAAATAAGAACTTTTTTCAAGCAGCTGAAATTATCAACAGTTTATTACCAACACGACTGCGTCTCTACTGTCTAGTGAATATTGCAAGTGCTTCACATCACCTCAAATTCATATTCACGATTCACTTGCAAATGAGCCAATAAATACATAAATCATGATAACAAATCTCAAACGTCATCTGAATATTACAATATTTGCAATATTTAATATTTACTCACAAATGTGATGCATTTTAAAATTTTCTTTAGCATTTTATTTTGTTTAAAAATTAGCATCGCTTAAAAATTAGCATTAGAAATTTGTGTGCATTCAGTTGTTGTATGTTCATACATAAACCAACAATACAATTTTGTTGGACGAAAGACATTTGACAAAATTCTCAGCGTCTTGTGACGAATTCAGTTCAATTCATGAAACAGTGCTTTTGGGCACCCTCCGACCTGAGCATGGTCCAATTTTTAGTGCAAGAATCATACGCTACCAAATATGCAGTTTCAATTTTGATCAGAGTCTCATTCAATGTTTTCGCATAATTAAAATCGAAGTTATCCACGGCAAAAAATGCGTCCTCTAAACCCTCATTTTTTTCCAGGTCAGTCGTCAATTTTATCCTCCTTCAAAGTAATCTTGTGTTCCCAGAAATCGAAGATGGTCATACGTGTCCAATAGCTTTGAGACTGCAGCGATCACCTCATTTCCAAAATTACTTCCGGTCTGATGTTGCGATGTTTGCAGCTCCAGCCATGTGCCGAGTGTGTGCCAAGTGGATTCAAAGTCATTCACGTAAGGTTGAATAGTTTCCAAGAGGGTCAGGATTTTTCGATTACTGGAAACTCGAGTTTTCGAAATTGAGTTATCCGATTTCGAATCCTGTTTTTCAGAAGGTTTCGAGGTAGATTGAGATAAATCAGCATTTTGAGACGCCTCATCTTTACCATTTTCATTGGTGATCTGCTAATCGTAAGAAGTATGCATTTAAAAATGAGTGTGTAATTATGAGTCTCAATTTGCCTCATTAAGAAAAGTTCCTTACATTTTTCTCATTTGTTCTCCCATCCTCTTTAGAATTTTCTGATTTTTTGAACGAATACTCCAATTTTACTCCTTGAAATTCACGTTTCCAGTTATGCTCAAAATTTAGTTGTTCACGTAGTCGAGTTATTTTATCCATGTTTTCCAACATTTTGTGTGAGATTATTTCCTCGACCTCCTCTGTGAGTTTTAAAAGACGGGCTTCAAATATTGAGGAGGAGGACGAGTTGTTTTCAGTATTTTTACTTTTAGCAGCAGAAGGCATTATGCAAAATTTATACAAAAATGATTGAATTTGGAGTGTACTTATGATTTATTAAAGTGTCATACAAGATATAAGTGTTCAACTAATTAATTTTTCAAAGGAATATTTTTATGATGGTTGAAAATCAAGTGGCATAGTGATTTAACTGCCCTGGTATTAAAGACATTATGGTCAGTGCTATTAGAGACTTCATCTCCAATTAAGCAGTGCAACTATTTAACTTGATAATCCCATTCTTATAAAACCTTACAAAACCTACAATATTCAGTCTCGTAGCCCGAGTCAGTCATCTGCTTCGACCTTTTCTTAATTTCAACATTTCGTAGGCCAGCCAGAGTTACCTTTGAGATCCAATCCACAAAAGTTGAAAGTGGCATCGTACTATAATTGTGATCAATTTGTCCATAGGTCCAAAATTTCAGCTTTTTCTTTAAAAACCAGTATGGGTCACACTAGCGGATATTATGAGTTAAGGTTAAGGTGTGGGTGCACATGCATACATTACATCGGTGATTTTTTACACGCGAAGCTATTGATGTTAAAAGTTGTTGATGTCAAAATTTTATTACATGCACATTATATGTGTACATATGTACATACAAAAATTTAAAAATACAAAAACATCAGCATCATGCTAAATTTCTATTAGTGAGATAGTCAACGTTAGAGAGAAGATCCATTTTCAGTATCCATGAATCAGAGATTATCCTTAGAGAGCAGAGATTATCATAAATACTAAAACTTTCTTAAATTCGTCATGTAAGCATTATCATCGCATGTTAATTTCACGTATGGCAGTTAAAACTCGATTTTTCACCGGTACTACAATTACCCTTACCAGCACATCAAATAACAATATTATAAAAGCAGTTACTTCATGTTCATGCCCTAAACCCTGCTAAAATCGTAACAAATAAATACACCAAAATGGTTGAGATGTTCAGTGAGATTTTATCCGACGAATTACAGGCGTCAGTGGAGCAGTAGCACTCCTCCCAGTAAACCCCGTTCTCGTACACGCCCCAGTTGCACACCCCGGTCACACCCGTGTCAGCCACACTCGCGCATCGACGAATCACTTGACGCCATCTGAAAAATAATTAGTAGTTACCAGTGAAATAGTAATTATTGTAATTATTCTGTCTGGTTACTAACCTCCCATCCCAAATAAATCCCCTCGGACTTTGCTGGGTTAGTTTGACGCAAAATGTCCCCGGAGTGTAACTCTCATCCCCCTGACAGTCCACGGGAACGTGATAGTCCTTGTCGAATTTGCTGTAAACTCCGCAATGATCTTCCCCTTTGCTCTTGTCCTCGTCCGACGAACATTGATAGCAACGGATGGAGACTGTAATACACCAAAAATTTGGTTTAGTGTACATGAAAATTATTAATTATGTGTTACTTTTACTCATAATCTTATAATTTTGGCTAGGATGTTAAATTACCTGTGCTGGTAACACAGATTGCCAAAAGTATGAAGCACTTTGCCAATGCTGTAGACTTTGTCATTTTATTTAGGGCAATGACTTATGTAGGTGGAACTCTAATGGAAACTTGAAGTTTCTTTGTCGAATTAATTTCACCTGGGCAAAACCAGTAAAAACTTTATTCGAAACACATTGTTTTCAATTCCAACTATGCGTACAAATTGGAAAACAATTCAATATGCAATTATACGCGATAAAGGCTTGGCGGTTGCACCTGTTTTAGTTTTGTTATGTCCATCCATATACCTGGCCAGGTTATTTTATGTATCGCTTAAAGCATGAATCATAGTTTGATTATACATTTGAGGGTATACAAGTAGGATTATGTCATCAAGTGTGTGTAATATAATATGCATGGTGGATATGTTTGTGAGGAAAGAGTTAAAAAAACATAACAAAAGCCGTTGTATCCCACCTGTGCTTTTTAGCTGGACAAGCGTTGCTGGCGTTGAGTTGAGACAAGAAATGTATAAGGCATATAAGAAAAGACTTCAAGATTTCTTAAAATTCGGATATTTTTTAAATTTTTATTCAACTTTAAAGGATAACATGAAGCTCCACAATGATGTATTAGTACTAATAATATTAATTAAAAGATTCTGCATTGAGATTTCTAAGTACAATTTGATGTAAAAAATGACATGGACGGATTAAAAGTTATTCATAAATATATGGCATACTTAAATACTGAAGAATATTCTAAAAACAAACTAATTATTTAATTATAGGCAGCATTAGCTGTTCTTTTGTCAATCTCTTTTGGAATGCATACCGGTACCAGTTACTTACTTTTACAATTTTGTTTATGTATTTAAATATGTATTTATATTGGTAAAAATTGTATAAAAATATTGTACACTTAAGTCAAGTCATGTTTTGTTGCATGTTGGAGAGACAAATGTCATGGTCCTACAGTTAATTTAAGCAGTTTTTCATCATATTTTCTTGATTATGAAAGACAATGAGAAAAGTGTGAGGGATGAGACGATGATTGTGAATTCAGTCAAACTGTGTTTCGTCGAGATTGCTCCGTTACAACCATCTTTGCTCCTGGAAAAAGAAAAAAATAAAGGGTCACAATTTTAAATCATGCTGATTCAGATTTTGTATGTCCACTTCTTGTATCGTGTGTAAATACCTGCAAAGACAATCTTCCGTGTAAAGATCATAACTTCCCAAGTAGCGTCTGCAGAAACGCTCATCTCCTCCGATGCCGGGTTCCCCGAGAAAAGCACATCCTCGAATAAATCTCCACTTTCCTTCGACTAAAAGAACCATTCCATTTTATTAGCATAAATCAGAAAATCGTGTCTTTTTGACCGCTTTGCCTTACTTTTTTGCACCAATTTTCTACACATTGTTGCTTTCACTCCTTGTAAATTTGCTCTTTTATTTAACTCTGCGTCACAATCTGTGATTGGAAAGGACGAATTGTCAAAAGGATCACCGCATCCCAAATCATTGAACGAGTTACACACCCAGCACTTGATACCGGCTTCTGCCTGCATTTCTGTACCTGTTGTAGTCCAAATAAATATGAAATATTTATAATTTATCAACATGATTATCAATTAAAATTATGTACAGTTCCAATTAATTAATTACGTACCATGATAAACCGAGATGAAAACAAAGGCAGAAACTATACAGAAAAAGTACGATTTGTGCAACCAAATTTCCATTTTCGTAATGAAAATTGCGTTTGCTCGACGTCAAAAGTAAAATAATCTTTATTAATTCAGGATATAAAGAAAGTCTCTTTTTAAATCTACATGTGGATTGATGGCAATTTTTATCGGGCAACTTGTATATATTTTTAACAGGTAAAACTTGTCACACCTTTCATTACGTATATTGAATTGAGTACATTTTAGGAAGGTATATATGGATATAGACGTAAAAATAGTGAGCAGCGCGGTTATAACGCTACCTGGGCGGACTGACTCGTTTTTTATTACAAACAATCCATGGACTGGATAATGCACGCTTTTTACCATTGTCATCATACCACACCATGCATTTCTTCAGCTTTTAACACGAACATGCATTGCACGGTTATTTACTATATTTCACTATAATGAGCAAGAAAGTCTCACATAGTAGAATATTATAGCTGGTTATAAATGCATAATAAATGAGTAATGATGAATTCATTTTATTATTAAAATGTAATGCCGTCTTTGAATTATGAAATTTTTAAGGCATACATGAAACAAAGAAAACGTCGATAAATTTGAACGCCCTAAAATAAATGAAGTATGAAGATAAACATATGCAAAAATGTAATAAGTGAAAGTGTACATTTAGGTTTACGAGGTTTACATTTTTGATTATACACTGCAATAACACGACAGGAAGATAAAAGTTATGCGTTAAAATCATGTTTAACCAAGATTCATCGTGTTGAGACGAGATGGATTATGCACCGAGATCAGTCAGGTCGGGGCGTGCTAAGACGTGCATTTTTGAGGGAAAGTTTCCAGCCGTGAAGTAGTTTACATCTGGTTTTTTTAAGTCTAACATCTCCGGAAATTCGAATTTGCACAGTTAAGATAACGCTGATAAGGGATAAAGTATCGACGGATAAAAAGAAAACGTTAGACAATGTATTTGGGAACTGTTGGAAAGTAGATAATTGGTGAGAGTTTTGGGCAGATAAGTTTTTAGCAGGAGCAAATTATAAATTCAAAATATGAAATAACAAATAATTGAGTGTTTGATTGATAAATTTCAGATTTTGGGGTTCTATTTGCTGCCTGAGGGCTGAGAAGAGTAGTAATAATTTTCACTTCAGCGTGTAGCTTATCTAAAGGATTGACTGGTGAAAAAGTTGTCGAGCAAAAGAATTTTGCCCATAAATCCGGAACTTACACGCCAAGGAGTAAGCAATAAAAATAATAAAATACTTTACTATAAATTCTTTACTTTGAACTATACTCAGTATACCGTTGATATTTTCAGAATGGCACCTGTACGATCACACCGATCACATCGACATGGGGCCCGAGGGCTTGGGGACCTCGACATATCTTCTTCAGGGTCCTCTCTCAGATCAAAGTCGAGTACCGATAGTGATGACGTTTCAGTTAAAATACTAACTCCCGTCAATGACGAATGGGAAAAGAACTACAGCGAATTTGACTCTTCGTTTCCAACTCAAGTAAAATGCATCGTGTGGCGCATCAAGGATTTTTCGACCCTGTTACAACTTAAAGGGGCGAGTGGAAAGGAGGAGATTGAATTCACTGGTGGAGAAGAGGTCAGCATGCCGAGCAAATGGAAGATGAGTTTAATGTTTGACGGCGACAAGATTGGACTGTATCTTTCTCTCGTGGAATATACTGGGACCGAGCGGACTGTATTTGCAAAATTTGAATCCAAAATCAAACATCCATGTGGCACAAAGGAATTGATCAGTAGATCGGTTCAACCAACGGACATGAAAGCTGTCGAAGATTGGGGGTGGGGTTCATTTACATCGGTTCCTAGCATCAAAAACTCTGGAGTGCTGGTGCGAGATCGACTCACGATTCATTTGCGACTAGAATTTTATGGGAAGACGGTGCGTAATAATTACAGATTGATAGATTTGATAAAACTTCACATGAACTGATTGTTTATATTCTGAAAAATAAAATTTTCCAGGCTACCAATACCATGCTATCAGGCGACCGTCCTTCGAGGGAGATGATGGAACGTCAGGCACGAGATGGTGTTATTAATGATTTGGGAACGTTGCTGAAGACTGGGGCCAATTCCGACTTTGTGATCAAAGTTCCAAGCTTGAAGGGGTTTGCATCGGTTAAGGTACACAAAGACAAAAAATAGTGCAGTCTGTGAATATCTACTAATTGGTGTTATTTAAATTTCAAATTGCATTATATTTTCTGTATGAAGGTCCACAAGGCCATCCTTGCAGCCCGTTCTCCAGTTTTCTTTGCTATGATGGAATCTAAAATGGTGGAGAGTACGAGTGGAGAAATGACGATCCCTGATTTGAATCTAAAAAGCTTAAACGTGCTCTTGAAATTCATTTATACTGGAATTGTTGACGATACATGGATTGAATATCCTGGACCGATTGTCAACGCTTCGGAGAAGTACGATCTTCCCATACTCAAGAGTTTCTGCGAAAAACAACTTCATGGAGCTTGCAACTCCCGGAATGCATTTGAATTGCTAAAGGTGGCAAAAACACACAATCTTACTACTGCGACGCACAACATTTCTGAATTCATTTACCTGAACATTGAAGAAATTGTCAAGAACGCTTAAAGCCAGCACTCGCCATACCCTTTGTATCTTTTTATTTTTAGTGTTGATCATTTTGTGTTCTTTGGTTCAATAGTTCTCTGGTTTGTCCATCTTCCTATCGCATTACTCGCATTAGTTAATCGCTTAATTTTAGTTAAATATTCAATGCAAGGCTATCCTTTCATTATATTTTACTCTGTATGTAACAAAAAAATTGATAATAAAATGTAATAATTCATAATTTTATAGCCTGTACCATGTTCCTGCATATCTTTCATATTTAGATAAGGATAGTTAGTACATAATCTTTATTAATACAGAAGATAAGCCATGTTTCAGCAGATATGTTAGGTTTTCAGGATGAGAAAGCATATTTAAAAATATGCCATGCAAGCGGGTTTTCTCCTACAGTCCTGCTTCTACCACTGCCTGCTTTCTCCCTCCCTTCTTGCGTACTAACAAAAATCAATTCGAGCTCATATTGATTGCGGGTGGAAATGTCCGCAGTCTAGTTTTACACACATTTTCTACTCTCCTGCAGAAGCCAAACTGCAGCCAGACATTCCTTACTTCTAGCAACTGTCGGTAATACCATAACACGAGTCGCTTCTATTTTCGGCATTACAAATTCGAAATTTCCCGTGCCAAATACCTCAGTGAAATACCACCACAACTATTTATGCATACTACGTACTCCATGACTTCACAGTTTCACACTGAAATGCATCCCACCATTTTTCGCCCTTCTTCCTCCATCCACACACTGCAGCAGAACTGCAAAATTCCTTCCCATGTTTCTGATCCGAGGAGCCGAACACTGTAATCAAAAGGAGCAGGATGCAGCAGAGAGAAAGCAGAAGAAGGATACGGCCACGGGATCGACTTTACGAAGAAGAAAGGAAGGAAGGGCTGCCGACTCCTCTTAAAAGACAAAAAGAGAATGCATTTCATGTTTGGTTTTGGTATCTTTCATTTCACGACCCACCACTACCCTCCATCCATCGTCACGACAAGGGTTATCATTATGGATGGGTGGAGTGTATGGGAGAAAGTTCACGAATCGTGTCACCATTTCCTGCCCTCAATAGTTACTTGTTTCTCTAAACAATGAGACTTCCAAATTCCTATTCCTTCTTATTAGACCCCCCGCAGAGCTAAAGTCATATCGCTGCAATTGTCTCACTTGCGAGTCTGCCTAGTCAACTGGCAGACTTTCACTTTCATCATCACCACATTTGTCGTATAGTCTTCTATTCCATCCAGCCAAGCCACAAAACGCATGGGAGAATCCTATCCACTTGAACATGCAACCGAAATAATGTTCTTCTTCTTCTCCACTGTTCCGATTTAGGGTGAAAAAGGGAGAGAAAGACGAAGAGAGGACGAAGAAAGTACGTACGTACGACGGGTTGTTGGCTGGCTGCTTACTTGTTATTTGGTCGGTGGGTATTGGCAGCATTGCGTTGTGTGACTCGCGTTGGTCGGTGGGTTGGTTGGCTGGCTGGCTGGTTGTGAGAAGTGTAGTAGTAAACTGAAGAATAGATTTCTCGGTTGGTCTTCTAAACTTTCTCCCAGTTTCTATTCCGATCTCTCCGGTTTCAGATATAGCTCTGCTTAACTCGTGCTCGTCGTGCTCCTGGCGAAAGTGGAATGTTCGGCAGAGCTCTGTTCCCATTTTTCTCTCTCAATCTCCCTCTTTTCGTCTGATCCCGTATCACGATCAGACGAAATACCCTCTTTTTTCCTGACAAGCAATAATTTCCAAAGTGACACTGTTTAGAGGAGCAGCCTACGTATTAGCTACTTTATTAAGAGGGACGTTTCAGAAGGGTGTATTCCAGGCGTTTTACACACTCTGCCCACGTGTCAGTTTTATAATGAGAATTAGTGTTTCCATCTAAAATTCCTCTGAATGAATGGGACGCCGAAAAAATCTCCGCGCGCTGGAATGAGTGCCCACAACTCGTCCCCTGCTGCAAGTCATTGCAATAATAAGGACAACTTTGAGCAGGTGAGGGGTTTCACTATTTTGCATGGAAAAGTAATTTAAGCCAGGAAATTGTGAGGCAGCGAGGAACAGAAGGTCTCCCCTTTTTGTCCACTTATTTCGAATGAATAATGTCAATTGTTTTGTTGGTCGACGGCATTTGGGTCGTAATCCAGTCCTCTCTCTTAAGGAACGCGATCGTGCATACGTAGCAAGAGAAATAATGCTCAGAAGAACACAAATACAACTTTTGAGCCATGATTGCTTCGTTGGTAGAACTGCAAGTGAAATCCGATTTGATTCAAGTAATCTGGTTAGGGAGAGATCAAATGAAATGGGAGTGGAGGACGGTCGTTGGACCGACCAGGAGCATCCTAGGCACTCGTACGTATTATAGGTCAGCATCAAATAAACAGATCAAAAAGACTCGTGGGAATTGACATTATGGATCCTCCTTCGCCTCACCGGATATGCCGTGTTCTTCTTGATAGCCACTCATCGTTTATTGGATTGGTCCGGAACTATCGGGCTGAATGGCTGAGGAGTGGTGATCCATAGCAGACCAAGACGCATGGAAATGTACTTATTATGGCAATTAATTTGACACGATACGAAACTGTCATGCAATTAATGGTGGGAGTAGAAACACTGAAACAAATTCGGGCCGACTTGCTATAAGTAAACATGTTCCGCATTTGTTTATCGCTGTCGCAATTTAGGAAGGCGTGGGAGGTCATGTATCCAGTCACAGTGAATTCTTATGCAATCTATTATTCTGCCTGAGGAGATGTTTACGATGGCATTTATGTTCAGCCCACTGACTGTTTTGACTTTGTGACTTTACCTTTTCAGCGATTAAATCAATTCCATGCAACCATGATCCACTCAACATATTTACGTATTTAGTAGTGGTGAAAGAAAGGAGTAGGATATTTGGGGTATAAAAATTTTACTCATTTTTACAGCCAGCACTTACATAGCGTGACAAGGTCCCGTAATTTAGTAAAAATCGGTAAAAAAAATTCTCTCAAGTGTGTGTTAACCCTTCCGTGCGTCTTGTGTGCACATGCATGGGTCGAAATCCGCTCATTGTCGATGAGAGAAAGGTATTTCTCGAGTGGCTCCTAAGTAACTCGATCGTGAGTCAGTTAGCCACCGACCAAATGGTAAATCTATTTTTGGCATTGTTACCACTACAAACAATATTATGATCAAGGGCTGAGCTCACGTATTTGATCTTGTACCAAGTGCTTGCTCAATTAACGGAAGTTTGAAGAATCAATGTACGCAATAAAGACCCCGAGAGGTTGAAAGGCTTCGTCTTAACGTCATAACTCGAGCGTTTTCAAGGAGAAGGGAGTAGGATTTTCCTCTTAGGAGAACCTACTAATTAGCAGTCTTTTCATGTCACTGCATCTGAAAGGTTGCTCTCATAATTTGACAGCTAATACCGTACACAATTAATAATAGTTGGGTAGATTACCTATACCGAGAACATTCTCATGACGAAAATTACTTGGAGAAAGGAGGGTTACGATACCCACTAATTAACTCGTAGACCTACGTACTTATTTAGCAATCAATGATTAAATGTTGATCCAAATTAAGCCATTAATCGGATCTCATGTTTGGCAAATCCACTAATTGGTCGAGACTCGTATGAGACTTGTTTTGTCAAGGATTTGTCACATTTTATCCGGATTTTATTTCAGCTCCTAGGCCAAACGATATGCAGTTCCATCCTGGAAATATCGGATGGGAAGGGACGACCCCTCCCGCGACGACTTGTCCTGACCTCCACGCACTTACACATACAACGAAACATTACCAAGGACAACGCCACGGACAATGATGCCGATTCAAATCGACCCACTCATGGCTCAGTGTCGGACCGTGGGCTTTCTGGCGACGGGAGTTTCGACTCTTTTGGTGAATTTCGGGAATTTCCTCCAGACTCACCTCCGCCAGAATTCAATGTAAGTTTTCCCAGGTTAAATTATGAAGCTATTGTATAATTCACGACTCTCTGGAGCCTGGTGGAAAATGAGCGAGGTGAAAGAAATGCTACTTTCTCATCTCTGAAGAATGTTTTCATCTGTTCGTCGTACGTATGTAATGGGAGCCATTCTTCATGCCTTGAAATTGAAGCCAAGTCAAGTGTCAACTTGACACCTTTCCCGTTCTTTCTTTCTTTATATCGTATAATAAAGTAGGACAGAGAGCGAGAGGGTTCTACAAAGTTAATGTAGCGTGCAACTACATGCACCCAGTTTCCACCTTAGAGTTTCATGATACCACACAAAACATCACTCTTCAAACGACAAGGACGATGAAAGTAATAACAGAAAGGTTAGCGAAGTGTGTGGGATGCAGCAGCGAGATTTTCCACGCCCTGAATCCATGTAATCATTTTCTGTTGGACTTTAAAACTAATTTAATTACATTTTGTCACCGAAAGTACGTATCATTGTCAGTAGCCGCGGAAACTGTGGGGACATCTGGGGACATTGTCCCTCTCTCCCCACGCTTCCGCTGTCACTGATCATTGTCCCAGATTAACAGAAATATGTAGATCTGCACCCATTTTTTAATAATGCCACATGAACACACAAGTGTTTCGTGGTTATCAATTTGATAACAATATGACAAGTTACATATGTAAATATGTGGTATATGGAGATGACCAAAATTCAGCATCCGTCCAACTACTTTCTCCACTTTCACCGTCATTGTCTCGTAGCGTCCCGAGGCAGAAGGAGAAGTCTTTTGAACTACATAAAGTGCGATGAAGTGCACCAGATTTTGTTCCCACGCCAAAAGAATACTCTCTCCAATTCGTATTCCCACGACTAAAATTCTCCTTTTATTGCTTTTCTGCCTCACGAATTGCAAAAATCTTCTGTATTTTCCTTTTTGACGTACATATCGAGACGTCAGGCGAGTAGTTTTCCTTTGAGAAATTCTTCTAGAAATTCTTGCATCAGACTGAGTTGGGCAGTTGGATGCTCTTTTTTAACAATGAGGTCGATCTTCTTCTCGAAGGAAGGAAATTATATGACCTGCGAACAAAATACTTATATCCAATCCACCGTTTGCCTCTTGTCCGCTAGGGACATGCACTTGGAGAATCGTAGCCTCATAAATTCAACACATCCATCCACAGAAAAGGCTGAGAGGAAAATTGCTCCTGCCGTCATACATCATCTCAACTGGACCACACGATGATCCATTATTTAGCAGAGAGAGGCTTCATTTTCGGAGAAGGAAAACTAAAAAGCCAAGTAAAAAGGTCGTCGCAACAGTAATTGGAAACTCTTAAAAGGAAATTGGCTGGAAAAGAGGCCGACGGATGGCCATGTAACTGCTCCATAACTGGCAGCAGATTGAACAATTTGGAAGATCGGAGTGGAAAACGATGTCGCAAAAGCAAAAATATATACTAAAAAGATTGACCACCGACCGCAATATATTGGCAAATAATTTGTATATGTCGCAATCCCACACAATTTCCACGGGGCGTTTTAAATTCTCCGCAACATGTCATTTCATTACTAGGAATCCAAGCTTTATTACCGTCCACGCCCTTATTTCCTCATAAATGTTGTCTTTAATGAAACCATTTCAAAATAATTACTAATGAGCAAAGCCAGACGGACGGGTATGTTATAATCATTCGCAAAAACTGAATACTGCCCTGAAATGAATAACCACTCGGCTTTGAGCCAAATAAATTAAGCCTCTGCTTTTACCCCTTTCTCAGAAACCATCTCATTTAATATCCATTTCTAGAATAATAATAACGGAATAATCTAATTCCTCGCGTACGTCAGAAATTCACGATCCTACAGTAAAACTTGTTCTTTCCATATTTTATGCTTTCTCTCCTCACTTTCTCCTTGCTCATCAGGTTTTCGTTTTAATTTGTTTGGAAAGATATGAATTATTATGGCTGGATGTAAGTCTTAATTCGAGTTTTAGTCGTGCATTATTAGTATTTTATAGCAGGAGGACTGCAGCTGCGTGGGACCTTTATTGTCTCAATTTCCTCATCTCCCAGAAGCTTCTTCTCCATGAAATTGGGGCGTTTCTGCAATTCCGTTTAATTTCCGTCCTTGATAACTTAATGTTTGTCATAACTGGGGACCATTGCAGGGGAGAAGGAAGGAGTTGCAATTTCCTACCAACTACATATCTATCTATACATATTATTGTTCTCGCGAAATTCTAAAGATTCAAAGTCGAGCACTGCTAACTTTGACAGCACGTCTTCCGTTGTGGAATGTCTTATCTGGCCTGAAATCAATACTGAATGACGACTAATGCTATATCTAATTAACATGAATCCGTGATGGATTTTTTTATTATAGGAACGTATAGCTCACAAAAATAGCTCCGAGTCACCTAATGGACTGCATGATTGCTTTCTTCGTACACCGAAACCGTCCCCCACCAGCAACTAACTTACTTGCGTGACTGCAAGCAAGGGACGAAAATATTTTACACTGAACATACTCCTACAACAGTGAATGAATGATCAGATAAAATGCTCATGTTTCCTTCCTCGATTTGTACGTACGTAGGAGAACCAACTTTCACCGTGAAACATCGCATTGTGTGCAAGTACGTACGTAAACAGTTGAGAGCCATAATAGCAATTTGCTCTTTCGCCAATGCCAAAATCCACATTATTCACACAATAATAACAACATCACTACTGGCCAATACGTATTCCATCACAATTTCAACAAGGAAAACATACTACATAAATGCATGTTGCCGTAAAGTGAGTGAGTGACTGAGTTAGTGAGACGTATACACTGATGATAGGGATTTTACTTGACTCCCAATATACGTATGTACATATATCCGTATTTATATGGATCTATTCTGTGTATGTTTGTGCATGTCTACCCATTTTTTACCGCTTTTATTGCAACATTACTCTGATATGGTAATACATTGCAGGGCCGCCGGACGGAGAAAGTTGGCTTGCTGGCACTTACTCCGTCACTTTCCACTCCGCCTCGCTCCCTGATTTTTATTTTGATGTACATACGTATGTATATATTCCAGAAAAAAACACGTACTGGAAGGTACACGAGCTTGCATAAGTATATCTTTTTCTCTCTTGGACGTAATGCGGTCTTTGAAATGTTAGCCAAATGGATTTTCTAGAGAGGGAAAATGTATTCCATTTCTTTTACAAAATATGTATGTGGGTTTTTCATCTTTTCTGGGCAAAAAAAAAGTTGTTTGTGGATATCGTTATTACGAACAGTTTGTTTTATTTATTTATTTATCCAGTCCAGGGAGACGGTATCATTCGCATGTATTTATTCTCCACTTAAAAGAGGAAGAAACAATCTCGTCTGTGTATTTGCTTTGCATTCAAAACTTTTTAAAGCGTTTGTTTCAAATTGTATGTATTTGATGCAAAAGAAACTTTGTGATTTTCTCTCTTGCTGTTATTATTATACGATGAAAATGAAACTTTAGATTATTGAATTATCTATGTACCCTCAATAATATTCACTTTTAATTAAAAGCTAACAATCCCACTTGACAAGTAAAGTAGAGAAATGAGTCGCGCGGATTAAATTCATTTTCCACTACTTGCAGAAGAATGAGTGCGGGAGGAGGAAGGATGGGATTGTGGGTGGTGGTCTGGTGGGGAAAGTGCAAACAAGTCGGTTGTCGGTACAATTCATTTAATTCCTTTGATGGCGTGAAATAATTCACTCAATCTTCGTTTGCTGTTCCACTCCAGTAGGACTACGAAATGCATAATACACACCTTGGCGGACAGATAAAGAGTGAGTGAAAATGCGAATTTATAAGTGACACGGATTTATTGTGAATTCTCTCCTTCCTCACCTTTTTATTATGATGATGCAAAATTCTGATGGAAATTTATGTATGCGCCGTGTTGTATATTGCATTCTGGTAGGAAATCTTTGCCGACAGATTAATTCACCACTTGCTAAAAGTTTCTTGTTCTCGCTTCATTTCACTTGTTTGAAAGAAATGGGGAAAAATGTTACATAGATTTGTGCAAGTTTATTCGTAGAAATTGTTTTTGGGTGGTGGTGTGCATGCGAGATTTGTTGTCTTCATAAATAAAGATGTGTGCCGTCCATCGGCTGTTGTGTTGCTATTTCGACTAATCCTAAGCATTGTGTTTTCAACATGTGAAAGTAAAAGTTTTGTCGTATATACACTCTGACACATACATACACCGACAAACTTGGAACTTTCTCCACATTCCACATTAATCACGGAATGAATAGCCAAATAAGTACAAACATACATGAATATTTCGTGGCGAGTGTTTTGTTAGTACTTCATGGAAATTGAAAAGGTATTTGCTGGCATACATATTTATAATGGTGGAACGGGTGAAAGGATGTTTGTCACATCCTGTCGTTCTTCGTCGACATAATTATTTCGCGAAATTCAGACATCAATTCCAGTTGAGAGATATGGTTTCCGTTTCATTTAACGGAGTGGTGACTGCATTGTTTAATTCCGAAGATCCAGGTCCATCATACATAATATGTGTCCTTCAAATGTGCACTATCACGAGAATTTACTGCCCTCATTTCACCCTCTGTGTGCGACATTTATGTCACACTATGCAATTCAATAAACTTTCTCCTTCCAGTTATCACAAACAAACGGAAGCTGAGCAAGTAGAATTCAAAGCGTCAAGTAGACCGTACCGCGAAGCCGACCACGAATTATAATTGAGTTTCATTATGATTAACACCTCTTTAATGGTGATTTGATTACGGTTTTGTGGAAGTTTGTGAGCTGAATCACCGCAGGTCTCTTGTGACATATTTCCATGAATTTCATCATTTGGATGTCTCCTCTTTCAAGTACTTCTTACCACGAACAACCTCAAAATCAAAGTTTCGCACAATACTTACTTGGTTAATAATAATGACGACTGGAGAAAGACTGACGAAAGTTTTTCCAAAGATAATAATCAATCCTTAATAATAATAAGTCTGGATACATAACTTCTCCATTTTCTCAACAGTACTTGCGATGAGATTCTAGCCCGCATCTCTCGCATTTTTACTACCTTTGCCTCCACCGACAAGCACGCTTCATCGACTTCTTCCGTAATTAAGAAACTTTTTAGACTCTTGGAAATTTTGTGAGACTTCTCCTGCCTCCACAATCTTCCATCTTCTACCTACATACATGAAATTTAAGACTAACAAACCTGTTTGTTCGTGACTTACCAAATTTACAAATAAATGAAACCAGGTGTCAAATAACGGGCACAAAAGTCAGAGAAAAGGTTATTTAATGGAATAACCAAAGTTTGACGAAGCCATTGGTTCATTTTGGCATGAAATTGATTTTGGTTTACAGAAAAGGGAGGTGACCTTGCACCGAGTGGATGGGACGCTGGGGTTGGGACTCAGTGTTCGGGGAGGGGCTGAGCATGACCTGCCGCTGATTATCTCACGCCTAACGCCCGGACAACCTGCTGCCCTCTGCAAACAAATCTTCATCGGAGATGCCATCATTTCCAGTAAGTTGAAAAATCCGTAAAATTAACTTTCACCTGGGTAAAAACTTACTTGCTCCTCTTTGAACAACTTTCCCCGCATTTTACTTATCTTAGCAAAACCAAGAACTTACAATATGCCCTATTTTACACATGTACTCGCATCAACTATGCCGAACTATGGTTGAGATGCTAAATTAAAGTTGACTTTTCGTGCTTTCCCACTTTTGTTACTTTCTCTTCTCAGCAGGCTCTCAATTCTTGTTATGAATTTGATTTAGCCTAAACGCACACAACTTTGGAGAGGGCGAGAAAAGTTGCTGGTTTATGTGCCTCGGCAGGTTAAATGTTGAAATATGGATGGATTTAAAACTTTGAAAGTCCTCGCATAAATCTGGATTCCTTTCGGCTACAGATGAACCATGTGTTATTTTAAATAACACATGGTTCCCTGGAAAAATAAAGTGCCTTTCTTTATCTAGTCTGCACAAGAAGAATGTGGTCGTTTTACTTATTCACTCTTTTATTACCATACCCGGATAAGATACTCGTGTTGAGCTCAACATGAGTAGGGTAGGATAAAAAAATATTTGTCCGGGGTATGTTTATTACATGGCACATAAAGGGATGATATTTCGGATTAATTAAAAATGCATGTACGAGCCGGGAGGATGAGTTACCTGGAAAAGTACGTGTGGCTGGATAAAGTTTCAGTGGGGGAAAAGCCATGTACAAACACAGGTCGTGATGATGAGCTCTGGTAGGATTATGCAGATCAGGAAGGTACACACGGCTTTGATCCTCTTAACTAAAGAGTCTCCACCCGAGGAGCAGCAAATTGAGTGAAAACAGATGAGTTGACAACTATTTTTCCGCCAGCCAATTCCTCACTTTTTTTCTTTTTCACGCCCACAAGCGTTCAACTGAAAAAAACAAGTTTATGGATTTTTCCCCTCTTTTTAAGTGCAGTTTAGTGTCATAAACTTGACCACTTTCTCCATCCAACCATCCACAACTTAAACCCGGTGACGAGAGCAAATGTCAGTGAAAGAAAGCAAGGGGAAAGATTGAAACGCAGAAAAAAGAGATAAAAACTGTATACACGGTTCATATGCGGACTGATTGATTTATTGATATCCGTGGGAAAGATGGCAAAGGTTTCTCTCAACCCACACACAAATCACTTGTTAGTGGGGTATCTTATCTGAATTTATGAATTTCCCTTCCCAATCTGGGTTAAACTGTGTATAGCGCAGAATTTATGGGGTTCTCGTTCCTTCCTTTTTGCGGATTGGATTGTTCTTGTTGTGTGAATGGCCTGCGTTTGTTTTATGTTTGTTTTTCCCCGTTAATTTTTTTGTTTTACTTCTCTCGGACCATTTGCGACGGAAAATTGAGAGTGCATCTCGTTGTCGACGACCACATCTGGTCTTGTCCCAGTTTTTTTGGAAGACAAAGACTTGGTTCAAAGTTCCTGTTGGGGCAGATGTATGTCCTACTTCGGAACAAGTAAATTCCAGAACAACAAAGTTATGTGTAGCTTAATCCATGCGAATAATGAAGAGCTGCTGCTGCTACTACAGGATAGATTAGTTGGCCTGGTGGGAGTGACATGTTTGTAAGGTGCAGAAACCATTGGGGTGCATTATACACCCGATTTTGTCATAGATTGATGTGGTGTTTCGAAAATCGTTGATCAACAAATAATTCAGGAGAGGATTGATTATTACGAAGTAATGAGAGTGGGCATAATAATAATGAGAATTACTTCCCACCCACACGATTTGTACGTGTTAATATTTCAACGATTTCTCTTGTACCGGTACGTCGTTAACCTTGATGTTCGGCCTGAAGGCAATTTAGTCCTGACATCCAAGCCTAATTATGTACATGGATCATACATACGCACAACTATGCACGAGATGTGCACAACAATTCGGCCAGCTCGTTCTTTGTCCAGGACACAAATAGTTTCTCTAATTTACAATTTGATGTAACTACTGTCAACCCTTCTCATTTTTATGAAGCTGGCGTGACAAAGGGCAGTACGTCATCAAAGGTGGTTGTCGTTGTCAGTCGTCGCCACCACTGCCAATGTTAATAAGTAATACGTAAAACGGTGAGGTAGTGCATGCTTATCTGTACTCTGTACACACATGGAGAGAGAAAGAGACAACTTTTAAAAGAAATCCCTGTGGGCGATAACACTAACCGAGTATAAAAAAAGAAAGCCAAGTTTTTACGAGTCCAGACTCTCTAATGAAACCGAATGAGATAGGGAAGGATGAACCGTGTAGTTAACATCATGAAACCTAAAAAGTAGCGAATGTTGGACGAGAGAAAAGGTCACTGGAGAATTACAAAGGTTGCTTCTCTGTGGACTTAAGAAATTGAAAAAAGTCTAAAACTGCAACTCAACCATCGTCTCACGTCAACTTATTTTGCGTCTCATCTGCCGTCTTTTCATGAAATTTTAAAAGAAAGCCTTGTCTGTCTGCTTTCTTTCTTTCTTCATTCAGCACTATTTACAAAGAGCATGTGCCTTTCACTCTTAAAGTCAGTCGTGGATTTAATAAGTATCTCCTTAACGAAAAGTTGTGGAGCCCATTTCGTTCTGGAGGCTGGAAGCATGACCCATTTTTATAATTTATTTACATCGTAATTCCAAAAATATAAGACTTTTTACCCTTGTTTGTGTTGTATAATAATGAGCAATATTGGTCAACGAGCTGCTTAACATGATCACATTTCATTCTCTTTGTTTTTCAGTAAACGGTCATAAAATCACAAGAATGGATCACGACGAGGCGGTCGAATACCTCAACACGATTGGACCAACGGTGACGCTCAAACTCAAGTATTATCCCACGGCGAAGCCATTCCTTTCACCGACGCAGCAAAGTAAGGCTTTGTCATCCTGCCCGAGCATTAATTAATTTTAATCACGTCAAACAACTCCGAGTTTACGTAAACGAGAGAGAAACGCCCAAGTACGTACGGAGAGTGTATTTGTAGAATGTCGTCAGGGCTCCGGGCACTTTGTCGTATCACGTATACAACCTGAGATAAAGTAGTAATTACAAAAATGGGACTGGTTTCTTTGAGCCCATCCATCAACAAAATACTTTTAAGCCTTGTTTATACTTATATCAAGTAATTGCCTAATTAGAGATTTGGAGTCGCGAGGGAAATTGGGTATCATCAAGGAAAATGAATCTTCATTTTGGAGGTGACGCCATAAAGTCGACTTGCATAAGTGACTGTGTGTTTACACTCGTAAAGTTTTTAAGAGAGGGCAATAATAGGCGCACCATTTACAAAACTACGTACGGGTTCACGTCAGCTTAAAAGTAAACATGTCGAGACATTCATTATTATTAGTCCAACGGTAGTACTTTCACCCCTCTCAAATTATCCCGAGTTCTCTCACACACGCCCTCCCAATTTGAGTGAATGTGTTCGTAATCTTCGTAAAAGGCTTGCTCATCCTCTTCCTTGAGGAACAAGTGGATTTATAAGTCGTCTCTTGGGCATTTAATGCAATTGAATCCATTTAACAAAAGGAAACGAGCTACTCCATATTCTACAATTCACTCGATTTTAGCGACTATTTTTTATCCCTTGTCACGTTCAAGGATGTAAAAGCCTGCCGTTTGGGAAATATATTGTACGTAATCACTCGCAAATATGCCTTGTTCATGAATTGCAGCCGAGATAATGTAACAAATTCCGTCAGTACTGAGGGACGACCTTGCGTGCACGTGAAGTGAACCCAGTCTCCATTTCAGTGTATTCCATTTACAAAGGAGAAAGCACACAAGGAACAATTGCATTTTTTCCCCTTCTCGAATATGAATAGCTTTCTGCATGAGAACAGCATGAAAGGACAGATTGTGCTTATGATTACTTGATTCTGTGTGCAGCAGGGTGTGCCAAAGCTCTCCATCATGCATACATACCCTTCCATAAGCCAGTTCAACGACGAAATGACGAAATTATTAATACCGGGGGCTCTATGTACGTATATTTGCGTAAATCAGTATCAAAACTCGGCTGGGTTTCAAACATGTGACAAAGACTTGCAGTGCAGTTAGTTTCTTGGAGATATCATCTCCCAAAAAGACCCAGCCCTGCCTGCCTGCCTGCCAGTGCATCTTTGTACGATGTGAGTTGTGCCGAGTGGAATACAAACTAGTCGTGTGATATGATATTGTGTGCCACGAACTACCGACTGCCAGGCCGGGTGATTACGTGAGACTGAGAATTGAGACCGTGTTGTTGCACTCTTGGACTTTCCCTTGGAGAGAAAACTGCTCAACTTCACCGAATTAGAGGAGAGAGTTGGCCCAACAACAATTCAAGTTATCCTTTCCCTGCTCTCCACTAACTTTGCTGTTCTCTGACTGAGGGCTTGGCCTGGCTTAGTTTTATAGGAGACAATGACAAATGTGCTCTATGGAATTGGGGATGGTCAAAAAGTTATGCAGGGCCCGAGCAGCATGCTAAATTTTAATCATTTTCGTAGCCCTTTTCTAGACAGGGAGTGCATTAAATGAGCATTTATTAACCTGAGGATCAACTTCACAATGATTTTTTCCTTAATGAGGACCACCTCAAACTAAATTGCCCTATTTTCAGACCTACTCGAATCCAACCTCACACAATGGGATGGAAATCCTAACGATACAAGTGACCCGGAAATGTGGGAGACTGAGCGGTCCATCCCGCTACTACTTTCCCTGCTAACTCGCTACCTCGGGGGAACGGATCGCCTACGATGTAACGCCTTCGAGGTCAGAGATGCCACGGGGAATTCATCCTCCGGAGTAATTCATTGCGGAGACCCGTACAATCTCACTTCATGGATGAAATGCATTGCTGACGCGATTCTGGGTCTTAACAATATTCAGGTTAGATACTTATTTTAGTCTCGTTTTTGTAGAGATGTTTCCTCTATGATGATGACATTTTCTAGATGAAGCTCTGGAGCCAAGAGACAAGCAGTGAAATTTACTACGTGGGTTGGGTGTGGGAGGGAAGTGCGGAGAAGACGAGTGACGAAACTGTGCAGCCCTGGTTATCCTGGAAGCTTCACTATTTAGCGCTTAGAGGCAGCGATCTCTTCTACATGAACTATCCTCCGGTAATAAAATACGGAACAGAATTTTTTAGCAGATAATCGTGCCGCCGGTAGAATTTAGTCGAGGAAATTGGTCTTTTCATTGTGATTGATGATTGCAGGGTGTCGGGTGCGATTGGGATGGAGGTGAAGTGTACCCCGTTTTTACAACTCTGTTACGCGTCCTGTCTGCTGGTGAACATTTGGACGAACGACAACACTGTTTCACCCTTCAAATCGCCACGGAAAATAGCAGTTTTCCTCCAAACGGGGCTCGTCAGCAGCCAATCACTTTTTACCTGAATACAGAGACACGGCAGGAGCTAATTAAGGTGGAGACGAGCTGGACAAAAAGCGTCACTTCCGCCGTCAAGCAAATTAAGGTTAACACATTCACATTCCGGTTACATGACGCTTTTACTCGTGTACTCGCTTGTCAATCTGGTAACAATTTTTTTTCCTTCATATTCCACAGAAATGCTCGTATTGCGTGTGGTGGGGTGGAAAACCTTGTCAGGTACTTAATAAATTCACGTTTTTAATAAATTATTCACTTATTTATTAATTGTTCGTGTTTCAGTTGGAGCTGGACTTTCCCGGAGCTGCTTTCAACCTTTATAGAAGCTCGTCGAAACCCACATCACCACTTTGGACGAGACCATTCTCCTCGTTGAAGGGATCTTCGGATGATTCGAGGACTCGACTCACGTTAAAATTTCATAATTTACCCTCAGAGACGATGGAATGTAGGGACCTGCACCGCGTCCTGTTTACCATACATTCCTTCCTCCTGGCGAAAGTTGTACATTAGTTAACTCATCTCGCATCTGCTGATGACAAGGTTTTCAAGCACTACATATTATGAATTCAAATGAGATTTGTTCCCATCTTATCGTACGTATCTCAAGTTGCGGCCTCCGGGAAGACATGACAATACTTACCAAAACCACCACCACCACCACCACCAACCAACCCACCATCTAATGTACACACGTATTTGAATGAGATCGCTTTTAATGTCCTGTCCTGTAGAGAAATGACGAGTGAAATCCTTTCGGGTGCAGTGTATGAACGCGTCTGAATTATATTTATGTTATGAAATAGAGTGAAAGAAAGAGTCCTAAAATATGCGTACGAACGAACATTCTCTGTGAATAATCTACAACTTGGCGTTTTGAATGTCTGCCTCATTTTCTCATCTCGAATGAGTCGTGAAAGTAAAGAAAATTGCTTGCACACTTTCTCCTTGACTTTGCTGACACAGGTTGATTGATGTGTTTGCAGTTCTTACTCTTGTCCAAAAATGTGCAATATAATATTATATTCCTGAAATTGATCCCTTTGATGATACGACTTGAGGATAATGATACCTTTAAAATTCAGGTTATTCAAGTTATCCAGGACACTTATTATTATGGGTAAAAAAGTGCACTGATGTGGAAAACTGTAGTTCATCTGGAACTGAATATGGCCTTCATCATGTTCAGATTGTATGTATTGAAGAGTGCTATTTAACTATGTGATGATGATGACGATGACAAAATTGTATGTAAAGTAGAACAAATTCTGAAAATGGGTATATAGAAAGTTCGTCTTATTAAATACTTTGGAATAACGAGAAAGGATAATAACGTGCCATTTTATTTTATATTATTCGAAATAATAAATAATATAGGACTTCTCTTCATACTTTACGATCTATACATAAATTTGAATATTTACTTATGTAGAATTACGAAATACTTTACCTCACTGCACCTACACAATACACTTATTATTACGTAAATTTGGGATGAATCTAACTTTTCCGAAACGATCAAAACGGTTCACTATGTTGCCTCTCTTTCTTGTTCAATAACCTGTAATAATGAATTCATAATTTTATTATACAAAGACAATCCATGTACTCAATTTACATACATACATTCTGGTAAAAAAGAAGTAATAACGATATTGATAATAATTTTTGGGTAGTAATTTATTTAGAGCGAATCTACCTTATATTTAGAAACTGTTACCTCAATATTAATAAGTATGCACCGTGTTGGCTCAAGTCGTTTACTTTAATTATAGATAAGTACAGAAATTATTATCCCAGATACTTAGAACATGCATGCAGACGTAGTACTAAAATTAATTAGCGGAAATAAAATGTATGAATTATGATAATTGAGAGCTATATAAATAAATAATTTAGATGATTAAGGTGTCATCATTATGTACATATTTCTGTATTCCGTAAATATTTCTGAGTCCGAATATTAATTTTTATCCTATGCCATCATCATCGAGCTGAAATTTTTATGGCTAATGTGTAATCTTTTCAACATTTATGTATTCTTACCATTATAAATACATACATACATACCAGATTATGCCATGTTAATAAATGTGTAAGTGAATATATGTACACATTACTTGTGAGTGAGTGATTTATTTGTACCATATACACACCTTTAAAATGAGAATCTTATCAATCTTTAATTGTCACAGGCTTTTCACTTGACATAAATGTGGTGCGATACGATTATCTCAATTGGATCATGTGGTACTTTTTACACGTCAAGATTACAGGTGTTGTTGTAGTCCATCAAAACGAAAAGCTCCTCAGCTAAATAGTCCCTCAATCAGTTCGATTGGAACTGTTAATTCATAATCATGGCTTTCACAAAAATATTGTTTGTCACCTTCTTGGTTTTGGGGGTCGGACATGCGTTTTCGTCCCGAAACAGCACCGGTCGCAACCAGGAGAACTACTTTAGAAACCCAATTCTTGACGAATTAGCGGCCGATCCATCCGTAATAAAGTTGAATGGCTGGTATTACATGGTGTTCACGCAAGGAAATAAGATTGACATACTGAAAAGTCCGATTTTGTCCAATTTTCGAAATGCTGAAAGAAGTACGATCTACGTAACTCCACCTTTCCGTCATAACCTTTGGGCCCCAGAACTCCACTTGATTCGGGGAGGATTGTACATCTACTTCACGATGGACGATGGTGTTGCGGACGAGAATCACAGGATGTACGTAATCCAAGCGCTCGATCCCAATAATCCGTTGGGCAGATGGTCTTCAGAGATCAGGTAATGGGCCATATAATTTTAATATCTTTTAGAGAGTGAGATACATATATTGATTACTAATCATTGTGACCCCGGTTTTATTAGGCTTCTCCCCGAAGAGGAGATTTATGCAATTGATGGCACGGTCATGCAGTATGGAAATGGGGAGTTGTACTTTATCTGGACTGGTTTCCCACAACCTCCAGGGTCCATGAATCTTTACATTGCTCGCATGGAGTCTGCCACACGCGTACGCATTTTATGACCCATGAAATCATCATGTCTGTCCGTCCGTCCGTCTGGTTAACCTCCACAGTAAAACTTAACCGATTGAAATTTGGAACATGGTTGTAGTACAGATAGTAGTTCGAAGATGGGCTATATCGGTGGTTTGGTTATCTATGGATGGGCACTATTATATTTGTGTAGTAACGATTCATCTGGGAGTCATATGGGGGAGGGCTTGTTGATGTAAAGTACTCCGAACAGTCGTAGAAGACTGATAAATATTTGGATATTTGCGCAGTAAAGGTTTAAATTGTTGTGGTTGTTGGACAGGACGGGTGACCCATTATGTTTTTTTTAATTAATGAAAAAAGCTGAATTATTATATGCTGAGCATACTGGAAAATGTATGTGCTTATAATAAAGACACCATTTTTGTAAAATATCTGTGGACACACAACGCTGGTCGAAATTAAGTAATGTGCGAAGAAAGTGACTGCCTCAGTTTATAGAAATCTGCACTTTTCCAGGTTTTTCCACCCCGAATACTACTTCGAAGACCTACCATGGAATGGGAAACGCATGGCTATCCTGTAAACGAGGGTCCCTTCATCGTGGAGAATGCAGGTCGAACTTTCCTCGTATTTTCAGCCTCTTCAACTTTCACCCCGGACTACTGCCTCGGTAATTAAGCTTTCTATGTATGTACTCGTAACAAGATTATGACATTATAAATACCCACCAACCAACTTGTTTTTTTTTGTACAGGAATTATGGGGATTGATGAGCTTAGGGACCCACTGGTTCCAAGTAATTGGTGGAACGACGTGAATCACTGTGTATTCCAGAGGAATGATGCGGAGAGCGTTTTTACAACGGGGCATGCTTCTTTCGTCAGATCCTTGGGTAAAGACATAATCCTGGCTTAGGTGCAATCGATCTACTATTTTTTTTACGGTAATGACTACAATTTCGTGGTGGCGATTATAGATGATTCTGAGCTTTGGATGGTTTACCATGCGACGGATAATGTCAACGATAACGGTGTGAATAGAAGGGCCCGGATTCAAAAAATTGAGTGGAATCCTGATCTAGCTCCAAGATTTCCTGTCGCTGCTGGGATCAATACACCACTTCTCGTTCCAAGTGGGGAATAAATAGCACAAATTTTAGCTTGCTCCAGATTCGTAATGCAATGGAAACAATTAATTAATTCGAGAATATTTAAATCGTAATAAAATAAACTGCATACGATTGCAGGGTTGATAATGCATGTTTTTTTACTTGGCTTGCATTCTACTTTGGAATAATAATGACACTGTGTACAATGCACGCATCGTGAAAAATTACGTGCCTACGTAAATATTCACTTGTTTCACGTCACATTTTTCTTTAAAGTGGTGCACAACAAGGTTTCATAGAACAATTCATATTTAATACTTACATACACCTGATCATCACGTCTGCAAGTTATTTCAAACTCCTCCATATTTTCAAACACATTTAGCTAACTAATTATCTAGGATGGAAATTATCAAGAAATCCATCTTTGGAATATTAACACTTCTAACTCTCCATCAGCATTGGGCAACTTGCAAAGTGCCCGATAACATTGACGTATTAGACGAATGGTGGACCACCTTTTCCGAGTCCTGGCCAAGATATCACCAAACTACGCAAATCATTCATCAAATGGCGGAAACCCTGCCAAAAAATGTGCAAATCTACTCAATTGGCAAAACTGTGCAGAAAAGGGAGATGTGGGTAATCAAATTGGGCAGTGACCTGACCAAAAAGCGATCCTTTCTAGTACCTCAGATGAAACTGGTGGCCAACATGCACGGAGATGAGACCCTGGGTCGTGCCTTACTTTTAATGTTTGCTGTCGACGTGCTCACCAAGTATCAGAAGGGATACAGAAGGTAACAACAAAATCACACCATTTGTACCAATTTATATTCACTTTCACCTCAAATAAATTAATTTTCAGGGCGATCGACCTCCTCAAAAATACCGAGATTCATCTTCTTTATTCCATGAACACTGATGGATTCGAAGCAACCCCAGAGGGAGAATGTTCCCCAGACCCGGACATCCTTGGGAGATGCAACGCAAACCTGGCCGACCTCAACAGAGACTTTCCAGACCAATTTGTCGATTCCGGAGACACATTTGAAGAACTTTTAGAGGGTCGACAACCGGAAACGCAGAACGTTATGAAGTGGATTGTTGCCAATTATTTCGTACTATCTGCCAATCTTCATGCACTCTCACTCGTTGCGAGCTATCCGTTTGACTCTGTTTCTCTTAAATTAGAGTAGGTAATCAACTTAACCCATTGTGAAGCATGTCATTTTTAGTAACGTAGTAATTCATACCAGGAAAGACCCCAGGTATAAGGGAGCCGGTGTCATAAGTAGGTCACCGGATCATGACTTCTTCTTTACGCTCGCTACAATGTATGCGACCACACATGAATTCATGTCCATCGAGAATAACTGCACAGAGGGAGAATTTCCGAACGGGGTGACAAACGGAGCAGAGTGGTACAATGTTCGGTACAATGTTATTCTGTTCTTAACATGCATATTTTGAAACATTGCTTATCACATGATAAGACTACAATGATACACTTAATTTAGAGGAGGAATGCAAGACTTCAACTACATTCACTCCAACACTTTCGACATTACTTTTGAACTCTCATGTTGCAAATTTCCCCCAAAAGAAACACTCCTAGGAGAATGGGAAGCTAATCGAGAAGCTCTCTGGAAATATGTGGAAGCCACGCACTGGGGAATTAAGGGGTTAGTTCAGGACGAGGAGGGCAACCCGATCGACGGAGCCACAATCCATGTCGACGGCATCAATCATACAGTTTACACGACACCACAAGGAGAATATTGGAGATTGCTGGTTCCCGGAAAGTCTTACACTGTTTGGGCCGAGGCGGACGGGTTAGTTTAGTGGACACAATAGCTAAAATATTTCCATATATACACGTCAGGAAACATGACTACATTTATCGGACCGTGATATTTGTAGGTACAAGGCCAGCGAGGAACGAGATGTAGTTGTCCACCAAAAAGTGAAAGTAGCAGAAAGGTATGATTTCACTCTTAAAGAAGTGTAATGCAAATGTCAAATACAACAAAGGATGAATATATACGTGAGTAAAAGGATGGTCGTCAAATAAATAGGTGAAGAATGCTTTCTTGTTGTAAATGTTTGCCCATCCGCCATGCATGACAAAACCATTTCTTAACCCTTTTTGCGCAACACATTTTTATTAATGCCCATTGATTGATTTGTGTATCGCGACATCACGCACAAACTTTATTTCATATTTCATATCCACTCCATACAGCATACATAGTTCTTATTTCTTATTACTTATTATACATACATACATATGTACACTTATTAATACGCAAATCCACCAAAGTGCAAAGTATTACTTGCTTATTTACAACAAAAATACATAAATATGCAAAGCGATCAAACAACAGTGCGGTTTTATTACATATTTATTTATAAAAAGCATTCCGTGCAGTAAAGTGCAATAGTTTGCTGGATATTTAATATTAAGAAAAGAAAAAAATACGGCAGGTAATACAGATTTGTGTTTAAGCAGTATTTACATATACGGAATATATAAGTTTTCTTCATATTTTTTGTAGCATTAGGACAAATTTCTTATATAGCATTAATACGGATACGGTGATGAATTGGCTAAATATTTGCGTGCATATTCCTCCAAGCAATTTATCCTCGTCTTGTTAACCCTAGTCTTCATATTTATTGATTTTAATTCTTATTATTGTACACAATAAGCCATTTTTTCTCCATGGCCTGAATTAAATGAAAGTATTTATTCGTGCTTTCGTTGCAGTGAAATGGAAGTGAGAGGTTTCCTTTGGTTTTGTTTCCGTTAAACATTTAATGATCACATGGACACATTTTTGTGGACTATTAAATAGCGTTATTATTATTATACATACGTTGACATTTAGGTAAGTGAGTTAGTAAGTACACCCTAAATATAGATACACTCGTGTATATTTAAGTACACATGTACCTGCTGCTGCAATTACGCTTCGTGCATGTAAATTATGACCTACTAGAATTTGATATACGTTCTGGGACACAAGTATTTTTTGCTTATTGCATAAAAAGACATATTATTTATAACTGTTTTATTTCAGCAGAGCAAGCAGTGCATTGCAAGCGATTTAGGCAGACAAGCGTATATAGCAATTTATTCACAGCAATGTTCACAATTCTTTCTTAGAACGCGGTGCAATATTTATTACACTGTATTTAATTATAGTTTTAAGATGAAAGTTAATTTTTCACGGACCAGCCATGAATAAAGAGGAGACGAAAATGTAAACCATTATTTCCAGCAAATTAATAAATATTTCAAATACTTAACCTTCATTCAGCCAAGCCCATCGTTGTGTACGAATTATTACCCTTTACCCGTGTGTCATTTTAGGAATTACATAAACGCAGGTTCTCAACAGAGATATGAAGCAGTCTCAATCAGGCATAAAAGTTATTTTTTATCGTAATTCATTCAGAGATAAGGAATAAAATACTCAGGAAAATCTTTGATAGAGAAATCACAGCCGGTAGTCACATAATAATGTTTAAGATTAAAAGCAAAAGTTGTCTTGACACATTGTACACGAACGAACATGTTAAATACATGCGAGTTTTTGTATATTTATATGTAAATTTTCTTTATATTTTCTTCACACTTATCTGTAATACTTATCTTGAAATATCTGTAGTACTTTTTTAGTTTTTAGTTTCATATCTGAAAGAGGAAGGAAGAAGTAGTGGCAATGAGTATAAGATTGTGCAATACGTTTTTTTATATAGAAAATTTTACTTGAATTTGGACAATGGAATTTCAAATATAATGTGAAAATGTGAAATTTTGAAGATATCGTAAATTGTAAATATTCAAGAAATAAGGCCGAGTTGACGGAGGGGCGTTTGTTCGGCACAATCCGTACTCATTTTTGACATACGATACATATCTAGGTACAATGTACATACATAATAAATAGACGATAATAAGAGTGTCGGAGTACACACAATTATTTACTTATCATGGTGGTGGATACCTACCTAATTACGTTTAATTAAAGAATTAACCTTAATTATATACATATTTGTAAATAAATCACTGTGTGGTGTAATAATTCGACTTACTTAGGTTAGTAATTACTTTAACGTACTTACTCCCAGTATGATTCGTTGGCTTGAGAAACCTCAACATTTCTGTGTTTTGTTCTTATTTTTATACACATTCATTATCGATAAGTGACTATTTGTTAGCCTTAACATTAAAAAAACTTGACTTGATTGTTTTCGAAAGTTTCTGGTTTTTTCTGCCCTTCTTCTTGCTTAACACTCCTTGGCGAGAGGAGCCTTTCCATCTCCGCGTACTGCGAAATAGGATAAAAACACAATTTCAATTTGCTTGCGCAATTCATGCTTTTGTCTCTCCGAAAATGTAAGTGGATTGGATTTCGCAACAAACAAACTGCTTACATGCTTCCATCGATGTGGACCTTTTCATGGTCATCGGGAGGAAAGAGAGGAGAGAAAAGGCGAGCCCGATGTCTGGCAGATCGGAGGCTGAGCCACGACGAGAGGAATCGGTGACTAGGGACAAATTTAAGAGGGTCTCATTCTCATTATAATTTCATGAGCTTTTCTGCTTTTCTGGGCTCAAAGTTGGTCACATTTTTCCAAACGGAAAGTGAAAGTGTGACACTTTTTGGGTGTGAGACATGCACAAATATTATTCTACTGGTGGTAATTTGCAAAATGAAATGGGCATTCAATCCCGAAATGAATTCTAGGAGCCCTCGTCGTATGCATTCGTTAGTTGATTACGAATAATGAATTTGCAAATGATTTGCATATAAAAATTAAAACTAACCATGACTCTCCATTTTGCGGCCACCTCCGCCACTCTGCCCCAACCCCCCCGTAGTCGAAGGTCTGATCAGATCCTCGCGTGAATTCTGTTGACTCAGATCGTGGTGATGTCCATGATTTTCTCCGCCGCGAGAAGACCCGTGCTTGCTGGGATCGTAAGGTCGGGCGTGACATCCTACGATAATGGTAAGCTCCCCCTTCGCCAGCGTGGTTTCGGGACTGCTCACTACGATCTGAAATTATGCAAATGCATGCAAATATCACGCTGCTACATGTTAAAATGCAACTACAAGACATATTCATGGATACAAGAATTTGCCATGAGCTTATGGTCGATCGAACTAATTTTACTCGCCGTCATGTACTTTCACCAAAGTTTGGCCCAAGTAAAAAGTTGGTTTTGCACTTTTGGTACGTACAATATGTTATCTTTCCTCGTAATCAAATTCATGCGCGGTTTGCTTCCTTCACCAGTGTGCTATGCACTTATGTACGAACGTACGTGGGTGGTGGGTGGGCACATCTGCCCGACTGACGTGAAGGACGACAGGACAAAGAAAAGTTCAGAAATATGATATCTTTCTCTTTGTGAAATACTTGTTTGAAATGACGAAATAGAGAAAATTGGATCGACAAAGGACATCCGTCTCACCTGGGTGGAGGTCAAGTTGCAAAAGACCTTCTTACATATAAATCTAAAGAAATTAGAAAAGTCCCTTCACTTCCCTCGTTATAAAATATTCAGGGAGAAAGTCAGCTTCAGCGACTCTCAACAATAAATTGTAATTGGTTTGAGGAGATAATAGTATTTGCACTAATCCCACAAACTCATTCGAGGACAGGCAGGAGACAGAGAGAAAGAGAGAAAATGTAGAAAAGCTTTCCCCACCACTTTCTCCTCCACTCGTCCGCTTTTCTTCTCTATTTCGCTTGCATAACCTTCGTCTCAGCTTTCTCCTCCAGAAAGAAATCTCTCATTTCACCGGAAACCATAAAGGAAAGGAAGGGGAAAGTAGGGTCTCAACCTGCTTCGTGTCCTGTGCGAATTGTTTTTCAGGCACGATGCTCCTCTAAAATATCAAATTCTATCCACTTACATATGTATTTGTATTATAGCGATTTTTCTTTAGTATGACCTTAATTTCGCACAAATTGTTGAACCAGTTTGAATTAGGTCGTCACTAATTAATAAGCAATTTCAAGAATATTCATAATCCTTTATCTCCTACGGAATAACTATAATTTTCTGCACATTTTCTTCAAGAATATTACTTTGCCCCAGTACTACTTTGTTAGAGAAAGTCCCTCACACTTTTCCGGCAATATGAGAAATTACTTCTTTCTCCAAAGATAAATATGAGACGGAAAAGGTCAAAAGTCGAAACTTTGTCGAGGAGAATAAAACCCAACCATAAAAACACAAGCACATTCCTCTCTCACATTAAGTAAAACAAAATGAGCAGTCTTTACCTGAAGGAAATAGCCCAACTCGATTATTTCGATGGGTCGCCCAAACTGGGTTGGATATAAGTCCGATGGGACCGTGACTGTCCCAGTGTAAACAAACGGGGTAACCTGGTCCATCGACGACTTGTTCAATACGGCCAACGTCGCTGGAAAATTTCCAACAAAAAAAAACGTTATCGCAATCATTTATAATGGCATTCCTCTCTTTGCAAAAAACGCAAAAAAACAGTGGAAACTTCCCGAAATCAAATCAAATCGTCATTTATACTCGATCAAAGTTTTGTCATTCTTCTAGTTAAAAAATGTAGAATACAACAACAACCGACTTACCTTTGGCGGACTTGGTTTCCCTCACTTTGTAGACCACTTTCTACTCGAGGACAGAAAAAAACAGAGAGAGGAAAAGAAATGAAATCTGTAGAGAGATCTGATAAGATTGAGATGAAACGAGTCACCAACCACCATCGCCATCCAATCCAATATACAATTCCCTCACAGATGCATGGTCATGATTCAGGGTGGCAGGCAGGCAGACAGGCAAACCACACCAGTCTCCCAGCCTGTCCGAAGGTTTGGTTACATAAGTAGTCATCGTCAAGTGAAGCATTTTCGTTTTCCTTGGAGGGGAAAGTAGACTCAGGGAAAATCGAATAAGGGAAAGTGAGGGTGGGAAAAGAGCGAGAACGTACAAATGGCAAGGGGTCAAGGCCTACTACCAAGTCTCCCACTTTCCCTGCCCCAGTTTTTTCCGTGTTATCAGACGACGAGACTTTCTCCTCTCAAGTCTCGTTTCAACCTTTCTCTTTCTCTCTCGCCACTTTCTATCCGGATTTTGTGCAGGGCTTTCCCTGTGACAAATGATTAACAAGATTCGGATACACGAGTTGAGTTGAGTTTTTGGGAGACGGACAGACCTTCACGATCGGTCTTGACACTAACATTGTGTGTGTGCACGGATGGTGGCGATGATGATGGTGATATTGGTACATGTCTCAAATACATAAAATCCTTTACCTTGACGAACGTGAGAGTGATATCCTCCACGACGAGTTCTTCAGGGTTGAACACTTCTATGGTGAAAGTCATCTTTTCCCTGCAGATTTTAACGATGGGATTAACCCGTTATTTATCATTTACTTACCATCAACCTGTCAGATGTCACTTATTTGTCGGTAGAGATTAATGGTCGTAAATATATGCAACTCACCCCGGGAGATAACCACTCTTGTCCAACTGTAACGTGACTTTGAACGGCTTTCGTTTCGAGGAAGGAGTAAATTTCTTGGGTTCCAGAGTCGTTGGGTGTTCCACTTGAAGATCCAGAGTCCCCATCACATTTATCGTGCGGTCCGTCTGCCTCACGTGATAAGTGTCCGAGCGGATAAGGTAGACCACTACTTGGTACTCGATTATCCCAAACTTTCCATGAAAGGATGACGGTACCTGGAAGATGCATGCATGAATATTTGTCATGATGATGATAAGGGTGCAAAAGTAAAATAAAATAAATAATAAATAAGCCCGACAAGTGAGCCGCTTGATATCGTCGTCGTCGTCTTACGTTCGCTGGAAACTTTAGCGAGAAGAGAAACTCCTGAGTAGCGACGGGGATCTGCATCTTCTTCACCCCGGCGTGAGCTGAGGGAGAACGACTTGAATAAATCATACATCATAATGGCACACTTGACATTTTCCCACACACATAATGCATACCGTGCAGCCTGAGAATACAGACATTTCGCACACACCATTAACCCCGAGTTTTTGATAAACTTTAAAGTATACCAATCGGAATTGGGTGGTTGTGCAAAACTGTTATTATTATTATCACTCGCTATAAAATGCGATATGCTAATAATAAAAGGTGGAATTTAGATTGCGAATTGTAAATATCAACCTCATCAATTATGAATTCGATTTTTTTTCTGCGGGCAGAAGAAGAATATTTTTTTATATCTCTGTCGCAATAATAAGTCGAATTTATTTCGTTTGGATAATAAAACGATACGGAATGCTTTTGAAATTGGAGTAATATCGATTTGGTAAATTTAAATTGGATAAACAACCAGTGAAGGGGAAGGATTGATCCACTTACGAATATTTTTGCCCAAAACATAACATTCTTCTCGAACGACTTTCTCCTCCTTCGTCCTAGTTTCACCGAGTGATTTAAAGGTAACCACCGCCTTCCCCTCTAGCGCGACGTAGATCCCTGAAATTTAAGGGGAAGAATAATAAATTCAGACCATTACATGACCACCGTGTCGTCGGAGAGAGTTCTATTTTTATAATTATTTTATGGCTACAACCCAAAAGTCGGGAGGTTGTCGTTGCCATATAATTTGGCCAATCAGGTAGATAACGGAATACATTAAGGATAGGGCTCTCTTATTTGCAATACGATTTGAATTGATCCTCATTTTCGATAATGGCTAAATTTTTGCAAATTTTGTATAGTCTGATCGAGTAAAATATTATAACTTTCAACTCTATATTTTAGTAAATGAGTAATTTCCCCCATCAAATTGCACATTTTACGATTTTAGATGTACTAAAGATATGCACTTTTGTGCAGACACGTCAAAAAATTCTACAACTGTTGCTTATTACGTAATGACATAAACACACACCTCTCTCACGAACTTGACATTCCACCAGCAACCCTTTCATTTTCATTCCCAATGAATTTCTAATGTCTGAGTCGAACCTCAATTTGGGTGAAAGCATGTCATTACCATGTCCCACGATGGAATGGATATGCCATTTATTGATATTTACTCACCGTGGCAGTAGACGATATCCGAGGGGGCGATGATGAGCTGGCCTTTCACTTCATCCCCCGGGTAGTAATCTCTCTTGCTGTCTAATCTCAAGTGGCAGTTGACAAATGGACCTGGGGACTGAAACATCTCGGCGCGATTCTTTTCCTACTTTTTTCCCTCTCACTGTGGCCTAATACGACCGTAATTTATCCTCCTCAGCAGCAGCCCTTCAACTACTTTCACCGGAGAACGCGAGAGAAAGTAGAACCAACTCGGGTAAAAGTAAAAACTCGACTGGACTTGACGACAAAATAACACGACATGAAACGAGCACACTACACAACGATTAAAATGACATGGATTTATGTATTAAAAGTTGCTCAATTTAGTAAATATTTATTTCAAGGCCGACTTTGAGAATTCACTGATGGCTTTTTTCTCCCCTCCTCTCGCATAAACTCTATGTTGTAAGGTGTATATGTAAATTCAAGCTCTGTTTAGTTTCTTCACACACAGTGTATGTAGTGGCACGGTTAACGAATATTTTTCTTGTATGTTCATAAAATACTGCTTATCCGGAAAATGATTGATTCAATAATTAGCTGCTTTTGTTGTTGTCACACCGCCTATTTTACTGACCACGATTAATCACACAAAAACGAAAATAGCAACTTCAGAGGTAAGGAAGTCGGTAATACTATGTGTTATTTTTCTTCTAGGAATATTTTTTCTCTTTAGCTTTCACTACTACGAATTCAGGTAGATATCCAATCAACTTTTACTACCTTTTTGGCAATAGGATAAGACTTTGATGGTTATTTAGTCTACTATTTTCTTTTTCCTACTCTACCTGGCCAGCAGGACCATGAGGGGTTGCGTAAGTGAGTCGCGGGTTGTGTGAGACAATGGCAATTCTGAGCGAGCAACTAGCTCTGGGCGAGTTTTTGGTGATCGTGGCTTGTGAGACAGGCAGAGAGGAATTGTGACGACGAGTAAGGTACACGTAAGTAAGTGAAGGTTACCGAAGAACTACAGGTAGTAGCAGTAGCAGCAGCAGTAAAATAGCAGCAGAGGAGGAGGCAGCGGCAGAGCGGGTCCGTTTTCCGTGGTGCTTTCTCCAAAACTAAATAACAACAGGGAAGACGAGGACGAAGAGCAACTATTGCTATGTGTGAGGAGAAAGTTGAATGAGTTCTGATGTAAGAAAGTTGGTTTGGTTGGTCGGCTCGGGTGGCCGTGAGCTTGTTGAGCGTGGATGGAGGAGCAGGCAGACTTTGTATGTTGTACAAGTGGAATGGAAGGCAGTAGGGCAACGAGGTTCATAAAATTCCTCTGCATGCCTATCGATCCGCTTGCTTCAAGCCACGGCATCCTTTCGTACTGGATGGATGGAGGGTTGGATGGAGAGAAGAGGAAACTGACTTGACCGTGTGGTCGTGAAAATGGAAAGAGAAAGCATACCCAAAAAGAGAAAGCATCGTCGTCGTCTTCTTCCATTCTCCCGCAGCAGCATCGCAACTTCGCTGGATTTCGTTCAACTTCCGCCCGAGATTTTATCCCTACCACCACCACCACTACGAACACCCTCATCTCCATCCCGTCCGCTTTTTCTTCCTCCTACACCACCACCACCGACTAAACTCACTTTGACTCCCACCAACATTATCAACTCTGAGATCTCATCCAGGCCACTTTCATTTAATGTTGTTCCATGGGACGAGAAGAAGCAGAGGAGCACGCGGAACGTTTCTTGGCAGCATCAAAAAGCTTCTTATGACATGATAATCAACACAAAAGTAGGAGTGAGGAGTGAGTCGTTTACTTTTCTGCTGCGGATATGATATCGCATCGCACGATGGGATTGAAAGGAGCTGCGTCTGCTGATCGCTTTAGGCAATTTCGAATCCTATCCCTTGTGCATTTGAAGGAAAAGAGAAAGCAAGTTATGAGAAAAGAATGGTGGTGGTGGCGAAAAAAAGAAACATTTTGCATCCCAGATGATGCAGCAGATGTTTTTGTTCTCATCCAGTTGTTCGAGTACATAAGTAATCAAAAAGCGTATGATGCCCGACACAAATGTGGACAGCGGAGAGAGAAAACTGCTGCATTTCGAGGCGAATGGGATCTATTTCATTCAAGGATAAGTCCTCCGGGTGGATGATGATTATTGCTCTTTCCGTATTACTACTGATACAGAGAGGGAGGGGTGGAGTAATCCAATTTTTTGCCTTTGTGCATGCATACACAATGTGGACAAAATCAGTGAGCCCCCTTTTGTCTGCACTGACCTTTGCACAAGATTCTAAATTCTGCACAAGCCTCCTGTCAAATGTTTTGACAGTTATGCAGCATGACGTCTCTTAATTGAATTACTCACAGCCAGAGCAACCTCCTGCCAAAGAACTTACTTCTTTCCATGGAATTGTCTCCCACGAGACGGCGGAGGAGGAGGAGAGTTATGCAGCAAATCTGCATATCCTCCTCCTCACTTCTTGTTTTCATTGCAATAAATGTTGAGAAATGGTCGGAGGAAGGAAGGAAGAAGCAATTTGTATAAATCATCATCCTGCGAGCAGCGTGTCTGCCAATCTCTTCAGGAAATCTGATCAACTTACTGTCAAAGATGTAAAAGTGAGAAGAAGGAACCTTCGCGAAGTAAATCTATCCAGAATTTGATGATGTGCCGACGAGGAGATGAGAAAGTCTCGTATCCAATCCGACCCATGTCAGTCATAAGTAATGCGTAGAACTCGGCACGCTGAAAACCCCACGCTAAATGAATGATGGATGATTCGAATTCTGTGTCAATACTACAGACGAAAGCATAGATATGTTTGCATTGCATGCATCAAACCAAATGGTAAAGTTGAAGTGAGTAGTAGGGATGGAATGGAATGAGAACTGGGGCATAATTTCATTATTTTGGACCATGGATTATTTTCCCTATCTAAATCTACTCCTGTAATATATCGACAACTGCAAATCGACTACCAATTATTTTTTGGTACGTTCATCTCACTTTTCTGCCTACAATCCAATTAATCTGTGGAATTATTCGAGCACAATTCAAAAACTAGAGTGAAATTAATTTCAAACTTTTGTTATCAAAAATGATTGGAAACTGTGCTAAATTCGGAACAGTGCAAAAAATTTATTGACGTAAAATGTCAGGGAGCAGGGCTGAAGTGAGATTCTTCTTAACTCACGATCAGCCAAACTCCGAGTTGTGGTGAAGGATACGGTTTGGTTGGAGGACGGATTAATGTGATTTGTTATACTACGTGGTGAGACGAGAGGAGGATCAGAAATCTATTAGCAATATTCGGTACGAACGTGAAGGAAGCCGTGCGTGCATGCAGGCATCCATTACGAGATTAATTTAAAACCTTGTACATGGACTAAAATCCCATGACTTTGATTTGGCAAGGGCCCAAATCACAAGTTAGCGGCGGGGTAAGAGGAGCTGACTGAGAGCAGGAGAAAGATAACGGGGCGCGGTGTAGTGAAAGTTGGAGAAAGTCTGTTGTAAATTCCGGCCGGAACGGGACGCTGTGGTTCCGAATGTGACGGATTTTCTAGAATTTGGGAAATTAAGACTTGTTACGGAAATTCATACTTCTATGAATTTTGACACAGCTTGGTTCATGCGACTCGGAAATTTTGTACGACAAAAATCAATGTATGTATAATAAAAGCAGTGATATTTTTATTACAGGAATTCAACACAAGACGTAGTATCAACCAAAAACTCAAGTAATAAACACATTTTTTACGAGTTTTACAAACTACTTCAAAAGAGTTCATGATATAATTGCACACTTTGATAATACGACCGTGCAGTAACTACTGTTGTGTGAAACGATCACAGAATGGTGGCACTAATCTAATATGGTACGAAGCATTCCTAACTGAATAAAATAATGACTAGAGAAGTAAGTTCACATTTAAATTGATATTCTATTCGAATTGAACAAGTATTAATTTTCTTAGATTTAGATACATCAAATATATTTAGGTATGTATTTTTCATGACATTAATACATCAAATTTTTATCTTCACATAGACTCTTTAGTTCATAGTTATTTAAATATTCCAATTAAGCAATCTCGTACTTGGACATTTTGCATTTTTAATGCGTGTTCACCTTCACAAATATATAGCACCACATAATATTTATATATGCAGAGTATTGATTATGTATCGTCAAATTGTAAATTCGTCAGGTAAGTGTGTCGTTACAAAAATAGCAGGTAACAGTTTGACTATTATTATTACGCAATGTTGTCCATCTTCCAAATCCACATAATAATCTAAACATACATCAAAGACTAATAATTAAATCCCTACAACATTAACAAAACTTCAACGCGTAGCTCACAACATTAAAACCACGGGCAACTTTCACCATGTATGTACATAATTTTAAATCTACACATTAATATTTTTCATAAATATATTTTATCACAAAATACCACAAAAACGACACCAATCATCTATCTAAAATACATCAATACATTTACTTGCACCACATTGAATACAAACTTTTCAAAAACTGCATAGATATGCAACTTATCCAACAACAAGTCACGGTTACGTTAAAAAAATATGCCACGATGAGTAACAATTACGATGATAACATTGTAGCTTAAATACTGTAGATTAATAATAAAATAATATTTATGTAATATGTACATTTCCTCCCATTCATGTTGTTGTTTCTAGATAATTAAACTTGGTCCACTTGGATGAGAGGGACTTTCCCGTCTTGCATCGTGATGTGAATGTTCTTTCGCCCCCCGGGCGACACGTCGAGCCTGTTGTTGGACATTGGTGATCTCGGCGACGTGGCGGCCCGTCGAAGGGCGGCATTGTTGACGTGAGAGCCCCCATCCCGTCCGAGGTAGGGACTATTCCTTGCCGAGCTGTATAGCGAAGCTCCTCTCGACAAGCTGTAATTAACGAGTTCAAATTATTACTTTAAAACTGAGCACGCTTTAATCTTCCGCTTCTGCAAACTACAGAATTTATTCCTAAAAAGTGGACTTTAAAATTCCATCTTTTAACTAAATGAGTGCAGAAGCAATGAATGGATAGAATATGTCAAAAGTCACGCAAAGAAATGTATAGCTGAATAGATAATTTTAGAAACAGCTAATATTTTATTTCTAATCGTATAAAATGTGTAAATATTTTCTTTAACAGAGTGCAAATGCAGTGAATAAATACGTTTTTTAGTAGCATTTTCCTGTAACTGTTAATTCGTATTACAGTCATACCGATATTATTGTGAAAAAGCTTTGTCCGTGCTGATGCGTATTTACAAATAGTGCAGATTCGTTAAGATCTAAGAAAGTGAAAGTTTATCCTCTTCTCATACCCGAGTACATATTTTCATACAGCTTAATCACACCATCATTTAAGCACACGAAAGCCAAGACGTAACCACAGCGTTACAACTTACATGCATACAAAAGCGATGATATAACGGGAGAAAAGGAGAGTAAGAACAACATTCCGCAATTCTAAAGACAATACTCATTATTATTTTAATGAATTATCCAACCCGTCTTTGTTTCGGGGTTAGGCATCAACTTATCATCATTAGTACGAGGTGAAGGCAATCTCATAAATTCAAAACACTCTTACGAACCCTCGAGTTCGGTGTCATGCTACAATTATTATTCAGTATTCCACTACACGAATCTCTGATATGCACTCTAATGTTATTGATATTATTCCATTTCCAATTATATTTTGCATTCACTGTTTTTGCACCACAAGTGTATTATTGTGTTAAGAGTAAATATGGTAAGTAAATATGGTAAGTAAGTACATAAGCAGATTAAAAAAGCGAGGAACTTTTTGCAGTACTTTTGTATCCTCTAAAAAGATTTCTAAAAAAATACTATTTTAAAAAGTTATTAATATGCTACGAGAGGGAAAGAAGAGAAATATTACGAATGTATGGATTACAGAGTAATGGAGGCTGTTCGCTAGGAGACTTGGCCGGTGTTTGTGATGGTGGTGGTAGTGGTGATACGTACGTCAATTCAAGACCAGGGAATGATAGATTACGCATAATTTGTACAGGGAGTGCCAATAAAGTTAGTGCTATGAACACGGCGATAAGGATTTGAATATATGTAAATAGGAATTTGTAGTGGTGGTGATAGTGGTGATGGTATTGTACTTTATATAACTTTTGAGCACAGGCATTGGATTCTGCTTTTACTTTACTACTAAAATAATGAGAGGTAGTTGAACAGGGATAATTTTAGTCAACGTCAGCACAAAACGGCAGCAGAGGTGTGATTCAGGAGGAGAAAGTGAGTGGTGGTGGAGGAGGTGAATGGTTTGGATTTCTGGAGCATGTCAATTTTCAACAGTGTCAACACCAACAATCAACGTCAACTTCTAGAATCACAAAACAATCCAGAACAAACAGTGAGCACAAGTGTTTACAGATTCGTCCTCAGACAGACAGACATACACGTACACACATATGTACATACGTACATACTTCTAGGGCTAATAATCTCATCAGTAGCCGAGGACAACAAAGGGAAAGGAGAATGGGTGGAGGTGTTGTATTATACATACAAATCGAGGAAAGACGTACATAAAAGGAGGCACACACACTACATAAAAGGCACATTAGAACAAATGTCAACCTCAGGTACACGTTTAATCCATCTCTACAGAGTCGTAAATACATATGCATGTAGGCGTCGTCTAACTTTGTAACAGTCGACTAAAAATAGAGATACTTTGTGACTCCATCAAAATCTCACTGTATTTCTTGACGGGTTGACCTTTCGGAAATATATTCGACTCAAAAATCGTGATTCTCAATAAAGAAAAAATGGTAAAATTCACAGAAAAGTAAATGTTTGCGCAAGTGTACATGATTTCGTTTGACAATTTCGTTCTCATGTTTTTTACAGGAATAATTGTATAAACATTTAAAACAAACAAGACCACGAGTACACAAACATATGACATTTTGAACAAGTACATATTACAAAACGGGACAAATATGAAGTAGACATGAGACAAAATCGAGATGTTACATGACATACACGGCAGCATCTTGAAGTCCAATGTAAGGCCTTCATCACGAACGACATGACGGAACGTGGATGACAGAGGTGGAGAAGAAGAGGCAGATTTTTTCGATGGTTGTGGTAGGATTCATTTGGCAAAGGGAGGAGCGATTGAAATAGAAAAATCACGCAAAGTTAGGTCAATTCTGGTAAATCGGGCAAAGAAAAAATTAGCAATGTTTACAGTTTTTAACTTGTTAAGACTATTTTTAGGTAAGTATGTAAATACACACGATACTTAATCGAGTAGGGTGAAAATCGATGTTACATACGCTAAAATAAAGAGCAAATATTTATGTGAGTCATCATTCCATTGCTGAATCAAGTCTAAAAGCATTCACGCACGGACACCTTAAACGATTCGGTGAGTCAGTCACTGGCACAAATCAAACATCAAATATTTGTTCGTTTCTGCTCCACGTGTAAGAGCTTCAAATTCTTACCGATGGTCTCGTACTGGTTTATTTTACTGTACTCTAGCTCTACCCACCCCAATATACATACGTACACTTTGGAATTCGACCCGTTTTTTACGAACAAATTATTCACTAAGCAAAGAAGGACGACCAAGACCACGACGACTTGAGACGATTACGCTTTCACTTTCCCCAGTTCTAAAGGGAGTAATGAAAGAGGCTGCTGGTTTGAATACTAAAAAAATTCCTCTGGACAAAAAATAGTCCAGTTCTAGTTGTTTTTTGTGACTTTCGATGTACCTACCTATTTATTCTCACTCGTAGTACTTTCAATTGGATACGTCTAATACTATCTAGTACTTTTTTTTTTTTTTTTAGATATTTCAGATTTTTCGTTTACTCCGCTTTCTCCATTTCCGCATTCTATGTATCTTACATTTCAAGTGTGAATTATGTAAAGGAAAAAAGTAAGCAAAAGTTTTATAACATGGAATTAAATATAAAATGTTTTATAAGTTGTTGATGCGTTTTTCTCCTTGGGGTGATTTGTGGGTACACATTTTACTTGGAGGTACCCAACGCATCGAACTTTTACACCATTTATTTCTATCACATTTCTGAAATAATATAGATCTAAAAAATCGGGAGAGGAAATAAATAACATATTCGAACCCTATCCACTCTCCGGGGGGTTGGTCGTTGGTGAAAGTAAGGAAAAACTCGGAGAGAAACACATTGATGCTTTATGATGGCGTTTTTTTGCCAGCACGATGGGGTTATCTTGTATAACATGAATCGGAATATGTCAAAAAAATCGCAACAACAACAATATCAGAAAGAACAGGAAATAAGAAAGACGGACTATGCTGCTGTTGCTGCCAGAATGCAGTGCTAGTCGTAGCTCTGGATAATCGAATCATAAACACTTGTCCGATCCCAATCAGGATTTGAGCAGGATTTATCCAGCTGCGAGGAGTCGACGTGCAGATTCTCCCAGTAAACAATTCACTCTTTTTGTATTTATTTTGCGAGTTTTCTTTGACTAGCAGAAATCCAGAGTAGTGCAATGTGTAAAGAGAAAGTGAAGAGTAAAACGCAATCAGAGTTGTTTCGGAGCCACTTTTTTTACAGAGCAAACTGACCGGAAAATTGAGTTGCAAAGAAAAATAGTGCGGAAATTAGACCAGTTTACTAGGTGCAATAAACATTATATATTTCCCGAGAGCTGTTCTTCTATTTCCAGACAGTGAACCAGACCTGCTGGTTGGCCTTCCTTCGAAGGAGTGGATTCCATACAAAATATATAGTCGGATGATATCTACCTGCTGCTCGTAGTACGGCCTCCCCAATTTCTTGGGCTAAATCCACCAGCAATTCTACTTTTAGTACTTTCACCGACCAACACGTTTCCTTTGTTTTATTCGGGAAATCCCGCGGGATTAAGATGGACAGACTAAATAATGGTCTCACACGGCTCTAAATAGATCTTAACTGGACTTTTTGCTATCTTGATGATTCATAAATTTGAACTTAATGGGTCCAATGAATTAGAATAATGGTGACATATGTAAACCTGCTTTTGTTACCTACATGGGTAGCTTATTTCATTAAATCATTTCAGAACAGTAATTATTAGAGGGTGACTAATTCCTCCCTAATGCAACATATTCAACAGGAAGTGTGTTTTATTAATGGCTTATGAGGAAGTCAAGACCTATATTTATTTACGAGGTCATACCTCAACGTCGTGTTCATCGTGTCCATCTCGTATGGATTGCCGTCAAAGTTGTTCACATGATTGGTTTGCCGACCCATCCTGGACTTTCGCAAGCAGGGGAAGAAAGCCAGGAAATATTTCCGATACTTGTCAGACAAAGCAGTGTAGAGGAGCTGTAATAATAACGTCAATGTTCACAACTTTCTCGTGATAGATTAGAAAAGTGTGTGTTGCTTACAAAGTTGATGGACGCGTTGATGGCAACTAAGAGGTTAAAAATGTTTCCTAAGCCTAAAAGTAAAAATCCTTCCGAAGACCTGTCGACATACGATGCACGTTAATTACACAATATTTTTATCAGGCTGTTTGAAATATTACGTTATACTTACGAATAGTCAACCAACTTTATCGAGGTGTAGATAAGTACGATTGCAGTAGGAGATTGACAAACAAGAAATACTATTACAACCGAGATGAGAATGATGGTTATCCTGTTTTCTTGTCGAATTGCCTGCAATACAGACAGAGACGTAAGAGTTTGACATTTGAGTTTTCAAAATGTGACTCATTTGGATTAAAATTCAAAAACAAAAATAGCATTTACGCATCCATATTAATTAAGTAAATGACTGTACAATTTGAGCGAATTAATATGCTTCTCTCCTCGTAAGCTTATGTATACATATGCATTTAAACTGATGGCACCTCTAATGCCTCGCGTCATTCATTCTGTACTTGACGATGCCACCCACAACAAGTATTTCAATAATGGTTATATGATGGTTATGATGGCAGTAGAACTTTTAATTTGCACATTTTGCTCCAGCTACGAGCACTCTTACTACATACTCCACATGCACACAAATTAATTAAAAATTAGCATGTAAATCCCACACCCGAAAAGTGAGAAGGGATTTGCCGCAGGGATTATGTGTGTGGTCGCCCACATTGGGTCCGTTAAATTTCAAGGAATTACTGAAAAACTAGTATCTTGTGGGAGTGAGTACTGCTAATAAATATGGAGGATTGTACACAACAAATCTTCAAAATTACGGAAATCCGCCCTTTGTTCTTACGTATTGAATACAAATGAGGAAACTCATACTCCCAAATCTACCGGGTATTATATATTTATATGCACCGAATTCGGATACATTCCTCCAGTTAATAAAATTCTCGCCTCAGTCGGGAGCCTAGTCTTGTAGTCATTTATCCTCGCACTCACATGGATCACTTGCTGGTTTAATTTTACGCCTGAATAAATCCTGCTTTAATCAAGGACTCTCGTACGTTCAACCACTACAATCGAACTTGATAATATGTGGGCATGCAATTCTGTGGCTCCCTCCGTATTTGCGAAAAATTTAATTAGTTTTCCCCACAAATTGCATATCGGCGATGCAGTAGGCGGTAATAAAGGGCAGAAATTATGTGACGTGTTGTACACTATTATGGCAGCATATTTACGTATTCATAACTGGTCACCACCTACCTGGATGTGACGGACGGACGAATTTTGGTGTTGATCGGTCATCGTCTTCCTCAAATCTCTCGAGTGTCTGACGGCTTGAATGAGGAAAAAGTTGAAAATCGCCAAAATCACGACAGGTAAGAAGATGAAGAATATGGATGAAAACCAGTGATAAATCAATCGATACATCTCATTTTTCCCAAATTCGGTCGGTTCCAGTCTATAGATCTGTCGAAAACACAATAGAATTGCATTATATGCTGAGGTTGGTATACATACATAAATAATAAAATCCCATAATTCCGACATTTAGCAACTACTTTACTCTCAAAATAGCACAAGTCCGTTACTCCACTGTGGTAATATCGCATAACAAAGGAGAGAAAGCAGTAAGGAAAAATTGGTGCAGTTTCTTTAATACACAGAAATCTCAAGGTCTTCCAACTTTCTCCAATTCAGGGTTCACCAAAAATTATCCATATTTCATGGGTACACAACTGCTTAAGGATGCAGAATAAAATTTAGCTAACTTACACAGAAACCCTACGTACGTTGTTACATACGTACATCTAAGACATGGGTTTATCCATTCCTGCTGGCACATGAGCCGACGTTTCCTCTTCGCATAAAATAAAATAAAACTTAATGACCCGAAAAGCGAAATCTGGAACTGGCTGATCATCTAAAACCAACCCTGGTGGGCAACTATCTGCTTGGATAAACTGTATTTTGTAGCTAAGATTGAATGAATATGATCTCTGATCCGTGTATCCATACGTTTTCCTCTCGCACTAGGAGTACACTTACTCATACCGAAATTTGGCCGTAGATAATGCATAATATTACACAATTCAAGATCACACACAGGAAGGGGTTGAGCCTCTGGTTTTGGCAAATCAAAGAGTCATGATATTCTATTATGAGGTGAAGGAAACGAGGGGACATATTTCCACCACATTTCTTATTAGTATGCTTCACGAACAACTCCTCGGTCTGCTCATGATTTTCTGTGCCAAAATAATATTGAGAATGATACAATATGCTGCCCACGCCCATTACCCAGAAGACGCTGCTATATATATAAATACACATCGTACCCAGTACTTTACACTTTCACCAGCATTATTCTTTACTCGAGTAACGTACTAGTTTTTTTAATGATGACGAGGATTTGTCACGGATGAGTGAGTAAACTTTCAAAAAAACAAAGCTTATTTTCACATAATGACAAGAAAAAATCCACTTTTTTTCATTCATTCGTATTTGAAATGGTGGCACCGGGACCTCGTTAGACGTAGAGTTATCGCTCGTTAAGTTAGTTTACATTACGTATGTACTCACCGTTTCGTTGAAGGAATTCGTACTGTTCGCCACGGTGGCAGCCGTCCATTCGAAAGGGGTTGGAGAAGTGACCGCAAAACAGATCAAGTACACACCAATCGCCACTTTCACCGCTCTCTCCTCCGTACAAAGGACCTTCAAGTCAAAAATCCACCACTAAATGCAACTTTTAATTTACCCGTTGTCCACTCCACAAAAGTTTCTACTCTCCAATCTATTTACAACTATTACAAAGTCCCGTTATTACTACTACGCATCTGCCTAATTTTCATTAGAAATGGAGAAAGTGCATTGATTATTGAGTTTATTAAGTAGTGTTAATTTCATTATTGGGCAGAATAAGTCATCAATTTGTACCGACCTTTCCACGCAGGGGGAAACACACGGCAATATATCGTTCAATCTGTGGGTAAAATATTTAGGTGAAAGTTTTTATATGTAACAAGTATGTATTTATAGTAACTCACGGTAAAGCTGACTGTGAGCCAAACGGACGTTGAGCCTGCAAGAGAAACAAGAAAGTTATTAATTTGAAACATGTTTTGTTTTGTGCTTGTCAGCCCATGTTAATTTTTTAATGTCAGCCTCCTGTCAGACTCAGGAGAGGAGTGTTGTCTATGGGAAATAAAATCAAAGCCGGCAGAGTTTTAGGATGCCCGTCCAAATTATCGTGCCCTAAATAAATACCTACTTTTTTTCCTCATCAGTTCAACTCTTAAAGCGTATTCTGTACGATAGGCTGCAATCTTTTTTTACATGGAGTCTCACTTAATTCTTAAGAAACTATTTAATCATCCTTAAAACGCACATAAGGGTGATATGATCTGTCTTTGATCCCACTTCACAACAACATGATATTCCTCTTGGCAAAAAGAAAAGAAGCCGAAGAAGAGCCGCTTTCCTGTCCTTTTTTTCTTTTTAAGTAGCAATATAAGATTTAAAGGTACCCAACTGAAAAAGGAGAATAAAAAGTGTACCCACTCAGGCATACGAGTACATAAAGAAGAGAAAAAAAGATGAGGTGGATGCAGCATCATGAATGAGATGCAGAGAGACTGCCCTATTTTTACATTCCATCGGAAAGTACCCCATCTGCAGAGATACATCATTTTACACCATGTATGCTAATTCCATATCCTCAAATCCGATGCGGATAAATAAATCATCCTCTTTTTCATAAAGGAAACAGCCACGGGGAAGTAAATATAGATGGAAAATTTCGGCAGGGAATCCAATCCACCAGGTAGTGAATACCTACCAGTATGTACACAGGAGAGAAAAAAAGGCACCTTATGCTTAAGAAGTTGTGTGCCCAACCAAATCACCACCAAATGCCGCCATGTGATGTCTACGTTTTTGTATGTATATCAAAGTAACGAGGACCGACTTTCTCCTCCAAAAAAAATGGGAACAGACTTTTTGCTCGTTGGGACAAAGCGGAACAAAACTTTCCCATTCAAAACCATTTACAAAATCGGTCAAAAGTTGTCCGCGTGCAGTTTTAAGCATCATTCACCTTCATTAATTCAACTCTCAGCTTTTGGTGACACGGCACAAATATTTCACGGGATTTTGGAAAATGGCAATCAAAGGATAAAATATCCCCACGTGAAATGCCGGTGGGTGACAAGTAGGCTGAGTAATGACCACAGGGGCATGGATAAAATTATCCTTGAAAACCGTTCAAACTTTCCCTACTCGACATACAATTCAGGCTCCCAGCGAGTGGAGTACGGAGAACACACCTCTGATTCTAATATGGAAAACTGGATGTGACAGGTGGGACTGACTTTGTTGAATGCTCGTACATACGTATGTCGTGAACTCTTTGTTTTCCGGGAGGGATGAGGAAAACGTGTTGGTTAGTACATACATAACCAGAAGAAATGTCTACCGTTGGAACCACTTTATTTGCAAATTCAAAAAGTGCTTTAGAGCAGAACAAAACCGGCTGAACGTCACAAGTTGCACGGTTATGTGACCCGATTTCCATCCATTGTTGCACATACTCGTCGGCGGCTCGATTCCATTTCTCATCCGACGAATGAGACGAAAGGTTAAACGACTTGGGATTGTCAACGCTTAATCAAATTCGTCAAGGCAGATTGAAGAGTGTGGAATGCTTGAATGTGCAATACCATTTCAAAACTTCATTTTTCAACTTGGTCATTTCAAGTTTGGTGCTTCCGCAACTTAACCGCTTATCGTGTCGAGTCCCCTCTTCCATTAAATCCACTCTGCCGACTTACCGTTCGTAGGTAAGCGTTGTATCATCATATGCTACCAAATATCTGGTTCGTGCTTTGGGTTCATTTGGACTACAAAAAGTTCTTGTACATATTCTTCATGTCAAAAGTTACTTAATTTTGACCGGAACTTGATGGCTTCCAAACCATTAATTCAACTTGGTGAATTGGCATTCCAATCCTTCATCGGTAAAATGTAAATACTTAAAATGATAAATATGGACATCAATTTGGCCAGTTTCGTATCCATTCATTCTTTGAAAATGGCGTAATATCCTGGCAGATGGTTTAGGTAAATATTTTCAGTCTCGGTCTAGCCCATTGATAAATTATGAGACACGAAACAAAAGAACACATTAAGAGAAAGTGGCGAGAATCAATTTATAACGATGCAGTTTGACTTTGTAATTAAATGCTTGCTTACTTAAGAGAAATATATTTATAACAACTTCGTCCGACACGTCTGGTGACTGTTCAATGTCGTCATCGAAAGTGAAACTGCTGGTTGAAATATGAGTCTTATAATGAGCTTTTGATCCCTATTTGATTCATGCCTTACGTCGAGTTTGGAGACTTTTCAGTTAGATTGACGTTCTTTTGTGCTGCTTGGTTGGCAGACAGAGTCGTAACAAATCAGGACAGGACAGACAATAGTTCAGCTCGATTTCTCGGATTCACGCCTTTTCCATCTCGCCGTCTCTCTTTTTCGAGTGCAATGAAATTAAAGTAATCGTTCGATTAAGTTGAAATTGCAATGCTCGAATAGATTTACATTCCAGAGAAACAAAAACAATCAAGATTTGCGTAGGTGTATTTATATGCACATAAAATAATAGCACAATAGGTTATAGGATGACGTAAAAATAAATTGGACTGGTAAGGTTGTCACAAAAATGTGCGCCATGCATCAACGAACGACAGCATTTTTTCAACTCCAGTGAAACTGGAATTATGTAGTTTAGCATGGATGGGTCAATCCAATCCAGGTTCGCCACAACATAAAAAACAAGAACTCTTGTGGTAGTAGAAGGATCGATATAAAATCGCAGTTTGCATGCCTAAATTCTATAAAAACCCGTTGCCATTCGTAAAATTTGCATTCTACAAAAGTCCAGAAGAGGAATGTGCTCACATTTTGTTATGTTTCCACATCCAGCTTAAGTGTGGGAACTAGTCCAATCTGGGATGGTATAGACCCATTACGATAAATTATTCAAATGGCATACGTTAAATATAAATGTGTCCTTTGAGAATTTACAATCCCTCATAACTTAGCCATCCAAAAGCTTCAAAAATCCAGCATCCCAGTTCAAACGAAAAGCCATGAAAGTGAAAGTTTGTGCGTCTGGTCTCCACCAACAGGCTATTAACTTTGTGTGTAATTTGACAAAGTCAAAGTCACAGAGAGACACACGTCATGGTGGTTAGTCATCACAGATGGGAGAATGTTTGAGAGAAAGTGGCCAGCTTTTTATGAAAGGGAATTAAATGGATGGACAAACCCGCGATTCGATTTGTATGTAATGTAATGTATGTTACCATCATCCATTTACTGCATACTGCATGAGTTCAGCATGAGCTCGGTTTTTCTCACAAATACGAAATGCTACTATCATCAACGTGCATTGTTCGTGTGTAATTCCACGCATCCTCAGCTTGCCAATTGTATTTTGGTCTTGTTTTGTACACACTAAAGCAGAAAAGCAGGACGGATCTGGTGGAAAATCTTGGGAGAGGAATTGTGTCTCTTCTCCATCGGAAATTGGCTTCTCTCCTCCTTTCGCTCGGATGGGTGGAAGCTATGTATTTGTATCTGGTCGGGTAACGCGTGGACCTCACCAACCACATAAAGATATCAGGATTTCATTTTTCTTTCGCGAACGGATTTCTACTTTTCCTCGTGTGGATGTGGACGAACAATGAATTCCACATTCGAATTCATTCGGATCACATCAATCTTCAATCTAATCCATTGACACAGAAGAACATTTCCTTCTTCGCAGACAGGATGAGTGCGAGGAGTGAAAGTCAATGCCGTATTATTCTACTTATCAGAGGTATTTTCTTATATGTACGTACACACCTAGACTTTTATTTGTATTAAAGATTTTTGTCGCCTACTCGAAGTGCACGCATTCATGAAAGGAGTTCATATATATGGAATTATGGATCTAATATTAGAAAAGTCTTAAATAATGTGCGCCTTCTTACTATTTGTAATGTATATGCATAATAATAACCACAGTTCTATCTATAATTTCCAGACAGACATGAATGACGTAAATAAATGCATGACCACTATTTTTGGAAATTGAGAAAATTCTCCAATGCCATAATAAATACGATTGAGTTCCCCCAAGTGGAATATGTATATGTATCTCCCACTGTAAAGAATTTTCACGAATTTCATCAACCTACGACTCCCACTCGAAAATGAAAGTGATGGTGGCGGATCCTGTCTCTGTATAATCCTGCCATTGCAATTCCGTATCTTGCATCCTCCTCATTCTGTCGACAAGGTCTAGAAAATGAAACCCAAAATTTATCTCCGGAATTGAGCCCGGTGTGTGTGGGGATTATTCCCTTGATGTCTGAGGGAGAGACGCCAAGAATTTCCAATGCAGGCAACCCAGCCAGCCTTCTTATCAATGCAAGAAGACAATAGAAATTCAAAATTTGCAATGCATATAATTCACTTTCTTCTTGGAAATCATTAAACATACATCGCCAGACAGCAGCGTCTCGATTTTCCCATTAATCTTAGACTCGTACTCTTCCACTGATCGATATGCATATGAATGTACATACATATACGGAGTGTATAGCATCTGCATAAATTATTTGAAAAAATGTCCATCGCTTACACATGTCTGTCAACTTATGTATGCGTACAATTAGATTCAAAATACTAAGAAAACGCATCCCACAGTATCCAAAATTTCAAACTTTATCTTTAAATGTGAGTGACTGCAACCCAAGAATTACGAGTTACAACTATTGTAATCCCTCAAAAAACAACAAACTGTCAAACTTTCAAAACTGTTTATATAACTGACCAAAAAAATATATTATGTCAATTTGATACTGTTTAAGTCAAAATTACGCCAACACGAGCTGCCTTCATATCTGTGGGTGGGCGAATTTATGACATAAAGAGGCTGACACAAATCCCAATGATCTCTGAATACATAATGAGAAAAAAGTTTCAGAAGATCCGCAACTTGAGGACGCATCGAGCACCACGACAAAACTTAAAACAAGCTCGTTTCACTTCATTTGCCGTCGTCGTATTTAGTTGAAGAAGGAAAACTTTCTTGTGACTCTTTCTCCCAAACATGACAAGGACGAGGAGGACGGGAAATGTACCGCATGAGATATATGTATGAATTACAAAGGTTTTTATAATAAAATCTTACAGTCTGCTGCCCTTCCTCCACATTAGGGCCACTTTTTAGACCGGCAAAACTTCCAATAATGCCCTTGTCTCGAGATTTTACATGGAAAGGGAGAGTCTCACTTTCTCCATATCTTTTCCTACTCTCATCCTCGGAAACTTTCCCTCTGCACTTTTCCCATTCATCAATATCAACCCAAACTTTAAATCCTAACTGGACTCGTGACAAGACTATATCTGCTTAATTAATGATGAGCCATCCAAACGCTTTAAGTTAAGCCTGTAAAATTTCAAGGTTCAAGGGTATCGATCCAAATCTAAAGCGTGGCTTAGTCATGCGATGTAAATTTTAATTATAATGTTTACTATGGCCAAATTGGTATAAGTACAGGAATAATTGTATACAATTACAAACATTAAGTGGTATGGCTTATTTGGGTAAATCGATATGAAACCAGGCTTGATTTCAACCTCAATCAAAACAAATGTGAGGTCGTGAGTCCCAAATTCCGGAAACTAACTTTTTAACCTGTTATCAGTACAAATGTGCCCGTAATCGCTAGTAACATGTGTAAATAGATAAATGATTAGCTGTGTAACCTGCAGCGAAACATCAATTGTATGATACAATACGCAATTAAGCTTTTAGTAAATAATAATGATTACCATAAAATGGCACTACAACATATGTTGCAAAGATAGTAATTTCAAAATGAAGCTTTAAATTACTAGTGAAGTATGTACCACAGATTTTACACAAGTCATATTAATTATAATTATTACTCCTGGCCATAAATTCCATTTAATGCAGATTCAACCAGTTCGTGTAGCTATAAATTTAGCACGGTGAAATTTGAGGACTGAAACACTCATGTGCAGGCAATATTTATGACACAACCTTGAGCTGTTCATACATATATGCATTTCAATGAAGAACGATGTCATTAATTCATAGGACGACGCACACAGTGTATTTACAACAACAATAAAAAACAATTTATCATCCTGATCCCGTGAGATCGGATATCATTACTATAGATCAGGACTTACTAGCAGCGTCGGTTAACCAGAAACCGAAGGGTAGGTACCAAAAGTACATCCAAATAGTTTCCACTCCCGGATAAAATCGCCACGACATGGAGAAGGAGAAGAGGAGAAACATCAGATCAGAGACGGCCAGGGCGCACAAATATCTGCAAAAACGAAAACAATAATAATAATAGATAATCCAGCATGTCCTGCGTATTTGTGGATAAACTAAACTACACATGTACATATATTTAAGCATGACGTATGTATGAAAAGGGGTGACGGTGTCAATTCCATGTGTCATTCATACTCAACAACCGCAAGACTGCTTCCACATCCTCATGTCATAGATTATCTTTTGATATGCATATTTACACTATCGCTATGTAGAAACGATTTTCGGGGCATAATTATTATTTACTCAGCACTTTGTCCTGTCTGGACAATCTCTTCCCATGAGAGTTGACAACAAGAGTGAGGCAAAAGCAAACTGTTCCGTTGAGTAGACGTCCCCCAAATGGAAAGATGTGGTTATGCTGACGTGACTTTATCTCTCAGGGCAGGACAGATTTTCTAGATTTTCGAATTGCAGAATAATTGCACTTGTTCATCAAATGTGCAAACTTCCGACAATCATTGCGGTCCCAGACCCGTAAGTCCTCCAATTTCCATTTTCCCCTTTGTCATTGGTGATGATGCGGTTTTGAGTGAGAGTGGAATAACGCGTTTCCTCCTCTAAAGTGGGGGAAATTGTGCCTCGAAGACGTTCATGACACGCCTCCGCTTGCTAACGAGGCCGTACAAATTCGAATATCATCCCGAGAGGAAGTCCTACACCATCATCATCAAGGTGATGCACCCACAAGGACCAAGCTCTCTAGCTTTATTTGTGTATATTCTTGAGGTCTGAATGATAAATATTGCCTGGTCACGGGAATTCAAGGGCTTTCAAGAAGAAGCCTTTGAAGAAATGAGAAAAGAAAAGTTGCCAACTGTCAAAAACAGGGGATGTGGAGACAGTCAGTGGCAGAGACGGGCGACAACTGGCGACCTGAATAAGTCGCCTGAATGTCATGTACATTCATACAAATATGGTCGTGGTTAGACATTAATGCGTTTAGCAACTCTTCCTTTTAACAAAAATTTTGCTTTCACCAAGTCCACCGAGCTTAATTTTTGGCACTAACAGAGCGGGGTTTTATCATGTGTGACTTACTGGATAAAGGCTCCTGAGTATATGACATGGAATTCATGAGTTGCTGAGATTTTGAGCTAAATACATATTTACATATATGCGATGTGTAACAAGTTTCGCCTTTTCAAAGTGTTATCAACTAGTCGCCGGACAGAACTAAAGTGTGACATCCGTTCCAGACTTTAGATTAGTTACAACTACTATTTTAACCTTTTTCAGAATTGAAATTTCTCATATGAAACGAAACAACTACTACTTTCTCCCAGGAAAGTTATGCTCTGGTGAAATTACGAGAATAATTTGAACAACAAGCTGTCATATTTATAATGACGTTCCTCAAAGGAATTTTAACTTTATCTATTGTTTATTGCTCCTTTACTCTCCTGAGATCTATTCCATCTTTGTATCCGAGATTATACAATGATATGCGTTACACGTGCCATGTTGTGTAAGTACCTATACCTATCAAAACAATATATTTATGCTAATTTTAATTTGACTTGTTTTCTCATAAACTGTTTCCCCTGTTCCCTACTCATTTTATAAATACTTATTCAGCCTTTGATCTATTTTGTCGTAATGTTTGTGACACTGTTAGAAAGCTACAAAGGAAAATTGAACAAAATGAAACTTCTACATTATTATTCGTTCTCGTCTTTGTATCTGTTTTCTAAAAAAATTCTAACGCTTTCCTTTCACGAATATCTTTATTTTTATAAAATGCGAGATTAAATACTGTTTTGATCTATTGTCTCTGGATCAAGCTGTGCCTATAGTGTTGGTTGGAATGGTTACTTCTGACATTTGAACCAGAAGAGTCAAGAGGGCGTGAAAACAAAGACTTTCCAAATCTCTCGACTTCCATTCAAAGTATTTATTTCGGAGAGAAAGTGAAAAAAGATTTACGCTATTTTCAGGTAGCGACTATGTAACTTATGCAAAAAAGGAAACAATATATTCTGCCCCCTCACTTTTGGAGAGTAGTTCACACTTTTTTAATGCATGGTGGACATAATACTTTGACCTGGTGAGATTAACTCGTTGAACTTTCACCTTTAAGGTAAATATCCGATTCTGCACTTTTCCAATACTGCATCTTTTATGCAGCGAGGCGAGGCTCACGATCCCACTTGCGTTAGTGGAAGAAGAAAATAAAATAAATATTTTTCCAGTGGTCAGACGACTATATACACAAACACTTTCTCAGTTTCGTGGAAAAACTCGTTATTCCTGCCAGAGAATTCAATGCCTCCTGCTTTTCATGTCCCACGGAGAACTACCAGGATTCAGGCATTTTGTCCATTATTTTGTCCTGCATGCATGCACATACATATGCCGTGTTGGTTGGTCCATCACGACCGAATTTTACCCACGGGTCATCTCACCGAGAAAACTTGCTTTTAGTTTACATTGAGACATATCAAAACTAAATTCAGTGTCCAATCCGGTGGAACAGAATCAAATACGAGCGTAAAAAAATAATCTTAAACAGTTTGGGCTTTAAATGGTATATATGCGGCAGCACTCAAAATGCAGTAGATGAAAATTCTTTCGGGTCTAGTTTATGATATTGTCAGTACCCATGGAATGGATAGAAATACTTGAGACGACGCTATCTAAAGTGTGCAAGGAGCACGGTTCCCCGCACATTTTTCCAACATATTGGACTAAATTACTTTTCCGTGGTATTACCCTCGCCACGTGTTAATATAAGAAATCGAATAATGCTATGTATATTATCTCCATTTACATTTTGTTTAAAAATTTACACTCTTATCAGAAACGTAGAGAAAGTTAGAAAAGCTCGGATGATTAAATTTCCGCCAGTTCTTCAGATTTAGTCTGATTCAGAATGAAACGACTTTGATTGAGCGACAATTGATTCGTTAGCAATATAAATGTAAATTTTAGGTAAAATTCGACCATATTTGGAAGAATTTGACGTGGTAGGTACCTCTTGATACGACCTATTTACATATCATGCTAAGAAGACAACTAACGAAAATATGTGGTCGACTCGGAGTTCTCAGTATGCGATAAGTGTCTCCCACTTATGTAATATTACGACAAACCTCTTATTCAACAGTGGTGATAAATAACGGTTAAACTTTCGGCATGGAAGTGAAACGGAGAAGAATGAGAAACCGTGTTTATGAGCACTTGAAGCATACTTGCTACTTTTCACATCATAACTTCACCTATTTAGATGCTATGTAAATACATGCGGGGCTCTTAAAAATTCCTCTTCTTCTCACCGTATCATTTAAATTAGGGGTAAGTTAGCAAACTAATTAACTAAATTAATTGCCTCTCCAGAAAACTCGAGGGGAGGAAAGCATAAGTATTTATAATCTTACTTTTACGAGGACTAAATAAAGTGTTGGGAGCACGATGCAGTATCTATGTACATGCAGATGAAGAACAGTCTTTCTTCATAATTGCCATCAAAGGACAAAGTTTAGAGTGGAAAGTGATGTATATCAAATTGTTATCTGTTCCTGAGCTTAAGTATAACTTTCATTACGACGCTCTCCAATGTCACGGCCTTATCAATGATATATACATAAAAGAGGATCTCGTTTTTATGACGGTAGAAAAAAAAATGTGAGTATAATATTTATTGGACACATTATTGTCTCCATTTTTCACGCGTTCTTAATAAAGTGTGGAGGGAGCAGATTAAATTAAAAGATTTGAAGGTTGCCCTGCTCTTTCAACCAGTCCAAGAGCAAGGTTGCAATGACAGTTAATCAAAGTGTGAAACAAGCAGTGTAACAAACATACGTACGACTGCCACATATTATTTTTGTAGTAAATATTGGTGCCAAGTATTTTTTTTTAGTTCAACATCTCAAACGCAAAAGTCTCTCATTTTCACATCTCTTCTCAAGATCTTGGCTGAGAACCTCGGTTGAAATTTAGACACCCACCAAGCCATGGGAAGTATCAAGCCACGCCACGGCCCGAGTGGAAACAGGGTGAGAAACGGGCAACAACTGGAACAAGTCGTAGATCAATTTAGCAGACTCTCCAACCAAGTTTTGACTTCATCTTGACTAAAAGAACGGAAAAGACCGTTAATGGTTATTAGTGGGATGGGAGGATAGCAGTCGTGTAGAACGGCCATGTGTTTTTGACACTGTAATTTAATTCCCAAAAAAGTCCCGTCCTATCAAAATAAAGAAACTTTACCAAAAGTAAGTAGAAAGTTTCTTTTTTTTTCAAATGGCAAACTGCATTCAGATTCGCGAAAAAAAAGTTGCCCAAAATTAATGAAGTTATAGCAGACATAAAAATGTATGCCCCTTGACGATTCCAGTACTAATGCATGTTATTGATGTTGAATAAATTGAGTAAAGTGTTGCTAGTACTTACACATTAGTCGAGGATCTCATCGGTCTCCGGGTGAGGATGTAAATCGTCACGAGATTTCCCAGCACTCCGACAATCACCACGATGGGGACGAGGACGCGTTGAACCCAAAATCTGGACAGGTCACGGAACGACTCTTCCCAGGAAATTGCTCCATCTTCCACAAAATCAGCGTCACCGAGTGAAACTCCGGTGAGATTTATAATGTCGGGTCCGCCAAGGGTAAAATTGTCGAGGTTTGGGTGACCTTCGCTCCCAAAGTGGTATCCCATCTCATTCGAATCCATCATTAAACCCTTTTCTTCCAAGTGTCTCTCCTTTTTCAATTGAAATTGAGTGATTGAGTCCTTTTAAAAGTTAAATTTCAGACGTGACACGGAATATAAAGTCAGAGTCGTCTGTGCAGCAAAATAGTCACTGATTGAGTGAGTACTTTCTTATTTTTTTCTACCACCCTGATTTCAACTTCATCATCAATAATGCAATTAGATTTTTTCCAGGAATGTCGTTGATTTCGACAGTAATAAATCTCACAGCTAAAATAAAGTGGTCAATCCCAAGAGTACACCGTAGGTATTTGTACACTCCACTTCAACAACTTTGTAGAGGAATGCTTATTTTTTTCGAGTGCACTATTTCTTCAGAGTGAGTTAGGAGCTTGTAATTTTTGCAAAAGTCTTGGCTTGGTTGGTTGTGACCTGAATTTAAAAACGTGTCTTAAATTACTTCAATCTTCTGCTGCTGGTGATAGTGCGGAATTACAAATTGCAAAGTATATTTCCCGCATTACATAATGTAGTGGAATGAGGAGCATACATAATAACACACGTCTGAGCACAGAAAGTGCATAGACACGAGACGACTCGTAGGTTTTTAATGTCAGCAGCTTTCCACCTTCATTTAGTGGTTTGGTTTGGAAGTGAGGTCGAGTTGGTACTTGGTTTGCAAAAGTCTGTTACACGAGTTGAGAAGAATTCACTTTGGAGACTTGACTTTCACCGTGTTCTACGCCATCCATCCGTCCTTACAAAGTGGATTCTAAACCAAACCGGATTGGACATAAATCCCATCCGAGGAAGAAGAAGAGTTGTGCATGTAATGGGGTGGCCTGGCTTAATCACATGTACCAAAAAACATACTCAAGTTTTAGGTATCTGCCCTGAAGTTTATTTTGCTGGTGAATGGAACTTAGCCAATATGCAGTGCATACATATATACACTGGGGATAATATAAATTTTAAATTATAGCCACAAATTCCACTTCACTTTAATCAACTTGGGATGTGGAGGAGTCAGAGTTGTGTGAAATAATGTTATGATGAAGCGGGATGATGATTTTATGCTCAATTCCGGTTTCTCGAGTGTCAGTCTCATCACTTTGTAATGACATGAGTAATCATATCATATCACATCATCCGAAAAGGTTCATGTATGACGGACGAATCTCATCTTCGTCTTCTCCAGAAGTAGAAGTATGACGAGTTGGAGTTGTTGTATCCTCCAGCTCCGGTGAGATTACGTGTCTGCTTTCCTTTTTCGGGTGGTGGTGGTCTTGGTGTCGAGATGATTTTATAACAAAATCTCTTTCTCACAAGAAAATTTACAATGTGGTGCTCGTCCGTTGGTTTTGCAAACTCTATTTGAAATTTGAGACCAAGATTGAGATCAAGTTCTTGTCAGAGTTTACAAAGACATTCATAAATCCGGATTCACAAAGTTCCCACATAAATAAATTGTATCTTTTTTATATTTAATCTCCGAATCTTATTTATTTGGCTGTCTAAATCTCTTTATGTATGCTTTCACGGGTCTCACACAGTAAAAAGCTATGCATAACGAACGACACGGCTGCTACAAGTCAGTGTTGTCACGTGGTCGGATTTCCTGAAATCTTTTGAAAGCGTACAACTTTCCCCAGAAGAAGAATGGAATTCACCAATAATATGTATTTCTTAGCACTCTGAGTCACAAGTTATGTATTCCTTGATCATATTACAATGCGTCACTACACCACAAATCTTATTATTTATGTTCATGTAATAATAATAATAATCCTACGGAACGAGCTCTCGAGGCTGAAAATCGTTTAAATCTTCAAATTCAATTATAATGTTATTCGAGTTGGTCGGATCTACTTCACAAATTGAAGTACGTCTCAGCACGCACGAACGAACCAAACACGGGTTCTTCTTCGTCTGTTGTCTTGTTGTAAGTACTTCGAGTCAAGTTCAGGAACCACGAGGTTGAGGATCTGCGAGAGAGAAGATAACAACGCATCATCAATTTATGTATGTCTTGATATGCGTGTCGCAGGTGGACACGAATTCATTCTATGCTTCTCCCACTACAACAATAACACTGCACTTGAGAAGGCAGTGACCGCAGTTGGAGGAGTGCTTTCTTTAATTATAAACAGACGGAATTGTGGTGTATATAACCTCAGCTATTTATTTTATTGGGCACGAAATAAGGGGGAAATTTCACATCAAGACTTTCACCTGGTGTAATTAGGATATAGACCTTTCACTATAGCGGCACTCGTATCTGCCCAAACAACGCACACATTAAACAAATCCATGGGAAAACCCCAATCAACTTTGTGTATCTGTTGCGGTGTGCTTTAGTACAATAAGAGCTTTAAGAAAGACGTCGGATCCTAACTAAATCGCGACTGCTGACTAAATAACTTTGTAAATTGTGTTGTGTGTGCGAAAGCGGAGCAACTGATACACGTTCTCCTCGCAAAACTAGAAATGTATATGCACTGCACATTTCTTCTTATCCAGAGGAGCTGAGATGAGACGACGACGACGACCATAACCATGCATTATGCTCCCATTAGCAAAGGTTACACAATTCACGATCAAGACTCAAGAACGCCAGTCGGTCCGTGCTCGCTTCGGTCGGTGCTGGCAGGAGGACTAATGCAGAGAAACTTAATCATTTCAAGCTCTCATCTCCTCTCTGACATCAGCCATTGTCGTCGTCGTATTTTAATTATTTTGGTCTTCTTTGGTAGGCAGAGAGAAAGTAGGCCTCCAGTTAAACGTGAATGAGATTGCCTACGCTAAATTCAAGATTGACATTGTCCCACGCTTAAAAATATTTGGTTCTTATGAAATGCAAATATTTAGCTAGACTGTCACTATTTCTACGTTTTCTTCGTAGATAGATTGACGATAACTTTAAAAGGAAGTGGAAAATGGATCATGACAATAACATGGATTTACCTACTACGATTGTATCAACCTCTTTTTGTTCTTCTGTAGAAACATCAATCACAAAGACAGGAATTGTTTTTTTATTAAAATAGCTTTGCAAATATCAAGTCCGTCTGGAATGAATCAACATTGCGAATAAAAGTAAAATAGAATTTACATATTTATTTATTCCACTTATGCAACCAAACACCAATTAGCCCAGCTGCTGCTGTTGGCTTCTGTAAGTAAATAAGTTGTTAAACCCAACATTTGTTACGTGGTGTGGCGTATCAAAGGCAGAAATCAAAATCCACCTCAAGTCGAGTGTAGCCGTTCCTCTGAGAAAATTATATTGCATTAACAAAGAACAGAATGTTGTGGGATGAGAATTTGCTCTGAATTTTGATCTCCATGTGCTTATCCCGATTCTTCAGTCTCAACCCATATGCATCCAAAGTTTCTGACTCTTGCCAAAATTAAGATCATGAACGAACACATAAAAATAATCCCAGTTAAATCCCACCACCACGATCACTACGACTGCTTGATGTCCGCTTTATCAGATGACTCCTGCTAAGTATCCATTGCATATGTAACATGTTTCTAAACTAGATCTCAAACACGGAAGAATTGTAATGTAATCACCGCATGGGAATAAATTGCCAGTGAAGCGAGAGAGGGGCGGATAATTATGATGGTGGGTATGGGATGGATGGATATAGATTATGTAGGCGCAAGTAAAATATGGTGGGAAGCATCCAATAAAAAATTCGCGTGTCAAGATGTTTAAGTACATTTAGAAATGCGGATAAACAAATGTATTAAAGAATTGGAAATACATTATTGCATGCACAACACAAAAGTGCCAGTGGGTTTTAGCCGCAAGATGTAAAGATATCTGTTGTCAGAGAGAGAGGATCCTGTGCGAAACTAAGGATAAGACGAGCCCACTCTCAGCCACGTCAATCAAGCTCGACCTTCGCCCAGACCAAGAAGTATGTATTAGACACCAGACACGACACAGTTTCCAATTTCGGCTTGACTTATAGTTTTAGCATCTTGATGCTGTGGTCTTCTTCTGGCCTGGATTATATTATTTCCTTGCACTACTACTCGCAATTATAATTTACTCATAAAACCAAAAGGATTATTGGGTTTGGCTGGAATTTTTGAGTCCAATTTGCAGTTGCGATTTGTGATAATCCTCTTTACAGCTTTACGTGGTGGCAGTTAAAATCGTGACTTGGAAACCTTGATTTATGTAAGGCTGCTGCGGTCTGGTGGGATTTGATTCTCCATTCTGCCCCTGGTGGTGGTTTCGCCGTAAGGACAAAAGGATCAAGAGATGTTGTGGCGTGGCACATTAAAGTTAAGTGGGGCGACCCCCCACATTTTTATAGACCGCAAACTGCTCCCTAGGAGGACCTTTGGGGAAAATGGGACATGAAAAGTTTTACATTTCTCCTTCGTCTTCTTCTTTTCGCCCTCATTCCGTCATAATGTTTGACACGAAGACTTCTCAATATCATCCTCGACTAAAAATGGATGGGTGGAGGCAACCAGTGATCAGTGTGGAAATTAGCGGATGGATGCACACAGTTGACTTGGCAAAGGTTCGCTGCACATCAGTCATGAGTGAGTCATGAGGGGTAATCAAGCCAGTGCAGAAAAATGCAACTCGAAACTATACTTTTCCGTATGATTGATGGCTTGGGAAATTGCAGTCTTTATCTGTAAATGAACGTAATATTCTACACAGCACGGGGCAAGAGGATACAAAAATAGTGCAAAATGTAAGTTGTAACAAGCACTTGAAGCAATTTCCGTTTATGGATTTCTAGCTGATTTTTATGAAAAGGATTGATTCCAAGAAATCAATAAGGAAGTGTGTGGCTACATGAATGAAAGTAGATTGAATTTTAATGCTCATTGAAGCTGGAACCTATTCAGGAAATATTTTGAGATTTTTTTCAGTCATAATACAACAATGCAAGTACTAAGCAGCAAGTATAAGTCAAACAGTAAACGACGGGCTCCACGGTCTGCAAAGCACGGATATGTGGAAATGTCGTTTTAATGCACTGCTGTGCTAGTGCATGCTCAATTTAACTCTAGAATATAATACTAAAGAAAAAAGAAAACCTGGGTGTGCAGCCTTCATTTAGCCCGAGCCAGGGATAGAGTCCGCTTCCAAATTTTTGTCCGAATTGATCCCCCGTGGTGCGGATGGTCGAATGTTAGCTACAAAATTTGCATTTCTTGTCATCAAATTTTTGAAGAAGCCGTTAAGTAGCTCCGTCCCGAATTTCAGTTTTTAGGACAATTTCTGAAAACTTGTGTGGGTCACCCACTATGTAAATTTTTCCAATTTCACCTCAGAAATTTTCATTACAAGCCACTTGCAATTTTCGTGCCAAATTTCAACTTTCTTATACTATTTTGAAATTTTTGTGCATAATACCCCCCTTAACTAAACTTCTAACTTTCTCTAACATGCATGTGTGCAAAGTTTGAACCCAATCGGTTAAGCCGTTTTGGCTCTATCCTGTCTCGAACAGAAAGACAGACACACACGACGATTACATCAGCCCTGACTCGTGCTAAAAACACATCCAATTTGTTTCGAACCTTGGGGAACGTTAGACAGACAAGTCTTAGCACTTTCCTAATTTGCCAAACCAATCAATTCTGCATTGCTAAAATATACTGCAAAATGGTTCAAACTTTAACTCTCAAAATTGACCTACACCATCAATAAGAATTGATATAAGAATTGATGCCCAACCCCAGAACGTGACTAGGTTCTTTATGTGCAAGTTCTATTTTGGAGAAAAATCCAAATTTCTTACACAATCCATTTAAGTCTCTCTTTTCACCCGAATCGTTCAAGCAAGATGTATGAGTGGACAAGGAGCCGAACTGTTCCATCGATATTGCAGGATTTCAAGCGGAAGAGGATGTGAAAGCAACACGATCACATTAACATCAAGTGCACTTGGTTGAAACTGAGTGACAGTGGCGAAATTCAAAGAGACTTTGCGTCACTTTCTCTCTCCTGCTGCAAAACATTTTTATATTTTTACAACATCTGAAGAGTCACGAAATAGGAAAATTTTTAAAGTTAAGTTTCACCTTGGTGTTTTGGCAGAGCAAAAAAACCTCACCGAGCAAAAAAAATCTGCAGCAACCAACCAGTTGATCTTTGTTTCTATTTTATCTCCCTCGGGCAACGATGCTTTTCCACTTTCACTGCATACTTCATGCGCTTCTCTGCCTTTCTTTACGTCCAGCCAGCCACGCCTGAATGTTTTATTGGAATGGTTTCCTTCTGCTCTGGACAGTAGCGGGTTACAAGGTGAAATTTGTGGTGGTCACAAAAACCTTTCCACATCCATAACATGGCACGCGGTGACCGTGAGACACATTACAGCCACAAGGTGACATGGATAGATGCGTACCAACCTGGGTAGTCGGCTTAATAGACTTTTTACACATATTTTCCTCCACCTTTGAAGTCTCTCGGGGTTAAAATCGGGGCAATGGAGAAAATTCACTCAATTCAAAGAAACATGAGACGACGACTCCTCGTCCAATCTTTCGAGTCAAAATGTGGTAACGTGCAGATAGCATGGAGCAACTTTGCCTGCTTTTATGTATTACTAGCGTATAGCCCGGCCAAGGCCGGGTTCTAGAGTTCCAGTGGGGGGTGAAAGCGAAAAATCCGTCATGCTATACTTTAAATAATTCCCAGTGGAGACTTCGTCGTACTACATACATACATCAGAGTGAGGGTTTGCCCCAGTCATACTGCATTTTAATTAACCTGGTCACAGTACAATTTGATTTCCCCCTGTGGGAGTAGTTGAATAGCTAATTACTTAAATTCCCGTCGTGTGGGAGTAACTGCTTAGCTAACTATTTATATTCCCGCGCTTCACGCTCCCGTTCAGTTCCATAAACCCCAACTTCTATAATTAACGTCAAACTATTGACGGATTCTGATTCAGCGTCAAAAATACATTCGAATTGATATGCCACTCGCTGTGGGTGG